GAAGTCCCGATGTGTCGAAGTTTTTACGCAAGTCCCTCCAACTTCGACTTACCGAAGTTCTACTGTACTATGTCTTGGCCACAAGTTACTAAGTCGTGGCCACGAGTTACTAAGTCGTGGGAACAAGATACTATGTGTCTATGTCGTGGTCACGAGTTACTAGGTTGTGGGTACAAGATAATTAAGTTGTGGGAACAAGATAGTTAAGTCGTGGGAACTTATTAAGATACTATGTCGTGGCTAAGAGTTACTTTAAAGTCGTGGGCACGAGATAATTTAGTCGTGGGAAGGAGATAAATAACCAGACATGAAAATTGCAGACTCGGTTTGATTGAGTCTGATGAATAAGTGCAACATCCCTCACGCCATCTAGCAGTGGCTTGAGCGGTACTTAATTCTTAACACTTAATAGTGCTGGCTTCAATGATCCCTAAGGACCAGAAAAATATAACAACATTGTAGTGAAGTATCGGGCAACTTTTTACAGCTGCTGTACTGCACTTTAAAAGAAATTTTTCTAAGTTTAAAAGATTCATATATCTATAAATAATTTTTAGTGTAATCTGTTTGGTTAATTATCTAGTGCACACAACTTAGTTATCTTGTTCCCACGACTTAGTATCTCTTGGCAACAACTAAGAAACTCATGGCCATGACATAGTATCTCGTGCGCACCACTTAATTATCTTGTGGCCACGACTTGGCAACTCGTGGCTACGAAATAGTATCTCATGGTTACAACATAGTATCTCGTGCCCACAACTTAATTATCTCGTGCCCACGACTTAGTAACTCGTGGCTATGAAATAGTATATTGTGGCCACAACATAGTATCTCTTTCAAATGACTTAATTATCTTGTGCCCACGACTTTTATGAAGTTTCTGTATTTTCAGTTCTATAGCTTCATCTGTTTTCATGTCATATTGCTCAGGTTTATCAGCATTCACTGCTTTTATGTAAATTGTCTTCTCTTGAAAATTTACTATCACAATACTTGCAACAGAATGCTGTAGTCACTGATACAAAATTAATTTCTTGTCACATTTTGGACATTTGTACAGTGGTACAAAGGTGACATGTGTGTGTTTGTATTTATCTCGTGGCCACGAGATACTATGTCTTGGCCACGAGTTACTAAGTTGTGGCCACGAGAAAGCTAACTCATGGCCACGAGATACTATGTCGTGGCCACAAGTTACTAAGTCGTGGCCACGAGATAGCTTACTCGTGGCCATGAGATACTATGTCCTGGCCATGAGATAGCTAAGTTGTGGCCACAAGATACTATGTAGTGGCCAGGAGATAGCTAAGTAATAAATAACCAATCAGATTACACCATTTATGTGAATTTCTCTTGGCCACAAGTTATTAAGTCGTAGCCACGAGATACTATGTCCTGGCCACGAGATAGCTAAGTCGTGGCCACAAGATACTATGTTGTGGCCATGGGATAGCTAAGTCGTGGCCACGAGATAAATAACCAATCAGATTACACTATTTATGTGAATTTCCCTAATTAACTAGACATGTGCTGTAGTACAAGGATACCCCTACTTCACCAGCCTGTAAAAGTGCCATTTATACGACTTATTTACTTGTCAATAATTTTACATTTAGCGTCATTGTGACCCTGATTTTTGACCCAATGACCTCGAAAGTATTAGATGTCATCTACTGATCCGGTGCAGTGATCTTAAGAGTTATATAAACCATGGTGGGGCGTCCGTGGCCGAGTGGTTAAGGTCGTTGACTTCAAACCACTTGCCCCTCACCGCTGTGGGTTCGAATCCCGACAGGGACTTTGGATTCTTTCATGTGAGGAAGCTATCCAGCTAGCTTACGGAACGTCGGTGGTTCTACTTAGGTGCCCGTTCGTGCCTGAAATAATACACGGAAGGGCACCTGAGGTCTTCCTCCACCAGTAAAAGCTGGAACGTCGCGATATGACCTATTCTGTGTCGATGTGACGTAAAACCCAAAAACAAACAAACAATATAAACCATGGCTTATCCCTTATAAATTATTCATCAGCCTTATAGGCTATCTACGGTTCATGGGCAATGTCCCTTACAAATAAAATAAACCAGGACTTATTCCTTCTCATGTTATCGTATAAACAAGGTTTACAGGCCATAGAACGTACAGGCTGACCAATTCGATCACAAAATAGTCCCAACAAAGAGCTATAGTCAAAATTAATGTTTGATGGGCCTTGGAAGGTGGCTTTCTAGTATGATCCTAAAGACAAGTTCAAAGTGAATATCTTCAGAATTTTCAAAGATTAATGTTGCATGTAAAAGTAAGTTGTTAAGTTTATGAAATTCATAATATATTATAGTGTATTTTGATTGGGTAATTATCTCGTGGCCAAGACTAAGCTATCTTGTGGCCACGACTTAGCTATCTCATGGCCACGACTTAGCTATCTCGTGGCCACGACTTAGTAACTCGTGGCCACGACATAGTATCTCGTGGCCACGAGATAAATAAAAAAAACACACACGTCACCTTTTTGCCACGGTAGGTTTCTTTTTCTGGTTGAGTGTAGTTGAGATAATTGTTTAACATAAGCTCATTCACCAATCATTTTTAAATGAATTAAAAAAAAATTTTTTTTATCATTTCACAAAATATATCTAGGGGTGTCATCGACAAGGATTTTTGTATAGATATATCGGTAATGCATTATCGGCGATATATCGATTGGCAGGCAAAATTAAGCTTTCAAGTCTTTTTAAGTTGTTGAAATATGCAGTTATATTTAAACACATGCAAAAAAATAAACTATGAAAAGGGAACAATTTGTTTCTTTTTTATCACTATAACTTTTAATGACAACTAATGACTAGTAACTATAATGTTTAAAGCCTTTTCCATTTTACTTTTGTTGTTGTTGCTATTAGGTAATAACGAATTATGCTAAATCCCGTCCTTGCCATTCTATTACTAAGCAGGGTTTAATTGGCAAATTATAGTGTTTAGAACTGAAATAATTATTATGTAATTATGAGTTTTACAAAAAAAAACACTAAAAAGAATTTTCTTGGCATTTTCCCTTTTAAAAATCTGAATTGGGGGGTTTTGACCCCCTCTTAGCAGACATGTGAGATTACAGCGTAATTCGGCAGCATTCGTTAGAGACACTGGGAGGTAACTCTGGTGTTGATTTCCGTTGCGTTTTAGAAAATTTTTTTTTGGAAAATGTTAGTTCTGGCTTCCATAACTTTTTTATGTGGCTTTTCTTTTGACGTTTGGTCTATCAGAACTATAAAACCTGTTTGCTGAAGTCTTTTTAGCTAGAAATATGTGTGCATTCGATATCCGATATTTAAAAAATGGAATCGATATCGAATCGGATAACAAAGAAAGTTGATACACCGATATCGATTAAATCGATTACACCCCTAAATATATCCTAAATTTGAGGAATTTGCTACATTCATTACATGTATATTAATACACTAACTGTTATATCACATTATTCATAAATATCAGTACAGAAAGCATTACAATGTAAAAATAAATCAGAAAAAGCTGTATTTCTGATAAATTCTGTATCAGCATGCTAAAATCACCAGAATTGATAATATTTTTACTGAAAAAAGAAAATAATCCAAATATTTGCATTAAAGGTCAGTGCATCTAATACACTATCTGTACAAAATTTTACTTTAAATATTATGTTGAAAAGGATAATGAGGATCTTCAAATAAAAACATTGGGGTCAAAATTGGCTCTTTCCTGGGGGGGGGGTAATTGATTTTCCTTATAATTATGTAAATAGGACAAGGAAAAAAAACAACTTTATTCTAAAAAAACCAAAGAGCTACACTTTAGATATTTAGCATGAAGGTGTCTATCAAGTTTATCAAAATTGGCCCTGTCACAGGGGGTCATTGTTTTCCTTACATGTATATGTATAATTATAGTAAAAACAAAAACCCTAAGGTATTTGGCATGAAGCATCTTCTAAAGGGTGTCTTAAAAAAAGAAACCTAAGGTATTTGGGATGAAGCATCTTCTAATCTTCTAGAGGGTGTCTACAAAATTTGTTTAAATCAAAATTGGCCCTGTCCAAGGGGGTCATTATTTTCCTTATAATTATGTGTATAATAAAAACAAAAAATCAAAGGTATTTGGCATAAAGCATCTTCTAGTGGGTGTCTACCAAATTTGTTCAAATAAAAGCTCTGGGGTCAAAATTGGCCCGGTGGACCGCTACAAAACTTGTTCAAATTATAGTCCTCGGGTCAAAATTGCATAACCCTGGGGGAACATAGATTTACCTTATATGTATATAGTAAAAATTCTGTTTAAAGTGCCCAATCTGATCTATGTATGAAATTTAAATTTTATGTTTTTGGGCTTTTTGTCCTTTAAGAGGCTTTTGGTCCTTAGGTGACTCCCTCTCACAACATCATAGGATTGGGGATTTGAGCCTTGCTCATTGTCCTGGAAATGATTTATTTTCCTCATTTGACACCAATTATTATTTATTCAAGGAAGGTGACTCTAGAGGGTTTCACAAATGAAGAATGTTTAAGGATCACAAACACTAATTAACTAATATGGCTGAGTAATATGGAATGAACTGAAACCAATCTTATGATAGTTTTTCATTCTAACAGTGTAAAGAAACTATTTCTCCAACCAGTTGTTTCAATAATTTAATTTGCTTAATCACATGAGCATCTTTTGGCTCACCTGAGCAAATAGTGCTCAAATGTAAGCTTTTGTGATGGCACGATTTCTGGCATCTGTCATGCCTAATTAATTGATATCAACAATTTATTGAACACATTCTCAATATGAAACCTTATGGTAGATTTTTACCAAACTTCACAGGAATGATTATTTGGTGGCCCTCTACAAAAAATATATGAATAGTTTCAAACTGAACTTCTAAAGTTTATATTTAATAACGACTGCATAGCTTCAATGCATTAAAAAAAAAATTTAAGTATCTTTAAATAAAAGTTTTTTTCTGTTTATTTTCAGAGCAAATTTATATCAGCCTTGCTGTGGATGTCCTCAAAAGGCTTCAAGCAATACATGTTCAAATATGACCTGAGTACTTGCAGAAATTAACTGAAAGATTCAGATATTAGTGCTAGGCATTTGAAACACTCACACACACACACACATTACAAAATGGAAGTAAACAATACTGTCAAGGCATTAGACAATCTTGACTCAACTTTGAAGAAATTTAATGAACAAATTGATGGGGATAAAACTTCTGACACAAACAAAGACCCTGAACCAGAACAAAACGACAAGGAAAAGGAAGATGCCTCCGAAAATGAAAAAGACAAGGATGAGAAGGGAAATGAAACAGACACTGATAAAGGGGCAACAGATACAAAGAAAACAGGTGATCAAGATAATGTAAAAGACAATCAGAAACAAACATTTGATCAGTTCAATGTTAAACCACCAAGGGGTGAGGAGAGTTCTGCTGATAAATCTGCTAGTACAGCAGCAAAACCAAGGAGACCTTCAGCAGAAGAAATAGCTAAAAATTGGCAAGAGCTTGGTGTTAAAAGGTAAAATAAAGATTTTTGTTCTGTTTCATTTATAGACAAAATTGCTTAGATATTTGGCATGAAACATCTTCTAGTGAGTGTCTACCAAGTTTGTTCAAATTAAAGCCCTGGGGTCAAAATTGGCCCCGCCCCAGGGGGTCATTGATTTTCCCTATATGCATATAGTAAAAACTTCAAAAATCTTCTTTTAAAGAACTCAAAGAGCTAGAGCTAAGATATTTAGCATGAAACATCTTCTTATGGTAGTCGTCCAAATTTGTTCAAATAAAAGCCCTGTGGCCCCGCCCAAGGGGGGTCATTGATTTTCCCTATATGCATATAGTAAAAACTTAAAAAATCTTCTTTTAAAGAACCCAAAGAGCTAGAGCTAAGATATTTAGCATGAAACATGTTCTAATGGATGTCTACCAAGTTTGTTCAAATAAGAGCCCTGGGGTGAAAATTGGCCCCGCCCCGGAGGTCATTGATTTTTAGCTTGACTATTCGATAAGAATAAGTAGAGCTATTGTAGTCACCCGTGCGTCGGCGTAACCACTTATGTTAAAGTTTTTGTAATAGTTCAAATATTTTCAAAGTCCATTGACATATGGCTTTGAAACTTTGCACACTTGTTCACCATCATGACCCCAACCTGTAGACAGGAGGAGGTAACTCTATGAAGCATTTTGACAAAATAATGCCCCTTTTTCGACTTAGAATTTACGTTAAAGTTTTTGTAATAGTTCAAATATTTTCAAAGTCCATTGACATATGGCTTTGAAACTTTGCACACTTGTTCACCATCATGACCCCAACCTGTAAACAGGAGGAGGTAACTGTATCAAGCATTTTTTTTTTACTATCAAGCACTAAGAATAGTCAAGCGTTGCTGTCCTACCGACAGCTCTTGTTCTTATATGTGTATAGCAAAAACTTTAAAAATCTTCTTTGAAAAAAACCAAATAGCTAGAGATTAGATACTAAGCATGAAACATCTTCTAGTGAGTGTCTACCAAGTTTGTTCAAATAAAAGTCCTGGGGTCATTCATTTTCCTTATATGTGTATAACATAAACTTAAAAATCCATGGTCCGTAAACTTTTACTTTAAATGACATCTCCTCATAAACCACTAAGCCAATTTCATCAAAACTTCACAGGAATGTTCCTTTGGTGGTCACCTTTGAAAATTGTTCAAAGAATTTAATTCCATGCAGAACTCTGGTTGCCATGGCAACCAAAAGAAAAAACTTTAAATATCTTCTTCTAAAAAACTCAAAGATCTAGAGTTTAGATATTTGGCATGAAACATCTTCTAGTGAGTGTCTACGGAGTTTGTTCAAATAAAAGCCCTGGGGTCAAAATTGTCCCCTCCCCAGGGGGTCATTGATTTTCCCTATATGCATATAGTAAAAACTTAAAAAATCTTCTTTTAAAGAACTCAAAGAGCTAGAGCTAAGATATATAGCATGAAACATCTTCTTATGGGTGTCGTCCAAGTTTGTTCAAATAAAAGCCCTGGGGTCAAAATTGGCCCGCCCCGGAGGTCATTCATTTTCCTTATATGTGTATAACATAACATAAACTTAAAAAATCTTTTTTGAAAAAATCAAATAGCTAGAGTTTAGATATTAAGCACGAAGCATCTTCTAGTGAGTGTCTACAAAGTTTGTTCAAATAAAAGCCCTGGGGTCAAAATTGTCCCCGCCCGGGGGTGACATTGATTTTCCTTATATGTGTATCGCAAAAACTTAAAAATCTTCTTTGAAAAAACCCGAATAGCTAGAGTTTAGATATTAAGCATGAAACATTTTCTAGTAAGTGTCTACAAAGATTGTTCAAATAAAAGCCCTTGGGTCAAAACTGGCCCTGCCCCAGGTGTGTCATTGTTTTTAACTATATGTGTAAAGAAAAAACTTTACTAGCTAGACCTTAGATGTTTAGCATGAAACATCTTCTCATGGGTGTCTACCAAGTTTGTTCAAATAAAAGCCCTGGGGTTTAAACTGGCCCCGCTCCTGGAGCCTATATACAGGTGAGCGACTTCAGGGCCATCATGGCCCTCTTGTTTATGAAACTCAGTTTTTGTTTAAACACAATAGGACTGATCATTTGTAAGGTTACTGATTTGGAACATTAAGATAAATTATCATCTGTGTCACATCATTAATTCAGAAGTCATGTGTGATTAGTATGAGTAGAAACTGGTATTTACTGGTTAGTCATCCAGGAAATCCTGTTTGGTGGATTTACTGCCGAGATCTGACCAAAACTGTGTGACAATTGTCATGAAAACCATCCTCAAAACCAGAAAAACAAAAACAAGATATCCAGGAAATCCTGTTTGGTTGATTGACTCAGCTGAAATATGACCAAGAATGCGTTACAATTTTACAATTGACATCAACACCCCCCCCCCCCCCCCCTTTTAAAAAAAAAAGAAGAAAAAAGTTACCCAGGTAAGCCAGTTTTGTGGATTGACTGCTGAAATATGACCAAAATGTGTTACAATTGGCAGTTAAAACAGGAGAAAAAAAAATTTAATACTGATTATATCTTTCTCTTACAGGTGCAATAACTGCAGGTTTACCACGGATGATACAGAACTGTTCAAGCAGCACTGTACAACATGTCTGTCTGTAAAATCGACAGGAAATATCACCTTTACATACAAAAATGAGGAATTTAAGTGCAATACCTGTAATGAAGTGTGGAAAATCAAAGCAGAGTTTGAAGAACATATTGTATGTCATCTTCAGGACTGGCCGTATGTCTGTTTAACTTGCCAGAACAGAAAATTTCCTAGTCGTCAGTTGATAGAGATACATACTAAGACGGACCATCCAGAGGGTAATGCCAGATGTGGACTGAAAGGAATGAAAAATGGACGAAAATATTGTGAGGAGTTAATGCAGTTGGGAACAATTAGTATAAATGGAAAATTAGTAATACCTAAGACCCCTAAAAATCATGCTAACCAAATAGTTTCTAAAGAACTGATCAATCAAAAGCAAGAAATGAGCTCAAAGGTTGAAAGTTTTGCCAATGCGGTAAAAAGTGTGGCAATAGGTGGAATAAGTGTGAATAACCCAACAAATACTGCTGTTCTGCCATCGCAACTTACATCAGAATCTATAGTGATAAGTCGGCATCCAGTATCTATTGTATCAGGTGCCACAATTCATCACAGACCAGTTCTGATAAATATGATAAAGCCGGCACAAGCTGTTCCTGGAGTTTCACAAGTGATAACAAGTAATGCTAATCCAACCAAAATAGTAACACCTATAACCTCAGCATTAGCATTACCAGTAATACTTCAAGCTGCTACAACTACACCAAATGCAAGTGTTGATCACAACCCGACAGTTGTAAACGATTCTGATGCAGAAGTTATTGCTAATAGGCCCATGCCTCCAGCAAGGACAACTGTAACTTTCCAAACTATAGCTCCATATCCATATCAATACACTTCTAAAGGAGGCACTCTCACTCGTGTTTCACCGGCAGAAGAAGCAAAATCCAAACATTTGGATACTTTGTTTGGTCAAATTAACAGGTCTACAAATGTAATGCAGCCTACATTTATTTCACAGAAAATAAAAGACATTGCAAATCCGTTGGCAGGAGATTCAAACAGAACTCAATCAGAAGCATCAAGAAAGGAGCCAATACCTTATCAATTAAAAACAATTACGGAATACACTTGCACGCAGCCAACAAAAACAACTTCTTCTACTGTCTCCTCTTTGCCTCAACAAAATGTTTTGCTTGTGCCTGTGGGACAGCCAGTCAATATATCACAACAAGGTCAAATTTTGAATAATATGTTTTATCAGCAAGCAAGAAGTACAGGTAATTTTGTCCCAATCCAACCTTTACCTGTAAGTATAGGTAGCAATGATACCAATTTAAGAATGCAGCAACCACCAAGCCAAACTACCCAGAGACTTCCATTTAATCAAATACCCCAAATGCTTGCCACAAGTTCAGCTACAACTGTGAGAAATGTTAACAATACATCAGTTAGAAGTAGTCTACAAAATACTACTGTAAATTTTGGTACAGTACAGTCATCAACAAGACCAGTGGTGCTACCTCAAGACATATCTGGGAAAAACCTTAATGTTCAACAAAGTTTGGAAACACCGATTTCTTTTGTAAATGACATTCTCACAATCCCTAAGAAGTATCTTTTCAAAATTAAACCGGGCATAGGGTTTGTTTGTGAAGCGTGTAAGAAATGTACCAGAGAAGAGTATGTTTTCAGGAGACATGTTTGGGAACATTTTCATCGGGAACCATTGGCTTGTAAAACATGTTCTCCAGATTGTATAGCATCTAAAAATATATTAGATTGTAAACTTGTAAACAATATTGTATGCAACCTAATCAGGAGGTCAACACAAGATAATTTAGAAGCAACTGCAAGAAGTCATAAAGTTAGTAAAGTTGGTGAAAAAGAGGTTATTGACATAACTGATGATGACGAAAACCAGGAGGATGACCAACAAGATCAAAATTTACTAGCTACTGAGGTAATTGTGCTTGATGATGAAGATGAGAATGGGGAGACGCAAGGTCTTCAGATTCGTATAAGTAATACATTTAGCTTGTCAAGCCCAAATAATTTAGAACCAATGGGTAAAAAAGATGCTCAAAGTAATAATGAAACCACATCTTCAGATTTACAGAATAGAGACAAGCTAGATGAAGGAAACAAACAATCTGCTGTTAATGGTCTGATATCTGATACAAGTCAACCAAAACAGAGCGGTAATGGTGATACAGTTGCTGATTTACAAAATTCTCAGAAACAGAAAGACACGGGTCATGATAATAGTGAAGCACCTGAAAATACAAATGATGGTAAGCAGTCACCAGACGTTATTGTAGGAGAGGAAGATGATGAAGGTGAATTAAAGGATGCACATTTACTTGATCAATCTTTGTCTGAACCAGGTAACAATTCCAAAGAAATAGTGTCCAAAGTTTTAGAAACAAACCTGAAAGTATATGATCCATCAGTAAATGAATCAAAAGACGACGAAACCTTTGAAGAAGTTAACCAGATAAGTAAGATGTCTTATAATTATATGCAATCAGATGTTTCTTCAAAGACCCAACAAGAAGACCAGGATGAAAACTTAAACCTTGTTAATAAGACAATTTTTGATACAGAAATCTTATCAAAACAGAGCCAGCATGCTTTCTACGTTTGCGGCTATGAAAACTGTACGTACACAGGATTGAGTTCAATTAAATACAGGGAGCACCTCCAGTCAAAGCAACATGAAAGAGAGTATAACTATGTGTGCGGACACTGTGGTCAAAAGGATTACACGGAAGATGCCCATGTCAGACATATTTTTTCTCACGCAAATGCCAAACGGTTCCTGTTATACAAGTGCCCAATGCATTTGTGCAAATATAAAACGAATTTACTACACATGTATACTTGTCATTTACGCGCTCATCCTAATGAAGAGCTGATAATTAAGTGCATCTATTGCCATAAAATGTTTCCCTCAATAGAGAGCTTGGAGCAGCATTTGAAGCAGAATCTTCTTAAATTTGTGGTTTGTCCATATTGTTCATTCAAATTTGTAAACAAGCATACTGTAATGTTGCACATACGATTCTTTCATCCAGATAAAATGCGGATGGTGTCAGTGACTAGTCAGGTTGTTTGCAACGAAAGGGAAATTAACTTCTATGTTCCTCCAAAATCAAAGGCTCTTAACGAGCCTTGCTTAAAAGAGAAAGATTTAGAAGAAACTGGAGCAATTGATTTTCCAGCTTTACTAAATGATTTCCAGAAAGAAAGTTGTGCTAAAGAAAAGCATGCCATGGAACAGAATTTATTGGGAAAAGAATCTGAAAATGGAGATGGGGACGATGCATTAAGTCTGCCCGAAGAAGATCAATGCGACTTTAATAAAGAAAGTGAAAGTAAAGAACCGAAGGGTCATCAAAAGGAAATAGCCGACAAAAAAGTTACAAAGGGGAAGGGGAAAACGGATACATATTTCAAAGGAGGACCAAAGTCTTTGGAATGCCCTCATTGCTCATACTTAAGCTACAACCAATCTCTTCATGCTAAACACATATCAATTCACGATACAGAGCCAGAAAGAGAAAAGAGATTTGTGTGCAATCTTTGTCCTAAAGGAACTGAAGGCTTGTCTCACTTTATAACCCATGTTAAAAATCATGTAGGAAAGAATACAATCAAGGTATTTTGCTGCACGACATGTTCGTATTGTTCAAATCAAAAACGTCATATAATGGATCATGTTAAAGATGCCCATGCAAAAGAAGCTCTTTACACTTTGAAGGAGGAAGTCATAGAAAGTAATCATTTTGAATGCAAATATTGTTCCTTCAAAGCAAGGACTACAGAACAAGTTACCGCACATGAAACCAGTGTCCATCGCATAAATCAGAATGTGATATCAAACAATGAGAAACAAGAAGGTCAGAAATCCAGTCCCTCAGAAAACGAATCGAGTTTTGACTCTGGGAATGATGCTAGAAAAAAGAAATGTAAATATCATTGTGAATATTGTAATGATTTCTTCAAACACAAATCTAACCTAAAAGAGCACATGGTGAATGACCACAAGGACATTGAGAACAAGCAGTTTATATTTTTCAAGTGTAAATATTGCACTTATACTTCAACTATGAAAGATATGATAATCAGTCATTTAGAAAAAGATCATTCTGGCCAGGATTTGAGGATATTGAGAAAAATAGAAAAGGTAGAAAATGGTAATTATGTAAATGTCAAAGAAAACAATGATACAGGTATAGCAGGAAAAGAGGGTCAATCTTCAACAGAAGGCAATGATGATCCGACAGCAAATGCTCCAATGGAGACAGATGAGCAAGACAAGATTGAGATAGTTGTTCCAGATGGTAATATATTTAAACAGATATTTTCCTGCCCAATTTGTTCGTTTACTACAAACATGCGATTAAAAGCTATGAAACATTTGAAGGAACACCCAGGTGTTAAACCAATAAGACCAAATCAGAAAAAGACTTCAACAAAGCCAACAGCTAGAAAGTCAAGCACTTCACTGTTTCCAAAAAATGATTTGACAAGAAAGAAAAACTCCTTAATACAACAGTTACCCATGTCTGCAAAACCTTTACAAAATCCATTTACAGCAGTGAAAGAGTCAGCTGTTGAGGAAAATATTTTATCTGGAGAATCAAAGGCAATGCTTAATAGTCCTTCCAAAGATTCATATATACTTGGAGAACAGAAACTGCATGCTGCTCTTTCTGCATGTTTCATACCATTTGAAAAAGACATGAAATATCAGTGCCGAATATGTAAGCAGAAAATTTTCAAAAGATTTGTTTTACATCGACATATACTTGATCATTTGAAGATTGTGTTTTTCAAGTGTAGGTACTGTGAGGAAGGCAGTATTGAAAGAACTCTAATGGTTGGTCATATACAAAAAGTGCATTCATCAAAGAGCATTCTGTATGATTCTGTTGAGGTATCTGTCCTGGAACAGCAATTCAAAGAAAGGATTTTCCGCCAAGACTTTAATGATACTCTCAACCTATCTGATGTATCAGGAACTCAGCAAAATAGAACCGGTGACTTTAAGAATATAGTAAAGAAACCAGTCCATGAGTATCAGACAATAGATGACGAATCAAATGATGAGGAAGATGAAAATTCTGATAAAACAAAAATTACTAAAGAAGAGTCAAGAGAAGTTGAAACTCGTAACATTTTACAATGTTTACAGTGTAGATATCTTGCCAGGACTAAACATCATTTGAATTTACATTTGGATAGTCATAAAGATCCAATGAAGATATATACATGCTCTGTATGCGATTATAGGGGAGATAAGTTTTCAGTTATAAAACATATTTACAGTGTTCCTCATCCTACTCAAGCAAAGGTCCTGGAAAATGGAAAATCTCTGTATGAAAAGTTGACAAATGAACCAGAGAAGGAGCAGAAGGAGCAAATTAAGAGTGACAGTAGTAAACCAGATAGCAAGTCCTCTATATTTAATACCTCTAAAAAGGATGAAGAATGCAAGTCCTCTATATCTAGTACCTCTAAAAAGGATGAAGAAGAAGATGAACTTTCCATGGATAGTAAATATGTAATCAATAGCCAGGGAAAGCAAGTGAAGAAGGATGCGTTGACAATAACAAAGTCAGGGATATTTGAAATGAAAACATCGTTCAAATGCAAAGAATGCGGTGAAAAGCGTGAGAGTAAAAGTGGTATGTACGCTCATTTTAAAACAAAGTGTAACAAACCAGTGATGAAGTGCTCTTTATGTTCTTTCCAAAATACTGTAAAGGCAGCTATATATAGGCATGCATCGAAACGACACTCTGGTAAAAAGATAACAGTTTTAAATCTACCTATGTCTGCGAAATTCAAATTGATTAAAATACCAGTCAGACAAGACAAAGGGATGTTGAAGCATTTGCCGTCGTCGTCTAGTTTTGATTCTGCTGAATCGTTGTCTGAAGCTTTGTCGGATGCTAATGAAGCAGATGGATCAGACGAGGAACAAATTAGATGTCAGTTGTGCGCGTCATATTCATGCGAGTCGGCCATGAAGTTGCAGTTTCATATTAATACAACCCATCAAGGTACAATGTTGTACTGCAAGGAGTGTTCCTATAAAACACCATTAGTGAGACACATGATGAACCATTGTCAAAATTTGCATCTACAGAAAGTTGCTCGATATGCAAAAGAGCCAGTGAAAAAGACTGTCCCCAATATAATTAAACAAGAAAAGGTATCAAAACCAGTGAATATTATCTCCGATGATCAAGTGGTTATGGCCAAATGTCCAAAATGTGACAAGAAATTTACATCAGTGACTACTATTCTGAAACATCTGTACATCCATTTTAACTACAAACCATTTTATTGCAAGTATTGTGATAGTAAATTTTCAAGAGAAGACCATTGTAAACTTCACGTAAAAGCAGTGCATGCTGATAAACCTGAGCAATATGACATGAAAACAGATGAAGCTACAGAACAGAAAATAAAGAAACTTTATGAAAGTGCCAAAAGAAGTACAATAAAGCAAAAGATGATGCTTGGAAAATTTAGACCAGCAAAATTAAACAAAATGGAGCTGATAGAGGAAGGCATTCGACGGAAAGATAAGCTGTTTTACTGTGACTTTTGTCAGTACAGTTCTGACAGAAAAGCAACTATAAGGAAACATGTATCTGCAGTACATGCTGGTATCAGTAAAAAACGGCCTCTGGTGATTGATAGTGATACAGAACTGCCTGCTAAAAAGTTTGCTAAAAAAACAGATGGTGACACTTATGATACCAGTATTGATGAAGAAGAAGAAGATGATGAAATTGAGAAAGAAGAGGAACTGCAGCCATTGAAATACAAAGTTGTCAAGACGCCAACTGGAAGCAAAAAGTTTAAATGCACCAGTTGTGATTATATGAATCCTAAGAAAAAAAATCTAAAGCTTCATGTGGCCAGACACCATAGTGTGAAGACGGAACCAGCATTTAAGTGCTTAAGCTGTTCTTACACTTCAGCCAATAGGTGAGTAAAAGTATTTGTTTTATTAAGTGCAAAAATATTACTTATCATGTTTTATTACATTCCTGTACAGCTTTCGGTTCAAACATAATTTTTTAATCTTGATTGCCAAACAAGTTCTTTCAACTTATATTAATCACTTTCGAATCTGCATCCTAGAACCAACAAGTACTTGTTTCATATGAACAGAATGGTCGTGACCCATGATTCCTGGGTTGAGCAGCAGACACCTTAACCACTAGGCTACTGCTTTGCTCCCTAGTAAAGCTTTTGCAACTCCTTCAAGAATTCTTTTGGTTTTGTGATAAATTGAATATTTGTGTAGATTTATATATCTAAATTTATTAAATTTGTTGAACAGAATAATAAGCTCGCCATAGGGTCACATAATATACTTTTATTCAACTTGTTCAATAGATTTAGTATTGAACTTACACTCATTCAATATCCTCAATTTTTAACTTTTCATAAGTAATATGTTGTATATTAAAGGAACTGAGGTTCACAGCATAAAAACATAAAATTTTAATTTCTTATATAGATCAGCTGGGGCACTTAAAACATAAATATGTGCAAAAGATAATTAAGAAAAATAATAAGAAATAAATTGAAAATTGGATTTGTGCTGTTCTTAGCAGGATTTGATTCAAAGCATTTCAATGATTTTCAATTTTTGGTTGTTTTTCACGATGAAAATTATTATAATTATTCTGGAAAAATGAAGTGAGCGAATGATCTGAATTTTTGCATATAAGTTTTTTTGTCTACATCAAAATGAACATTGATAATCGAAAAATTGTTTCAAAATGACGTCAGTGGAGTCCCTTTAAAAATAAGATTACTTTTAGTTTTTGAACATTGACATATATTTGATGTATAATAAAAAGTTTGCAATTATTTACACAAAACTGGATCAGATGATTAGATGCAGAATCAAAAAAAAAAAAAAACAAATATAAAAAAAATGATTATACTTAAAGGCACATTATGCTGTAGAAATTCATATTTTTTTGAAATTCTTCAGAAATGTTAAATATTTGTTAAATAATGTTTTAAAAATGTTAACAGCTAAGGAAAGTAGCACTGAATGTGCTGTAATATGTTGTCAAGGTAGTGAAACAAAGTACTTTAAGTAGTATTTGACTTAGATACAAAACACTAATTCACTGTAATTATACCTATTGTCAACAAAGCAAAAGGACCAAAGATAATTCATTTTTATGGCAAATGAGTATTTCTAACAAGATACCAAAAATAAACAGATTTAAAAAAAAAAAAAATATAATAGCATGTCTGAGGCATAATGGGCCTTTAATAGTAAGTTGATATATTGAACTGTTTGTTTACCCAACAATACAAAATATTCATTAACGTAAAAATATTTTATGTTATATTCGATTTAGTTCCAAAATGTACACCCATTACAAATGTCACCATCCTACAATGAAGACTGTCAAGTTTGTGAACAAAGCTGGAGAAGTTGTAACTCAAGATATGAATGAAAGGTCGTCTCCAGGAAAGTTTTCAAGGTCATCCTGTAGCCCTGCCAGAACATACACAGGTATAATCATGATTTCATTTCACTTTGCTCTGTTCATACTGTTAAGATTGGTTTGACTGTTCATGCCAGAAATAATGCACAGAAGGCCACCTGAGGTCTTCCTCCACCAGTAAAGCTGGAATGTTGCCGAATGACCTATACTGTGTCAGTGTGAAGTAAAACCCAAACAAACAAACAAATAACTTTCAGATGTTGTTTTTATGCCCCTATTGTCATATCTTTGTTATTAATCTACAGAATTGATTCATACGTGGACAAAATTATTCCTATAACAAAACTGACATGTTGAATAATTCTGATATGCTTCTGACCTTTAATTGACCTTAAATATTAATTGTCATAATCCTGTTATCTATTTATGGATTTTAATCATTTTTGGGCAAATGAGCACTTTTAACAAAACTGACAAGATGATTAAGTTTTAATGTGATCTTGGCATTTAAATGACCTTGACCATCAAGGTCAAATATGATATTTGAATTTTATTTGTCACAAAAATATTTTGAAAGAGAAGTCTTTTCTACAATATACTTCCTCTAATGTGTTTTACTTTAGAATTAGGGGCGTCCGAAGAAAATGTCAAGTGTGGCCCCCTTTTAGTTTATTGTCACTTAGTTTAAAACATTTTATGTGAGAAAACACATTGAAGTCATATTTTTGTAGAACTACAATGCATCGAGTTAAAATATATGAAACACACATTGCCTTGTTGGCCACTACAAAAAAGGTAAAAAATAAATGCCCCTTGGGTCAATGATGGCCCAGCCCTTTGGGTCACTTAGTTGAGTTGATATAGTCTTGTATGAGAAAATATATTTCAGTCTAATTTTGCACACACAAAAAACTACAATGCCAAGAGCTAAGATATTTAGCATGTGAATTACCTTGAAAATCTGCAAAACTATTTTATAAAACCCCTGGGCCCAAAAGGGCCACCCCAGGGACTAGATTTATATAAATTAATAGGATAACACTTTTAAAATTATTGTGGAAACTACAAACCCCCAGGGTTAGATTTTTGGGTATGTAGCATATTTGAGTTTTTTCTAAAAAATTTATATTAACATAAAATTTGGGGGTTAAAATTTGGCCGCCGCTGGTCACTTCCTTTTTAACTAAGTATAGGAAAATATTTTCCCTTTTTTGTGGATAAAATAAAGCTTTGTTTTTGGATAACTTGCCAATAGACCTTTATAAAATTTTTTGAATAATATAATGTTTCTATAGGGGTAGCCCGGGTTTTAGGGGTTTTATATTTTTTTTCTTATTTTAAATATTTCTATTTTATATCGACAGGGGTTTTTATAAAATCAATGTAAGGAAAGAAGCACATAAAAAATCGACAGACTGGAACCCAGGCTACTATAGGGGTAAAATGCCTCCACTTGGTAGGCCATATGTATCACAAGGATAATTCAGATTAAACATTTTTCAGACAAGTTTCTTGACTTACAGATTTTTTTTGATTACTCTCATTGATATCTATCTATCATTATGTTATTGTTTATATTTACAGAATCTGGATCTAGTGATGCTTCACCAGTCAAGCCAGTCAAAACAAAGTTAAATGGAGTGACCAGATACAATTGTATATATTGTAGTTACTCTGGAATAGGACTATTCCATTTCCGACTGCATTTAGTTATGCATGAAGAGTTCACAGAATTAACCACCGAGTTGGATGATGAGTCTAAAATGGCTTGTGGATTTTGTACGTACCTAGGGAAAAATACCTTTGACTTGAGTGTACACATTGCCTCACACATGGCAGAACAGCGTTACAAATGTGTATATTGTGATTATACTCAGTTTTGTATTTCAAAAATTTCTCAGCATTTGAAAAAAAGTCATCCAGATAGACAGGAAATTGTCTTTGATAGAGAATTTCGGAAGGCAAGCAATGGGAAGATTCAATTGGTGAATTTAAATCCAGAAGTAAAAATAGACAACATTGGTAGTGGTTCAAGGAAGAGAAAATATAAAAGGATCATGATAGAAACAGATGAAAGTTCCAATAACTCATCTTCAGACCGTGAAGATGATAAAATAAATTCTAAAAGTAAAGAAACACTAGACGAGTCAGGGAAAGCAAAGAGAGATGTTAAGGACACACAGTTTGTAGAGGGTAAAGATGGCAATAGTAAAAATGACAAAGAAAGGCTTCCAAATGAAACTGGTGGTATAAACGATCATTCAGTACAATTAGGTAAAATACAAAATGATAAAGATGACGATAATGAGTCTGATGATGATGAATTGATGAGTGCACCGTTTTACAAAGTCGAATCACAGCCCTTTTCTCCAAGTGATGTAAATGAATTAGAGTGTGATGAATTAAATGAAAATGAACCTGTAGATGATGTTGACAGTAAAATAAATGATGTTGAAACAAATAAAGGAGAAAATGAGAGTGTTACGTTAATGTTTGAATCAAGAGAAACTGTTGAACAAAAAAGTGAAACAAGCAACTCTGTAAATGATTGCAAAGACAATAATAAAGACGACCTAAATAATTTGATCTCATCAGGTACAAAAGAAAATGACAAGGAGCTTACTGAATCACAAAAACCTGAACAGGTAAAACCTGTATCTACAAAAGAACACAAAGATGATGAATGTTCTTTACCAGAATGTGAATCTGATGAACGAAATTCTAAAATTTCACCAAACAAGTCTGTGGATGAATTAATCAGTAATGAAAATAAATCGGCTGAAAATGATCATGATTCGGTTGAAAATGAGGTGAAAGAAGGAAGTGGTATTTGCCCAAACGTTGGCCAAAACATAGAGCAAACCATAACTACAATTGAGCTTGGAGATACTAGTAAAGGTGATAATGATGACATTAAGGAAGGAAATACTTCTAATGAAAATGATCATGATAGCGAGAAAATGGAGTACAAAAATGAAAATGACTGTGACAATGAAAAGATATGTGAAAATAATGATTATGACTCCTCTGAGCAGAAAAATACAAGCGGAGAAGTTTTAGAAAACGATACTGGTGCTATTACTTCTGATGAAGGTGACAATAAAAGCAAGACAAATGAAGATAAATTATTTGGTGATGAAAGTTTATGCGAAAATGAAAACTCTGGAAAAGATGCTAAATGTGAAGAAAATAAAGTGATATGCTCAAGTACTAATTCTAATAAAACATTAACAGATGAAAAGGAAGTGCAAAATGAGTTAAATAAATCGGAAAGGAATGTGTTTGAATCAATTTCAGATGTAAAGAAGTTTCAATGTGAAGAGATTAACGAAGACAGTGCTGACACAAATAAACCAAATGATGTAAATAGTGTAGAGAATGATGACTTGGAAACCACAGTGAAAGAAGTAGCAAATGAGAATGTTTTTGAGAAATTTTCTTCTGAAATGGATCATATACAACCGTCAAATATTACACAGAATGAAGAAAGCGATGAAAAATCACCAGAAGAGAAACATGATAATATTTTTGAAAAATTCTCAAATAATACAGAAAGTAAAGTTGAAGATTCTGAAAATGAAGAGACTGCCGGTAAATCTGATGATGATACAGATAAAAATATATTTGAATCATTTGCCAAAGACACTGATAATAAACTGACTGATGGTATTGGTTCTAACAATTTGCCATCAGCAACTTTAGATGGAGCAGAAGAGAAAATTGACAAACCAGAACTGAATAAAAGTATGGATATTGATGGTGATAGTAATATATTCACAAAATTCTCAGCTGACAATTTAGAAGTACCTGTTCCTGGTGTTTCTGAGAATCAGCCAAATTCACCTGTTCATGAAAGTAACATCTTTTCAAAATTTGCAAACAGTGAAAGTAAAATTGAAAGTAAATCAGATGAAGAAAATGATAAACTGGTTGATAATGACAAAAACCTTTTTGAAAAGTTTGCTAAAGAAAGTGGAAGTAATGAACTAAGCTCATCACTAGTTAGTAAAAATGAAGGTAATCAATCTCTGAAAAATTCAGAAGAGAAATCGTTGGGAGAGGAAGAGAAAAATGTGGAAGATATGGAAATAGATGAACTGATAGACTCTATAGAAAAGACAGTGAATGAGGGTAAATCACAACAGTCTGAAGTTGAGAAGTACGATCATGAATTTGAGAAAGATAATTGTGAGATGGAAATAGACTAAAGTCATAAAGTATTGAATTAATATTGAGAAATATTATTTTATTGATAAAAATTTATATGAGTATATCTCAGCAAAAGAGAAGAGAAAAATATTGAATCAGTTTTTTTTTCTTGGAATGTAATGGTTTATAGACAGATGCTGCATATTTGAAGTATTTTCTTATGAGTTTTGTTGGTTTCCTGTTTTTTACTTGTCATTTGAAAAACAAGTGATAAATATGCCAGCTTATATGATACTAGTGCTATGATGGGACAGAGTTAGCAGTTTCGTCAAAGATTATGTTGAGAATTTTTTTGATTTGGTCAGATGATACATGAAATTTTGTTATGTGTAGTTTAAAAAATTCTATCACTGCATGTTTCTTGTACATAAAATCATGATGCAATACGGATACTATGAAAAGTGTAATTATAAAATATAAATGTGCTATTTTATACAAATATTATGACTTATATTAAGTTCTTTTGAAGATTAGGAGACTAACGATTCATCTATACATATTTTGTTTGAAGGAGATCTAAATATTGTAAATGTTGTATATTTACGTTTTACTCAATTTATATAGTATGCTTAAAACCATGTTTTAGTTTATTGTGATATCAACCATGCACAGTTCATTATTGTTAAGGAATAACATATGTTATTCAGAACTTCTTCTTCACAAAAGCGTGATTAACGCGTTACTATCAACTTCCAAAGAATCTCTATTTTTGTGATTCATCAGTCTTCATGTAATATGTTAGTTAAATGTTGATTAAGCAGCAATAATTTGAAAACTTGAAATTGTTTTTGTTAGTAGAAAATATGTTAATTTATAAGTAAAGGGGTTGCACAAACCACCATGGTTAGATTCATATCCAGTATTGTGTTCATTTCAAATTTATGCCAGTATTTTATTGCTAGATCTGTTTTCATTTTGAATGTTAACCATGTTTCTACTAGATTTCTGCTAGATAAATATGGGACCATATGCTTTACATAAAACCATTTGATCTAAAATGAATTTCAACCAATATATAAAAGAAAACATTTAAGTCATGCTTGAAAATTTCTTTTTTAATGTAAATTTGTATTCTGTTACAGTTTTAGAACCTAGAAAAAGGAAATATTAAAAAAAACTCGAAAGGATTGCTTAGTTGTTCTTTTTCTTCGTCTGATTCAATGGTTATTCAAATTACTGGTGTAGATCTACATTATGGATATTTACAAAAATTACTGAAGTTTATGCCTTTATAATGCGATTTAGGTTGTAATGCAAGTTCTCCTTCGCAGCAAGTTTAGCTCCCTTCGCAGCTTACTGAATACACTCCCGTTACTTCAGAAGTGAGCGTTAGTGAAACATTCGACCGATGCGCAGGAGAGTAGCAGCAAGTAAGATTTGTCCTCTTCCGAATTTCTCATAGCATGTCTTCATTCTTCACATTTGAAGGTATCCAAAAATAAGAAAAACAAGATTAACACGGAAGGGTGACATTCAATAAACGTATACCTACACACGAGCCAGCAAGACGGGACCTCCGACAAGAAGCCTAGCAGAACATAAAAAGCATCCACGAGTCTTGACATTTAACATGAAATGTCCTAATTCCATGTGTTAATTTGGTGTGCAGTCGTTTCATTGCTGAAGGTATGATTCAGTACAATTTAATATACGTCAAAGAGATCAGCCATAAGTAAGGAAGTAAAACAAGAGCTTTTAACCAAAATAAAGGAGACAGCATTACATAGGTGATGCAGCTTATATATAATTATTCAGTTTTGGCCGTTAGGCAAAAAATGGCGCTTGACGCGAGTTGTAACATCTACATTTTGTATAACAAATGACAAAGACGAAAGCAGAATTATGTTACGGTGTCCTCATCACAAGCATGCGTATTTTTCACTGCGTTGCCATGGGGACCTTACATGTTTCATGTTAATTTTGTGTTGTTGCATGCATTCTGACGTGACTTCGCTTTTAATGGTTTCGTTCTCGACAAGTCCGAAATAAATAAGGTGGTTCTATAGTAATACATTTGCACTGCACTACGATTAGATGAAAAAAGCTTGAACTATGCTATAATGGCAGATGTGCTTTTCTTGTACGAATTGGGATTAAACCTCTTGTTTCATTCGTCCGTGCGTCAGTTGTGTATGTCACGCGAGTGTCATGCTCATCATTGTGGCGGAAGATGTTCAGAAATTTCTTCTTAAACCACCTATTTTTGAACATCGGCAACCAACTAATAATGCAAAGTTTAAGGAAAATGGCGCGCATAATCCCATGCACAAATTGTCTTTCTCCTGGTACGAGTAGATAAAAACGGAATCCCTAAACAACGCCCAAAACGACAATATTTAAAATGTTGTAGACTCGGTTTGATTGAGTCTATTCATGAACGGTAGTAGAAAGTGCAAGTTACCGTCCACGCCCCCCTAGCACCGGATTTAATTAAGCCATCATTTTGTTATACAAGAATGGCGATCAAACTTGGCTTTTTATCCTCAATACCAATGTCACCGAAAAGCATATGGAAAATATTATAGTGTATTCTTCATTTTACTTTTATCTTCTATTAGTATTTGGTGATGCGAAATGGGATTGTACGATTTGCCATGCGTGATGATTTTCACGATCTTAAAATAGTTAGTTGTTCGGTAGATATAATTGACAAAAAGAGTCTGTCCGCCTATCAATGCACAGTGAATACGAATCAATGAAATGTAACCAGTCCTGCCCTAACATTGATTTACGCATGCTAAAATGTCTCATTTAGGGTAACTCTTTATTTTACTTGGACACCATACGCCGCATTCCATGGAATGGCACGTCAGTGTCACATTGAAGGTTCCATGGAACGCATCTGTGGATGTATCTAAATATATATGCTTAATCCGATGCAAAAAGAGGGGATGAATGGCCGGTTGCTTGCTATTACCACTACCGTCATTGAAAAGGCTAATCGGAGCAGGCTTGCAACATTTTCAATTTTCAGATGTTCCGTTTTTTTCCTCTATTTTAGAACTTACCTGTAAATTTAAATTTGCAAAAAAGTAATACAAGTTAAACAATTTAGTAAGTGAGTAGGCCTACAGATCAAACTGCAAGGTTTCTGAAGAGGGCTATAGTCCCGAGTTTATGCCGGGGAGGGACTCCATGGAGACTTGGTAGAATATCGTTTCTTAATCACTTACTTACTATCTCAAAACCAGACGCCTACATCATCATATATTGCAACCAACCTTCTTATCGTGTGGCCTATGCTATCAACTTTCTGAAATGTGAAGTGGCCATACAGTACAGTCGTGAAACTCGCAAGAGAAGCGAAATTTCTCAATTACAATATTTAGATCTCGGACTGGTCTTTTGCGTTTCACCGCCGATTTAGAAATCTTTCGGGATCGGTAGTCGGTCACTTGTTTATTACTTGTTAGTTTTTGCGATTTTGTGGACTGACCGCAAAGATGTGATCATATGTGTTTAAATCGTTAAAGAAACAATTACCATATATGTGTTTAAATCGTGAAAGAAACGATTAGATATTAATTAACTCCTAAAATGCTAGCTATAACGTACTGAACTTTCATCAGATTGTGATACATTTCTATAGATACAAACCAGATGAGCTTTGTTATTATAAAGTCTCTCGGAATCTCCGGTGAATATTTGTGCAAAGACAGCAATACGGAGATCGAACTCGATGAATTTGATTAATTTGCCTAATATCTAATTTAATACATAATCAGCCAATTAAGCCGTTGATAACTAAGATTCGAGTTTCCATTTCATGCATTATAGTTGTTCAGTCGCTTGGAAAACAATCGCGGTCACTTTCTCTTTCTGCAGTACGTATAAGATGTATACATGCAGACTATTTGATACATGTAAGCGCGTGTATCTTGCCAAAGCTAGGTTGTCCTCTGTCTTTGGATGGCATTTGAGATCACACTCTCATCCCCTTGGCATGTGCACGTCTTTGAGAGCCACAGGACATCGACAGTAGTAATTCTGTGCAACGTGTAAAACGACAAGGTCATGTACGAGATTTGTACCTCGGTTTTTAAGACGGAGTTGCTCGACAACGAGGAAAGGTACGATTTAAATGCTTGCGTGTGCGATTTATATTTACCTTGTTTAGAAGAAGGCGGAGATGCGAAACCAAGATACTAACGCTGACAGATGAAACCAAGCTAATAACGCTGACAGTTGAGCTCACCAAGGCCATGACCTAGCAGTGCTGGTCTTTGGCAAAGCGTTCGACCGCGTCCCACACAGCCGTCTGCTAGCCAAGCTTCATCAATATGGCATCAGAAACTATATACCCTGAAGTGGATTGAGACATTTTTCACAGGCCGACTCAGCACCCGTTATCAGCGGAGTCACCCAGGGAGGCGTGCTCGGACACATACTCTTCATGGTCTTCATCAACGACCTGTCACTTCATATCACGTCCAAGGCCAGGCTCTTTGCGGACGACTGTGTGGTATACCGGAAAATCACCACTGAAGAGGACTGCCACAGGATGACCTGAAGAAGCTTGCATTGTGGGAGAAACGCTTGGGCAGAGAAGTGCAGCATAATCAGGGACCACAGGAAGAGGAACCCGATCATATACCCGTACTCCTTGAAGGACCACACACTCGTTAAAGTCTCAGCAACAAAGTACCTCGGAGTCCATATGTCCGGAAACCTCTCCTGGAACTAACACGTTGACAAGATTGTGAAGAAGGACAACAGCATACTCGCCTTCCTTCGACGCAACCTGCGCATCAGTAACGAACAGGTCAAGAGCACAGTCTACATGCCAATCGTGCGACCAGGCCTTGAATATTGCTCCACCGTCTGGAACCCTTATACCAAGGACCTTACACGCAAGCTCGAGATGGTCCAGGGGAGAGCTGCAAGATATGTGACGAACCGTTACCACAACACCAGCAGCGTATCCTCCATGATTCAACACTTCGGGTTGCAGACATTAGAGTACGCCAAGACGGACCAAAGGCCAGCTAACCATGATGTTCAAGATCACCAATGATCTTGTGGACATACCAGTCAGCAATTACCTCACCCTAGCCGCACTAGAAGTGACATCTCCAAGAAGTTACATCAACCATCCACAGCTACATCGTACTACAAGAACTCCTTCTTCCTTCGTACAACCACAGCCTGGAACAGCCTACCTGCCCCCGTTGCAGAGGTCCCTGGCTTGGTATACTTCAAGCAGGGGTTATCATCCCTCACATTCTAATCCGCCATTAGGAGCCCAGCTACAAGTATCCACTCGTGATATCCAAGGCTGTGCCGGCCGCAGCCACCGTAACCGGAGAGGTTTGGGTTGAAGAGGCCAAAATGCAGCTGGCCAGACTTTTTGTCTATATCTCTTTCTTTTGACCTATCCAACCTCTCCTTACTTTCTATCATTTCATGTAGATCTCTTTATTTCTTTTTCTTGACCTAGCACCACCCGTTGCGTTATATTAATCAAGTCTGATTGCAGACTTGAAGCAACATAATTTATCAGGACTACTATCTTAATTGCACGCATGTAAATTATCATCAATTTGTACTATGAACATAAACCTGACATTTAGCGACATTATTGTGCCCCCACTTTAGTGGCAGGCATTTAGATTTACCCTTGTCCGTCCGTCCGTCCGTCCTTCCGTCTGTCCGTCCGTACAAACCAGAGCTACATTATGGGATTTGGTCTATTGATGTCATAACAATAGATGTCTTTGATGTCATTCATTCCGTTTCTCTTGTGGGGTTATTTTCGGCATTGTGGGGTTAAAAAGAACAAAAGAAATTAGAAAAGAAACCCCCATAATGTAGCTCTGGTAAGAATGTCCGTTCACTTTTGTGTCGCACGTAACTCAAAAAAGAATTTGACCTAGAGTCATGAAACTTTACAGGAATGTTGATCAGCATGTGTAGTTGTGCACCTGGGTATTTTCGTCTTAGTAGTTTTAGAGGTATTGCCCTTGACTTAGTAAAATTTTGCAATTTTCAACTTGTGTCGCATGTAACTCAAAAAGTATTTGACCTAGAGTCATGAAACTTTACAGGAATGTTGATCAGCATGTGTAGTTGTGCACCTGGGTATTTTCGTCTGGATATTTTTAGTATTTTTATAGTTATTGCCCTTGATTTAGTAAAATTTTTGCAATTTTCAACTTGTGTCGCATGTAACTCAAAAAAGTATTTGACCTAGAGTCATGAAATTTTACAGGAATGTTGATCAGCATGTGTCGTTGTGCACCTGGGTATTTTCGTCTAGATAGTTTTAGTATTATAAGAGTTATTGCCCTTGACTTAGTAAAAATTTGCAATTTTCAACTTGTGCATGTTACGTGTAACTCAAAAAGTATTTGACCTAGAGTCATTAAACCTTACAGGAAGGTTGCTCGGCATATTAAGTTTTGCACCTGGGGTTTTCGCTTGTGGATTTATCCCGTATTTGTAGAGTTATTTACCTTGACTCAGTAAAAAATGTTTCATTATGTTGTTATTTGTTTCTTGAGTGCTTGAGATAGAATCAACCAACTTTACAGGAATAACGATCAACATCACTAAAATACAGGAATAATGATTCACATCACTGTGAAGCTATGCACCTGGGACTTTGCATGTGGATTTTTTTCATCTTTGTTATTGTTATTGCCCTTGACTTGCAGTTGTATAAAATTGCAATTTTTAACTTATTCATGCATAGCTCAAAAAGTATTTGACTTGTAGGCCTGAAAGTTTACACGAATGTTCGTCAGCATGTGAACTTATGCACCTTGGGGTTTGCTTGTGGATTTATTCAGTATTTGTAAAGTTCTTGCCCTTTAGGCCTACTTAGTTACTTAAAAGATTTTTAGTTTTCAAAAAATATTTGATATAGAGTCATAAGATTGACAGAACAGTGGCCCCACCCGTGTCCTATGGACACATTTCTAGTTTTTAAGAATATGTTAATTAAAGCTATCACTTTGTTTCGTGAGAATCTAGAGCTTTTCATGGCGGGAAAATTTTAATTTCCAAATTCCTGCACAAGTTCTTGAATCAAGGCTTTAATTGCAATCACGGATTTATATTACATATATTTAATTTATGCAATATAAATCCGTGATTGCAATTAAAGACGTGTTAGAATTTAATAAGCTCTACTTGAACGATTTTCGGTCATTGAGTAACACAAGGAGAATAACTCCGAACTCTAACGGGACCGTTGTTTATTAAGAGTTACGCCGCTTTTGTTTACGTGGTTCATGCATAATTTGCAAGATTAAACTGTTAGATTTACAACTGACTTCAATTCATAATGGTCGTATTTTGAATGAGTTAAGTTAATTATTATGATTATGAATGATTCAAACTGCAGACTGTAAGATAGAACTCCTTTTACTAGACATGGACGAATCTTACGGTTCGACGTCTCTACGTCGACGTTACACTCGCGGCGAAAATGGAAGAATGCACGTGTTAAGCAGTAAATCAAGTGGATTTGTCTCTATTTCACACTTCTTTGTAGTAAGTTATTTAATTTTGATATGGAAGTCTTCTGTTAAAGTCAAAATTAACATTTTCAGAAACGCGAAAACTAATGTCAAATGTAAATTGAACATGTAATCGAATGTGCATCTTTTCGGATAAGACTTCCTATGCAGTAATTAATTGCAGACAGTCTGGCCAAGTCACACCATGTGGATGAATTTTAAAGTGAATGTCAAAGATTTTTAATTATTAGCAATTATGCATAGAGTTATTTTAATACCTAATGTGCGAAATATTTAAATATGGCAATAAAAACCCCATTTAAAAAATGTTTTATAATTACGTTTTATATTGATAAGCAGAATGTTTTTCTTTCAGACAGTCTTTCTACCACAAGGTTATCCAGAAAGTGTCAGTGAAGATTATCTCACATATCAGATTTGGGATACCATCCAGGTTGAATTCTTTTCATTGATTTGTTTCATACAATGTACATTAATTCTTTACAGTGCAGATTTTGGCTCAATTTCTGAGATAAATGTGTTTCCACCTGTGGTATTGAACTCAGAGAATATACAAGTGCAAGTCTGGTCAAAGAACTTTATCACCCTTTTATTATTTTAACCATTAAATTTATTTGAATATTTTGAATAAATACTTCAGTTAACATGTTTATCAGTTTTGTTAAAAATATTGATCTAGACAGATATAATTAATGTATCAAGACAATGAGTTTTTACAGCAGATAAAGCTTTGTAGCAATATTCTTATGTTTAAAGTGAAAATCCAGATCAAATTAATGTATGAAACATTTTGACTTAATCAAGTTAATCGTAACAGAAGTTTCAAACATGGTCTCTAACTTTTTTTATTTCATTCTAGGCATTTGCTAGTAGTATTACTGGTACATTAGCAGCACAGGCTGTTTTGAAAGGTTATGGAGTTGGTGATGAGTCTGCTACAGTGATGGCTGCAACAATGACATGGCTTCTTAAAGGTGATTATTATAGTTATATCAAAATTAGCTGTAACAGTTATATATGTTTAAAGAGATTTCAGTATCAAAATATGAAATTTGAGCTACCAACAGAATATAGAGCCTGGTCAGACTGCATATAAATGCAGGGTGGCAATGACTTATAGCTAATTTCAGTTCCAACAAGTTAAGGGTTACTGGTAACATAAATTCTATATGCAATGTCACTGGTTCAAGAGTTAAGCCAATTTGTGTAGTCTGACCAGGCTCTACAATACTGGTTACATTGATCTCTGCAATAGTGTGGTTAAGGTTATAGAGTTCTTATATGTTGACCCTGATTGCTTGGGTTGGAAACCCACCAGTGGTTTGTGATTGGGTTGGAAACCCACCAGTGGTTTGTGATTGATTATTTATATGTTAGCTAGTTCAGTTGTGAAATGTTGGTGATTCTACTCTGGTTCCCATATATGTGCCTGATACTAGTAACTATACATAAAGATCTTTCTTAGTACTTCCTCAGCTAAATATAAGCTTGAAAACCATTTGACAAATACAGTGTCATTTAATGAATGTCAAAAATTGGCTGATGTATCATTTCCTAATTCCAAGTAATCAATGTGGTAATCAATGTGGTAATCAATGAGGAAATCAATGTGGTACTATATTGCTAATACTATTCTTTATTTTTCAAAAGTATGTTAAACTAGAATGAATACTTTACTTTTCCAGATGGTACAGGGATGATGGGAAGGATCCTTTTTGCCTGGATGCAAGGGTATGTACAATATTGTTGTCGAAACTGTATGTGAAGTATGGAGAAGATTTACATTGAGTGGTTAGGGTCACTGTCTTTAAATTACTTGTCTGTGGCTAATTTGAATTTCAGTGGCTAATTTGAATTTCAAATCTACCTAAGATTTATTTAATATAATGCAGTTATCCTGCTTGCTTATAGAGTATTATGGGGTTCCACTCAGGTGCTGGGAACCTACACTATTAACATTTTTTCTGAAACAATAGCAATGGGCATTTGTTTATGGTGTCTGCCTCACCAGAATGATTGATGGGTTTAAGTCCTACTTAGGTCATAACCATGTTTCCTCAAACAACTCCAATAATGGTTAGTTCCAGGGAGATCATTTGACTTTAAAAGTTGTATACTCAACATCACTAATTCCGTGTCATCACTTATCTCACGGTAATGGCATATTTTCATGTGACCAGTGTTAGAATTGGCCAGAATTGACATATTTTTTTCAAACACCTTAACAACAAAGTTTTTGTGCAAAATAATTTAAATCTATAGATTTTTATGTAAAACTGAACAACATTTTACAAACTTCTGCAAAAAACAACAATAGTCCATTAAATTTGTGCATACGTCTGAAACAATCATCATTTTCTAAATGTTCTTGTTTGTTGAAAGAAAAATTTTGAGTTACAATGTAAAGATACTTTTAATATTTAATATTATGCAAAATAACATAAAGAATTTTTAACTGAAACATGAAAAAAACTTAAATAAAACACCATTACCGCGAGTTAAATGATGACATACTGTTTTAAAATGGCCCACACGGTCTACATCTGACAAACTAAAATTTATTTTGATTGAATATATTGTTGTTTCCTTGTGTCATATAGCAGAAAAATGACTAAATGATACAGTTTATGAAAGTTTTTATAGTGTAAGTTTATTGTTTGTCTTCTTTACTGTTTTTAAGTGTTAAGTACCTTGAACTAAGAGGAGCACAGTATAAATAGATGTTCCTTGACAATTTTATAAATTTGTTAATGTTGCCTTTTTCAGGACTGGCTTAGACTGTGATGCCAAGAGATGGAGGTATGTATTACTACATGTACATTTATTTTTAATGTTTCAGGAACTACTTATTTTATTTGACATTTGATCTCTGACATTAAGTCTAATGGTCATTTGTCTGATACTGCTGATCTATTGTCTCTTACTGCTGATCTATTGTCTCTTACTGCTGATCCAGAAATTGTGTGGGATTAGTTATATATCACTTAAAGAGAAATTGGTTATAACTGGTCAATTATTTAATATCACGGATAGTCTGTTTAATGTTCTGACCACAGTGACATGGCAAAATATTTGTTAAAATCAGCATAAAAAAACCCAGACAAACAAAAAGACAAAATAATTTTGAACAGAGTGTAGTATGCAAACCATAAAAAATTCCTTCATCAATGTCATTTTATCAAAATAAATAACATATCAGTAAAACCACTAATAAATTTTGCACTGAAGTGGTAGTATTTTATGGACAGTTGGACACATTGACTTGATTTATTTACAGATTGTTTGCTGATATTATCAATGATGCAGCTATATTTCTAGAGATTATGGGACCACATTTCCCTCACCTCTTCACATTTATTCTCTGTGTGTCAGGTGTATTAAAGGTAAATATGTAGAAGGTAACATTATAATTGAAAAGATGAAAAGTGAAAAGGTTCCAGATGGGTAGTGATACATTAACTCAAGTCTGCAGAATGAGAAAAATATAAGGGGAGAACTAATGTGAACAAGACAAGGGTGAACAGAAAACTTAAATTTGAGTCGCTAGAATAACGGAGCATAGCTGTGTATTACAACAGAAAGAAATAACAACAGAAATGACAGTTTGTTCAATTTTGGCCACAGATCTGTTTGTCCCTCTATTCATTTATCTGGCTGTTTTGTCAGTGCTTTTCCTCGGCAACTATGACTAGAAATTATTTAGATACTATTTAGAACATTATACGCTTCACATTTAATCAACATGTTCCAGTTAAATTGATATCTTACAAATTTATTTATGTTAACCATTGATTGGTTTCATTGAAACTTCCTTTGATGCATTTCTACCTAGTTGATAAATACATAGAGGGGTAGGGTGTATCACCTTATATACATGTATAAGGGCCATAAAATGCTTTCCAAATAGATTTATTTTAGTTATGCAGTTATCCCCCAAAAAACATGACTTATACCAGCTTTGACTTACACTATCAAAATTATGAGGCTGAGGCCACTTCCAAATAGGAAAGGAAAATCAATGGTGCATATAGCAATTTTGACTTGAACGATTTAACTACCTTTAAGTTATGTAAGTAAGCCTTGACCAGATTATACCTTTTTTGACTGATCCCCTACTGACACATCATCTACATGGATGTGTAATAAGATGGTTATATTATTTTTGTTACAGTCTATAGTTGGAGTGTCAGGTGGCGCCACCCGTGCTGCATTAACTCAACATCAGGCTCGTAGAAACAACATGGCGGATGTCTCAGCCAAAGATGGAAGTCAGGTAAACAAAAAATATTCATTTCTGTAGTTTAGTTTGTCAATTATTTGATTTATCTCATAATAAGTTTAAAAAATTATTTTGAACAGTGCTAAATTTGAATACTAGCCGCCTAAATGATTAGAATTTTGAATAATATTTGTGAGCTGGATTTCAAAACAAGAATGAGCATAGAGATTAGTATAGAGCATGGTTAGACAGCTTTTATGTGTTAACTGGCCAAGCCTGTGCCATAGATAAACTATTTTTAACTTTCCTATTAGAAGAATAGGGAAACCTATTGTACTTGCCCCGGCGTTGGCATAACTATCACACTTTGGTTAAGTTTTTGCCTGCAAGTTTTAACTCCAAAACTACAGAAGGGAATGGGTTGTTAACTGCTTTGCCAAGGTTGCTTTCATGAAAATGTTCAAGTGGATCAATATAAAAAATTGTCTCGCCAAATGATCTTTCTTATTACCTTTTCTTTCTTCCAAATATGTTTCAGGAAACACTAGTCAATTTAGCAGCATTGATATGTAGTTTAATTTTGGTTCCCCTGGTAACCGGCAGACATTTGTAAGTAATTGTTTACATTCCATATTATTTAATAATAGTAGAACTGATTTTAACATTATTTCAAAGGGAGACAAATATAACAAAAATATTTGAGTTATTGTCTTTTTATGTACAATATTGTATGTAAATATAACTACAAGATAATGCATTTGCATGTTAGTTTTATTTTGATGCTTATTTAAATTTATAAAATGGAGAAGTGGGAAGAAATCTCATATTTGATCAATTGATTTTTCAATCATAGCTTATTATGCTCCCCGAAAAATTTCGGGGGAGCATATAGTCGTTGGGTTGTCCGTCCGTCCGTCAGTCCGCACTACCGAAAAGGGACAGGGGGCCATCTAACTGTAAACAGAACAAGAGAACAATAGAGTTCATTCCGTAACAATAGAGTAAGGGGCCATTGGCCCTCTATTAAACAATAGAAAATAACAAAAGAAATGGCCCCTTATTCCATTTCGGTAGGACGTCCGTCCGTACATAAGTACGTCCCGAAGTCGTGTCCGGCCCATAACTTTGTTATTTGAAGTCGGATTTTAAAATTATTTCACAGAAGTGATCACCATATGTAGACGACGTGTCGCACGCAACATTTGGGTCGCTACCTTGAAGGTCAAGGTCACAGCATGACCTTGCAGCAAAATCGTGTCCGGTCCATAACTTCATTATTTGAATTCGGATTTTAAAAATATTAAACTGAAATGATCACCATATTGAGACGCCGTGTCGCGCGCAACATTTGGGTCGCTACCTTAAAGGTTAAGGTCACAGCATGACCTTGCAGCAAAATCGTGTCCAGTCCATAACTTCATTATTTGAATTCGGATTTTAAAAATATTTAACAGAAATGATCACAATATTGAGACGACTTGTCGCGCGCAACATTTGGGTCACTACCTTTAGGGTCAAGGTCACAGCATGACCTTGCAGCAAAATCGTGTCCGGTCCATAACTTTGTTATTTGAAGTTGGATTTTAAAAATATTTCACAGAAATGATCACCATATTGAGACGACGTGTCGCGCACAACATTTGGGTCGCTACCTTGAAGGTCAAGGTCACAGCATGACCTTGCAGCAAAATCGTGTCCGGTCCATAACTTTGTTATTTGAAGTTGGATTTTAAAAATATTTCACAGAAATGATCACCATATTGAGACGGCGTGTCGCGCGCAACATTTGGATCGCTACCTTGAAGGTCAAGGTCGCAGTATGACCTTGCAGCAAAATCGTGTCCGGTCCATAACTTTGTTATTTGAAGTTGGATTTAAAAAATATTCCACAGAAATGATCACCATATTGAGACAATGTGTCGCGCGCAACATGTGGGTCGCTTCCTTGAAGGTCAAGGTCACAGCATGACCTTGCAGCAAAATCGTGTCCGGCACATAACTTCGCTATTTGCAGTTGGATTTAAAAAATATTTCACAGAAATGATCATCATATTAAGATGACGTGTCATGCACAACATTAAAGTCGCTACCTTGAAAGTCAAGGTCACAGCATGACCTTGCAGCAAAATTGTGTCCGGCACATAACTTCATTATTTGAAGTCGGATTTTACAACTATTTCTCAGAAATGATCACCACAATGAGACATTGTGTTGCGCACAACATTTGGGTCTCTACCTTGAAGGTCAAGGTCACGCTATGACCTTGCAGCAAAATCTGCATGTGTAACATTACTTTCTAAATACATTTACTTTAATTACTTCTGGATAAACTGTACAAAATCTACCATGCCAGTGAATTCAACTGATTGCCAGTGAGTTCAACTGATAATTGTTATGTATGATTTCACAGATTGATATGGACATTGTATTTTACATTTACGTCCCTCCATCTGTATGCAAATTACTCGGCTGTCAAAGGCGTTGTCATGGAATCAATAAATCAAGCACGATTATACATTCTGCTGGCAGAATACTTCACAACTGGTACCATACTTTCACCAAGGGTTGTAAATAAAAGGGAACCAGTTCTTTGGAGTAAGTTATTTACAAAGATTTTTGTATTTTGATTGGTTCAGTGTGCAAACTTTGAAATATACGTTTTCAGCATAACTTAATTACATTTGTAATTGATTATAAAATTCAATTAACTTAGAGATATGTTTTACAGACTTATTTTAGAACATATTTGAAATGTAAGTAGAATTGTGCAACAATTTAATTAAATTAAGCACTAGGAACAAAACAATACAGTTGAACAAAATAATCATAAAATATGTTGATCTTTAAGAATGTACACCCATTTTGTAACAGTAGCACTCTGTGATTTCAAATGGTTTCCTATATTAACCAGAATATTTCTAATGTATAAATTGACACATGGTTACATTATTTTTGTTACTGTCTATAGTTTGCATGATAGGTGGCAGCACTTTAGCACCTTTAAACATATATTCACATGTATTGAAGCTTAATTGTGAAACAAGTTGCTTCGACTTTTGTACATCATTTTAAAGGCTACTTTCTGGAATGAACTAGTGCCAGTTTCACATGAGGAAACAAGATTGTGACCCAAGTAGGGTCAAACCCACAATCCGAGGGTTGTGCGGCATACACCTTCAACACTAGACCCTCTCTCCCATTTTTAAGACAGATTGTCTACCTGCTAATACAGGTACTGTAGTAGAATAATTATATGCATAGAAAAGACTTGAGGAATGCAATCACCTTTAGATAACATATCAAATTTCAGGAACAAGAAGAAAATTACAGATACGTCTAGGGACATCTATTAAAAGTTTATGTGATAGGTAAGTGAAGTTTCCATACTTGGTTACAATCTAGTAACTTAGTGATATAAAAATTGTACATATCGTCATCCTTTACAAATGGCATTTTGATGACATTATGTGTTTAACTTCAATGATTAAGTTTGTAAAGTAAAACAAAGTGTTTAGTGAAGCAAGTCACAATTGTAGATTATTTTTTGAAAAAACATTGTTTTGTCACCAGCATGAAATAACTTATTTTTATAAGATATATACAGATTAAAACCCCAATGGTGACACACATGGTCACTTAAATGCATCTCTGTTACTTTGTTATATTTCATGGAATTTCAGTGTCAAACTGTTTTAAATATTTTTTAAAGAATTTTTGTATCACCCATATAACTTTTGCTTTGCCCTTTTTTATGCCGCCACTGATTCGGATGGCAGATAGATTTGCACTTGTCCATCAAGCTGTTGTGCTGTCCATCCATCAACTGAAAAAAAGTAGAACGTTGTGACATCTGTGTACCGTGGACACAAAATTTCTAGTTCCCTCAAAATACAAAGAAATAAAAGGACTTTGCCAAAAATTGATTAAAAGAATTGATAATAGTAATCCTAGGTTTAGATATTAATCTGAATCTATCTTTGTTGTTTCAGTCAAGAAGATATAGAAGAGTTTTGTAATATCTATAGAACAAGCAGATATATCCTATGGATAGAAAGAGATGCAGGTGAAATACATGTAGTCTATGTTATAAATGTCGAAATATGCTTAGATGAAAACACTTAATTCTTACTTGTTTACTACACAGTTATATACAGCACTGATAATATCTGTCATACGTTGCGGTTCAGTATGAAATATCCGTCCCGTGGGGACCCTGCCCATCATACAATGGAGTATGTATTTACAACTTTAATAACAACGGCAAAATGACGTCATCCTAAGCAAAGAAGTCATTTTAACCACTTCATTAGTGAAATGCGCTAAAATGATGTTGTTGTATGGCACGTGACTCATCTGGCACCCCCTATGCCAGATGAAATTTCTGGCAAAGTTAAAACTAACAGAAACACCAGTCTGCAATGCAAGAAAATATATGCAATTAGGCCGGCTGTAAAGCAATTACCACTTTACAAGTACAGTTTCAGCTGTTCCCAAAGTTGAACATTGCGATGAGTCTGACTTCTCTCTTTATAAATTTTTGTTGCATAGTTTTTTGAAAAGATTTTAAGTTTGATTTTATTTATTGCTTATTGATATATGTGTAAGTAAATGTATTGTTAAATGTTTTCAGGATGTATAAATATAGCATTACGACAGAATGCAAGTGTTCTGGATCAGCTAGAGGCTTGTTATCATGCTGAGTTGATCAACTTCATACATGAACATCAATCATCACAGGTATGATTTTATTGTGTCGCCTCTACGGAGTAGTGGCGACATATAGGGATCACTTCTCCGTCGTCCGTCTGTCCGTCTGTCTGTCTGTCTGTCCATCCGTCCGTCACAAAACTTGTCCGGACTACTCCTCATAAACTACTGGTGCAATTTCATCCAAACTTTACAGGAATGATCAGTACCAAGTCTAGTTGTGCATATTGTCAGGATTTTCCGGTTCAATGATTTTTGTCAGAGTTATGGCCCTTTAATAATTTTTAATTTTAAAGTTTGTCCGGACTACTTCTCTTATACCACTAATGCAATTTCAATGAAACTTTACAGGATTGATCTGTAGCTCAAGTCCTTGCGCATATTGCACGGGTTTTCCGGTTGAATGATTTTTGGCCTAGTTATGGCCCTTTGATAAAAAGGTTTCTTTTTCTGTGTGTTGCCAGATACACAAAAGCTTGTCCGGACTACTCCTCATAAACTACTGGTGCAATTTCATCCAAACTTTACAGGAATGATCAGTACCAAGTCTAGTTGTGCATATTGTCAGCATTTTCCGGTTCAATGATTTTTGTTTGAGTTATGGCCCTTTAATAATTTTTATTTTTAAAGTTTGTCCAGACTACTTTTCTTATACCACTTATGCAATTTCAATGAAACTTTACAGGATTGATCTGTAGCTCAAGTCCTCGGGCATATTGCACAGGTTTTCCGGTTGAATGATTTTTGGCCTAGTTATGGCCCTTTGATAAAAAGGTGTTTTTTTCTGTGTGTTGCCAGATACGCAAAAGCTTGTCCGGACTACTCCTCATAAACTACTGGTGCAATTTTATCCAAATTTTACAGGAATAATCAGTACAAAGTGGTTAGTCTAGTTGTGCACTGTCCGTCTGTCACAAAATTTGTCCCAACATGAAATTGGCCATCATGAGGCGACACATGTGATTACTGATCGCTCTTGTCTTATAATATTATCTAGTCTGTGTGATATATACTTATAGGGAAAAAACTTAACATTAAGTATTGCAGAATCTAAGAATACTGTTAACTCTTAGCATGCTAAATATCTTTATCTTTCAATCTGGACAAAACCAAAAAACAGAATTAAAAATAAAAATATGTTGGTTAATATTGGTATGAATATATCACTTTTTTCATTCACAAATTTTAACTAACATTTCTGTGATTAAAGTATACACATATGATTATGGACGAAATAATGTTGCAATAAGTAATGGTATGTATTATTTAAAAGCAGTGTTAAGCTACAATTATTTATGTATAATAATAATAATAAGAAATAAACATAGATTTTGTTAGAGTCATATGGACATTTGGACCTGGGTTCGATTCCCTGACAGTGCAGGTCACTTTCGCTTTGATTTCACACTTAACTTCTGCTCTTGCATGATACAGAAGTTATCAGTTTCTTGAAAAAGTGAAGGCAACTAGTACTGGTAAACTGCTTGACAGCCTGCCCAGAAACGCTGAGGTGGTTGAACTGTGCTCTGGTAAATTCTGTGTGGGTTATTGCAGTGATCTGGAGTGAAAATACCAACCCCACCAGCACTGAACATTTCATTTTTGTTGCTGCTGGTCAGAAGCTGAAGTAATTATATATTTTGCTTTACAGATTTATATCATTGGTTTTGTTGTGTCTTTATATTTCAGAATTTGGGTGTACAACTTCAACATCTAGTAAAAGAACTAAATGACAGTAAGTTCTTTATTCTCTGTTACAATAAGTACCGGGTACTCAAATGTTAATTTATGTTAAATAAAGACAAACAATGGCAAGCATGACTAAACGGTTATTTTCAACCTCTTTAAAGTTTAAATTGAGTTTCTTGACTACTATGTAGTGTTACTATGAAAATTTAAAATTAAATTTGTCTGCTGTTGCGACATGTTCTTTGCCAACTTTCACAGATACAAAATTTTCCCTTTTACCTTCACCATTATGTTTGTTTGTTTTGGGTTTTACGTCACACTAACACAGTATAGGTCATATCACAACATTCCAGCTTTACTGGTGGAGGAAGACCTCAGGTGCCTTCACCATTAGGATGAATTAAAACACTGAAAAACACTGTATTCACAAGATTTACTTGGATGGGCTAACAATCTTCTTTACAATCAACCTTGAAATTAACCTTCTTATGCATGGATATCCTGCAAAATTAATTAATTAGGTGATTAACTTGGAAAAACTCACTTTTGTCAAGTTGCGAATAACAATTGTTTGAAATGCATTTAATAGGTATTCTTTTCATTTACTCACTATATATGAAAGACATACATGTATCTATTAATTGGCAACTTTATTAATTTAGATTCATTTGTTTCAGAGAATCCTCCATTTTTGCAATCAACAAGAAATTATGTTATAAAAACATTCCCGCAATTCCTGGAGGATGTACATCAAGGTCGCTGGAGGACTGATGTGTGTCTACTCGGAGCAGATGAATGGAGAATTGAGGACCAGTCTTCTAAAAACACTGTGAAAAAATTGTGAACCATTCTGATTCACTGGACATAGTATTCATATTTTTACTATTCCATGTATTTGGATATCACTGGACATAGTATTCATATTATTACTATTCCATGTATGTGGATAGTTTTAAAGATTGGTATAAAGACATTTTAATTTCTTACAAGTTGTTGTAAGTTCTACACCTGCAGAGTAGCAAACAAAGTTTTAAGACTTTAAAAAATATATTTTTGTTAAAAAAATGTATACGTTTTTACAGTCCATACAATACTGTTTATGCAACATGCCACATTTGACAGAATTTACAAGTTTTTGTCACCAAATTTCTATCTGTTACTAATGTGTATATAGCTATAACTTAAAAAAAAAAAATTTAATTTAAAAACAGTAATCTTTGTTTTCATTATTTTTTGTTATTTTTTTTTTTTTTTAATGATTTCAAACACATTTTCAAGCAGTTTTCTGGCCATTCATCATTTCCACACTTATCTTAACCTTGACACATAAATGACCTTTGCCTTCAAGGTCAAATAAATTTTGCTTGATTTTTGCAATAATTGGCTATAACTTTGTAATTTATGAATGTATTGTATTCATACTTGGACTAGTAATATCTGTCATGTGCTGTGGTCCGGATGGGAATATCCATCTATGGGCGGGTTCCTAAGGGACAGATATTCCATTCCAAACTGCAAACATGTCAGATATATATTCCATTATATTTTAAATTCTTTACCCTTCATAAAACAATTTTCCATAGAAATTTATGTCATTACACCCAAAACTATTTTCTTGCAACAGTGCATGAAATTAAAATTTTATTCATAACAATAAAATTACATCATCTTAAGCATGACATTGTATAGCACGCGACTCATGAGTCGCGTGCTATACAATGTCAGCTTAGGATGATGTAATTTTACTTCGAAAAAAGTTGAACTGGAAATGGCTCAAAATTCCATATAATAAAAATAAGACAACTAACATTTACAATTTTATGATAAATTTTAATTTTCCATAATCATTTATTATATATAATATATATTTATATACAGAAGACTTAATATTGCACAAAACATCCTTTAACCGTTTAACATGCCAGCAATGATAATGGGTTGCCTAGGTTACCAGTACAGAGCCATAACCAGCCTCAATATGCCTGCAGTCCGGCCAGACTCTGTACTGTTGGATACTCCCATTTTTAGTATTTTGATACTGAAACCCCCCTCCCATTTACATGGACAGTTCCAAGTTTGAAACCTGGGCAAGTCCATTATACAAATTTAGCATGATCAGGGTTAAATAAAAGGCTGGAAAAGATACAAGAGAGGAGTTATCACCCTTGGAACAACATACATATAAAGGTAACATTCTTAACAGACCCAATAATTCTAGTTCTGTTACAAAGAAACAAACAAACCAGTTTTAGTTCTGTCACAAACATAAAGAAACAAACAAACCAGTTCTAGTTCAAAATAAACAAAAAGGTAATGTTTTACTTGCAACTTGCAAGGTATACAATACATGTATATCTTTTATACCATTGACATCTGACTCTTGGAAGAATACATGGAACATTTATTGTATAGTCACATTTATAAGTTTACACACAAAAAAAAACAACGTAAAATTTTTTTTTTCTTCATTTTTTTGTAAAACAAATATTTAAATAACCATCTTTCAAGTAAAAGAAGCTGAATTTTTCTGTTTGTAGCAGACTAAGTTAAGAAAAAATTGAATTTTACATTTGGAAATTTCCACCAAAAAAAAAAAATATTCAATTTGCTCAGCAGGCTGGTATTTTGCCAAAATTTCTGGAAACTGTTTAAAACCAGCAAATATCTTCACATGTCACATTTCATAGGTGGACAGCCTGTAGCAAAAATTACTGAACTTTTGTTATTTCTTCATTATTCATTCAAAAAATCTATGAAAACCTAAGTTATAGGAGACGGTTACAGAAAATTTAGAAGGTATAATATTATAACTAAATGTTTAACTAAGACATGACAATCTAACAGCACTTACAAACTTTGGAATGTCTCTATATTTATCTCTCTATAAGACGCACTTTATAATGTCTTAATCAACAATCATTTGACGCAATTTATAATGTCTTTAACAATCATTTGAAACAATTTATAATCTCTTTAACAATCATTTCTTATTGTAAGGAAAAAAAGTATTAAACAGTTTGACCAATAGAAAAATCTTTTCTTCATGATCTACTAGTATGATTTTCAGAGAACTGTTTTTTTTTTTTCACAATCAATATGATAGTCATTAAGGTAGTCTTACTGTAATGCTTTCCTGCCAAAAAATTTATAACATCAGCAAACATTGTAATACCGTAAATCTGGTCATTTCCAGAACTTTATTTTTCACTATCTTTGGTATTAAATAATCTTTAACTGTTTATAGTTGGAATTTAGTTCATAGCAATAAAGGATTAGTGACTGTAAATCTAATGCCTAAGATTTTAAAAATTTGATGTTCCGGAAATAACCAATTTGCTATGATATTATAACTTTTTGGCAGGAAAACATTGCAGTAAGACTAACCTTAAATATACTAGTAAATAGAAGAGTTACATCTGATTACTTATTTCAATAAACTGATATAAGGTTTGTAATATCAGAGAAATAAAACCTGCAAAAATAATTCACATATCTGTTACTAAGAGTTGTTCTAATTAATATGAAATGTAAAATATCGCTACACAAGGGCAGATTGTCAAAGATTTAATAAATTCAGGCCAGGGCCCATATTCAACAACATTTAAAGTCCAAAATTTAGATGTCACATTTTACAAATTACAGATATTTTACTTTTTCTTTTTTTCTTTTCAAAAACAATCATTGATAAGTGACTAAACAGCAGGAATGTACTTTTGTAAGGTGCAGGTAACTATGTAAAATGATACTACAATCATCTGGAAGGACTACAGAATTGAAATAAGCAAGAACTGCAGGTCAGTGAGACCACTAGCCTATCCTCAGACAAGAGGGTCGACCAGATAATTGAATGCAGGTATTCTCGCAGTACTCTACAGGAATTACCAAGTAAAAATAAATACCGGATTTATGATGACCTTTATGACCCCAAATATGTATGTAATGTAACATTTCAACTAAATACCTGCAGTGGGTAAAGAAATATAAAGTTGCACGCAAAACAAACAGCTCCACAACTCTTAAATTAATAGAGATAAAAATTGAAGCAGTATTAGCATATTGGCATAGAGCTTGAAATCAAGCAGTGTTGAGCTTTCTACATTTTCTTAAAATGGCATTTTAAGATCATGTTAAAAACAATAACATCTAAATTTAAAACAATTTAAATATTGATGAATAAAGGGCCCTGATACATAATATTTCATAGTAGAAATCTTGGATCTCGATACATACAGAAAAGGTAAAATGAGCAAAACCATGTTTGATCCCCTATACCTGTAACAAGGTTTTCTATTTTAAATTTATGAACAATATTTTCATATCTATGAGTGTAAGCAGCAATAATATATCACCCTATGCCACCTGCATCAGGTGAGGCCAGTCTGAACATCCTAGTGGCCAAACTAAAATCTATGCTGTTGATTACAGCTTTTCTATATGAAATGTCAGAGATGTGAAACCTCTTAACTTCTATTTTATAAATTTTACATACTGAATTCTAAAATTGGTATACTTTAACAAAAAGATCATAAAATGATAACTTTTAATCACTCCTAATTACCCTAAATTAAAACTCCTCCTACCCACAAAACTGCCAATATTTCAGCAAATTATTATTTGGTCTTATAACAGCTTTTTGGTTGATGCCTACATATTATATTAACAACAACATACATTTATCGAAAACCTCTAACATTTCTAAACAATTTCCATAAAATTAATTAATTTCTTTACTTACTAATACACTGTAATTACTAGAAAGAACCGTGTTACAGATATTAAGGATCATCACAGAAACTGTTGCCATGGTAACAGGATATAAATACCAGGAAGGTTTGTAGGGGAAGGGTTTTCATCACACTTTATCAGAAAACAATTCAATAATAAATAAATTTGCTATATACACTCTTCAACAACTACATTTACATCGTCAAAAAACTAAGAAAAACAATTGAGCCGCGTCATGACAAAACCAACATAATGCGTTTGCGACCAGGATGGATCCAGACCAGCCTATCAGTTTCTCTACTTGTTATAGGGTCTGTAAGCATACAGCATGGATCTTGATCAGACTGTGCGGATGTGCGCAGGCTGGTTTGGATCCATGCTGGTCGCAAACCCATTATGTTGGTTTTGTTGTGACGCGGCTCAAATATGTATATATCACACTTAGAAAAAAAACACATAGATAAAAACATTCGGCACATAAAAAACACATTAAAAACCAGTTAAACTCTCTATTCCTACAAATAAAAACGATAAATCTTAGGAAAAAAACAATTATGATGTATTCTTTTAATGTCCAAAGGACAAAATGATCACATTTTTTTATGAATATGCATGATTAACAGTTTCTATAAATATTCATGATATGACAAAACAAAAGTTCATTAATATTCATTAGCTTTGTTTATATGGACAAAGGGAATACTTGATATATTATGATATGGCATGTATAACACCAGTATAATAAAAGAGTATATCCGAATACTTTATAAATATACATGTCTCATATACAATAAGTAATGTCTTTCTTTCTTTTTGGCTTCAACAAATAACCTCATTAACTATTTAAAATCAGCTATACATTATCAAAAACATGGCTTATTTAGATACATAATTTGTCGTGTACTTGACCTTTTATAGCAATCCATTTATTACATACAGATCACAGATTGCCTGTCATTCTTATTTACCGGAAATTTCATTTGACAAGCAACATATTCAAACTTCAGTAAAAAAGTAGTAGCAAAAATCACAGAAAATTAAAACACCAGTATGAAATGGGGATAACTGGACAAAAATTTACTCCAATCATCAATTTAATACCCAATATGTTCTCTATAATTTTTTGTAGAGCATGTTTATTCGGGCCATATTATAATAAGCATTTTTTGAGCATTGGTAGGCATAATTAAACTTAAATATATATGCTAAACATCTTAAACAGACTTAAATGAAAACATTCATTGTCTTTAGAGAAACTTCGAAAGAGGTTCTGACTGGATATTGTCACAGTGCCAGCTATTTGCCGTAAAAATGTACTTTGGTACAAAACCACCAAATTTCATGTCCACAAAATTAAGTGAATTCACAGTAATAAGAATATTTGTAATTAGTTGAAAGATCAGCAAACAAGTAATTTACCCCACAAATGTACTGTTACAAAAGAAATGTGGTTTCCGAAACAGAAAATATATATATATATGCCCTATTATAAAAACAAATTGCCATTGCATTTTATTTCAAGCCATTGTCGAATGAACACACTATAAAATCAGTACCAGAAGTTTGATATATAGCAGGGGACATTGAAACTATATTTGTATATATCTGAACATTTGTTGGTGTTTTAAAGGAACACCGCTGAGGTTCAAAAATCCAAAAACATAAAATCTGAATTTCCTACACAGATCAGCTTAGACACTTAAATCAGAAAATATATGCAAAAGATAATTAAGAAATATACTAAGAAATATACTGAAAATAGTATTTTTCTGCTATTCTTAGCCCGATTAAAGTGAAAAGCGTTGGAATTTTTAGTCATTTTTCATATCTAGAAAATAATTCTGGGAAAATGGTGTCTTTTGCACACAACTGATTGGTGTAAACCTTCATCAAATGGAACATTAATCTTGTAAATTATTTCCAGCCCCATCATGTCTAAAAAAAAACTCTATGGAATCCCCTTTAATTAAAGTAAAATTGAGGTTTACTGGAATATCATCTATGTCATAAGCCAAGTACTATTTCAGTCCCCACAAAAAAGGTTAATATCTAAAATCCTTCGTATTTAAACTGAAAAATTCAAATTAAAGTCAAGATAGCTAGCCAATTTTGTTGATAATATGACAAATATGGTTGAGTGACCCAAACCCCACCAAAAAAAAAAAAAAAAAAAAAAATGGAAAAATCATTGTGAATTTTAAGGACCATAATCTTACTAGTTTGAAAGATTTATTGGATTTTATATCAAACTATTAAGGTCATAGGACGACTTTCCAGCTTTACTGGTGGAGGAATTGCCTAAGAAACCCTGTCTTCCTTCATTGCAGGCACAAAGAGGCACCTGAGCAGAACCACTGACCTTCTGTAAACTAGCTGGATAGCTTCCTCACATGAAATAATCCAAAGTTCCTGCCAGGATTTTAACCTACAGCAGTGAAGGGGCAAGTTGGCAACAATAACCATTCAGACCAAGAAGGATATAAAATCTTAAGGAATAAACATGTTCAATTTAAACAATGTTTCAGTCTAGTGTTAACCTGTAAAATGTATTGAAATTTGGATTAATCCCTGTAAAGGTGTAACAATAGAGTTAAGTAATGGACTGACAAACAAATAAATCTCTGCACAAAGAAACAATGCTTCTGAACCCTGTGTATGTCATACTGGCTGTAGAAATCTGATAACTGTTTTAATTGACCAGAAACCATTTCTGGTTTAGCCCTTAACTTGCTGGAATCTTAACTGATTAATCTTTGCCCTCACTATATACAGCAATGCTAGCCTGCACATCTGTACAGAGTTACTAGGCATTATACTGTTAGTAGCTCCAATCTTGTTATTTTGATATAGAAATCCCTGAAACTAAAATCCCTTAAACTGACTATTCAAAATTGAAAAGCTGGGTGAACGTATTTAATACATTCAGCAGGTTAAGCCTATGAAGTGTTTTTGGAACATGGAACACATGATTAAAGTTTGACTCCCAATATATCCATATAAAACATAGAGATAACTGTGGAGTTTGGCTAGACTTAAAACACTTCCCCCACCCCACCCATCCCCTCACCCGAACACAGGGCTCTACCATCAAATGAAATACACTGTATAAGAAATATTCAGACTGCAGCTGAAGGAAATGCGTTGAAACCTGACTTTGAGTCAATTTATATAATAACTTGTACAAATCTGCCTATTATGTAACATTATTTGTCAACGAAAAAAGTCTTTAAAAGATGGAAAACTGACGTTGGCTACTAAAACAACCTTTAACAAATTTTGAATGTTTAACTTTAGCATATATAAACAATGAAATATTTGGCTAATCCTTGGCCTGTGTAATAACTATCAGGACGTATGCAAGGAGTCAGCACTACGTGAAAGAAGGTGTATCGGGTGTGATGGACTTCTGGTGAATGGTTTCCGAGGTAACCGTTCCATGATCTTCAGCAGCTGACTAAAACTTGGTCTGTCATCTGGATTGAAATACCAACATGCCAGTAACATGTCCTGAAAAAGTAAAATGTATCTATGAAAAAAATGCAATAGTTACATCAATAGCTTGAACATTTGAGCTGACAAAACCAACGTAATGCGTTTGCGACCAGCATGGATCCAGACCAGCCTGCGCATCTGCGCAGTCTGATCAGGATCCATGCTGTTCGCTATCAGTTTCTCTACTTGTAATAGAGTTGGTAAGCAAACAGCATGGATCATGATAAGACTGCGCAGATGCGCAGGCTAGTCTGGATTCATGCTGGTCGCAAACCCATTATGCTGGTTTTGTTGTGATGCGGCTCATTTTTCTTATAAAAAGTGAAGCTAATAAGGGGTCATTTAACAACTCTGTTTACTGACTAAACTTGGTAGCAAATCTAGAGTAGGAAAATTACAGAAACTTGTGAAATCCCTGTTAAAAACAAGAGGGCCATGATGGCCCTGAGGTCGCTCACCTGTATATAGGCCCCCACCCCCCAACGTTGCAAGGCCAATTTAACCCAAGGGCTTTTATTTGCACAATCTTGGTAGACACCCATAAGAAGATGTTTCATGCTAGACACCCATAAGAAGATGTTTCATGCTAAACATCTAAGCTCTAGCTCATTGGGCTTTTTAAAAGAAGATTTTTTTTAAGTTTTTACTATACACTTATAGTTAAAAACAATGACACCCCTGGGGCCAGCTGGCCAGTTTTGACCCCAGGGCTTTTATTTGAACAAACTTTGTAGACACTTACTAGAAGATGTTTCATGCTTAATATCTAAACTCTAGCTATTTGGGTTTTTTCAAAGAAGATTTTTAGTTTTTGCTATACACATATAAAGAAAATCAATGACCCCCCGGGGCGGGGCCAATTTTGACCCCAGGTCTTTTATTTGAACAAACTTTGTAGACACTCACTAAAAGATGTTTCATGCTTAATATCTTAACTCTAGCTATTTGGGTTTTTTCAAAGGAGTTTTTTTAAGTTTTTGCTATACACATATAAGGAAAATCAATGACCCCCGGGGCGGTGCCAATTTTGACCCAAGGGCTTTTATTTGAACAAACTTGGTAGACACCTATTAGAACATGTTTGATGCTAAATATCTTAGCCATAGCTCTTTGATTTCTTTAAAAGAAGATTTTTTAAGTTTTTACTATATGCATATAGGGAAAATCAATGACCCCCCGGGGCGGGGCCAATTTTAACCCCAGGGCTTTTATTTGAACAAACTTGGTAGACACTTATTAGAACATGTTTTATGCTAAATATCTTAGCTCTAACTCTTTTGGATCTTTAAAAGAAGATTTTTTAAGTTTTTACTATATGCATATAGGGAAAATCAATGACCCCCTGGGGCGGGGCCAATTTTGACCCCAGGGCTTTTATTTGAACAAACTTGGTAGACACCTATTAGAACATGTTTGATGCTAAATATCTTAGCAAATAAAGTCGTTACTTACTTACTTACTTACTTACTATATGCATATAGGGAAAAATCAATGACCCCCCGGGGCGGAGCCAATTTTAACCCCAGGGCTTTTATTTGAACAAACTTGGTAGACACTTATTAGAACATGTTTTATGCTAAATATCTTAGCTCTAACTCTTTTGGATCTTTAAAAGAAGATTTTTTAAGTTTTTACTATATGCATATAGGGAAAATCAATGACCCCCTGGGGCGGGGCCAATTTTGACCCCAGGGCTTTTATTTGAACAAACTTGGTAGACACCTATTAGAACATGTTTGATGCTCAATATCTTAGCCATAGCTCTTTGAGTTCTTTAAAAAAAGATTTTTTAAGTTTTTACTATATGCATATAGGGAAAATCAATGACCCCCCGGGGCGGGGCCAATTTTGACCCCAGGGCTTTTATTTGAACAAACTTGGTAGACACCCATTAGAACATGTTTCATGCTAAATATCTTAGCTCTAGCTCTTTGGGTTCTTTAAAAGAAGATTTTTTAAGTTTTTACTATATGCATATAGTTAAAAACAATGACACCCCTGGGGCGGGGCCAATTTTGACCCCAGGGCTTTTATTTGAACAAACTTGGTAGACACCCATTAGAACATGTTTCATGCTAAATATCTTAGCTCTAGCTCTTTGGGTTCTTTAAAAGAAGATTTTTTAAGTTTTTACTATATGCATATAGGGAAAATCTATGACCCCCTGGGGCGGGGCCAATTTTGACCCCAGGGCTTTTATTTGAACAAACTTGGTAGACACTCACTAGAAGATGTTTCATGCCAAATATCTAAGCTCTACCTCTTATGGTTTTTGAAAAGAAGATATTTATAGTTTTTTCTTTCGGTTGCCATGGCAACCAGAGTTCTGCATGGAATTAAATTCTTTGAACAATTTTTAAAGGTGACCACCAAAGGAACATTCCTGTGAAGTTTGGATGAAATTGGCTTAGTGGTTTATGAGGAGATGTCATTTAAAGTAAAAGTTTACGGACGGACGACGGACGCCGGACGGACGCCGGACGGACGGACGCCGGACGAAAAGCGATCACAAAAGCTCACCCTGTCACTTTGTGACAGGTGAGCTAAAAAATAAAAAGTAAAATTTACTGAATCTATTTTTCCTGATATTCAGTGTTGTCAAAGTAATATCTGGTGTGGCCATGTGGTAAAGATGTCAGACTAGTAATCTAAAGATTGCTGGCCGTGTAGGTTCAGGCCCTAACAGAGGCAAGCCCTTGTTCCTTTGGGCAAGAAACTTTATATTCATTGCTTATTACTGGTTCCAGGAACGGTTTCAAGTGTTTCAATAAGCTTATAGTTTCCAACACAATCAAATAAATTTGTATAAACTATCCCTGGTGGCTTTTGATAGGGATACTGATTTATTGTATTCATTATTATTGAGAGGAATTTTGAATGTCAACAGTATCAATCCGCTTCACACTGCACATATAATTTTTACATTCAAAAGATTACCAATTCACGCAGATAAATAATCTATAAGTTGCAGTACCGGTACATACCTTAACTTCTTTGGATCCTTTAATACTGCCAAATGAGGGTTTAAGCCCATGACCAACCTGCCATATGATACTCTCTGGAGGTTGGCGATCAAACGGCCAGTTGCCATTTAATAACTCGTACCATACAGTGCTGAAACAGTAATTTCACTTTTGAGAATATAAATTATTTACATCAATTCAAAAAAAATAAGATAACCTTCTGTTAAAACTTATTGAATAGAATTTCAGATGTTATTTGTATCAGATTACCAGAAGTTTCCTCCACTATTTACAGGTCTTCCATTTAGTTCCAAAGACTGCAAAATGTCTGGCATTGGAAGTCACATTATATAGGCAAAGAAGAAAGAAAAGAGTCATATTTTGAATGTAAAAAAAAAAACAAAAAAATCCCAAACATCTACTAATGAAAGCCCTTTATTTAATTCCTAAAGTGGCATCAATAGAATCTATTATTGGGTTAATGGGAGGAAATTCCAACCTGAAGGTTATGCTGAAACAAACTTTGTCAAGTATTTTTTATGGCTACAGAATGCAGCCCACAAAAAAAACACATGGTTCATTTAAAATACTGTCCACCTCTATTGATCTAATATAGCAGACATTTTCAATATAACAATGTGATATGGTTTCATTTTTTATACATGTGCTATTTATTTTATTGTTTTATCATGTACTGGATATGTTTTACTATGTTCTTACATATCATTGAAATAAATCTATGTACAGGGCCTATTTTCCTTATATAGCAGGAGTTGTAACCAAAGACAAATTCTTTAAAATCATGCAGTATTCCGCAAAAATTGAATTTACATCAAGTTTTTTCTTCCTCTTTTATACTGCGTCATTTTCCCCAAAATTACAGACAGGGCTGCTTCCCCACCCTGTGAAAAAAACAACCCTGATCTATGATAAACTTACCCGAATGCATAAACATCTGACATTTCTGAGAAAGGAAGTTCTGTGTTAGCGTAAGCAGCCCCCGCCTGCAGGGACTTAATAATCTCTGGTGAGAGATAACACAACCAACCTGGTGGGATCTGTAACCTATCTGAATGCCTAAAATATAAATATTTATCATATCTTGTATTATTACTCACTCACAATGTTTTTTTCTTGTTTTTTTTTCTTCATGAAATGTAATATCTTTTTATCAAATAGCTTTATTATACTATTGCAATGTGGTTTTAGTGATAAAACCATTTTCTATAGTCTATTTTAAGATTCATGACATAATTTCACACCTGTAACTACTATTTCGCCTATTGGAATAACTCTTGCATCAATCCCCATTCCTATGTATAATATTGTAGTACCAGAATATTTACAAGAGGGCCATGATGGCCCTGAGGTCGCTCACCTGTATATAGGCCCCCCCAACCCCCACCCCCCCACCCCCAACGTTGCAGAGCCAATTTAACCCAAGGGCTTTTATTTGCACAAACTTGGTAGACACCCGTAAGAAGATGTTTCATGCTAAACATTTAAGCTCTATCTCATTGGGCTTTTTAAAAGAAGATTTTTTTTAAGTTTTGACTATACACATATAGTTAAAAACAATGACACCCCTGGGGCCGGGCCAGTTTTGACCCCAGGGCTTTTATTTGAACATACTTTGTAGACACTTACTAGAAGATGTTTCATGCTTAATATCTAAACTCTAGCTATTTGGGTTTTTTCAAAGAAGATTTAAAGTTTTTGCTAAACACATATAAAGAAAATCAATGACCCCCGGGGTGGGGCCAATTTTGACCCCTGGGCTTGTATTTGAACAAACTTGGTAGACACCTATTAGAACATGTTTGATGCTCAATATCTTAGCCATAGCTCTTTGAGTTCTTTAAAAGAAGATTTTTTAAGTTTTTACTATATGCATATAGGGAAAATCAATGACCCCCCGGGGCGGGGCCAATTTTCACCCCAGGGCTTTTATTTGAACAAACTTGGTAGACACCCATTAGAACATGTTTCATGCTAAATATCTTAGCTCTAGCTCTTTGGGTTCTTTAAAAGAAGATTTTTTAAGTTTTTACTATATGCATATAGGGAAAATCAATGACCCCCCGGGGCGGGGCCAATTTTGACCCCAGGGCTTTTATTTGAACAAACTTGGTAGACACACACTAGAAGATGTTTCATGCCAAATATCTAAGCTCTAGCTCTTTGAGTTCTTTAAAAGAAGATTTTTAAGTTTTTACTATATGCATATTGGGAAAATCAATGACCCCCGGGGCGAGGCCAATTTTGACCCCAGGGCTTTTATTTGAACAAACTTGGTAGACACCTATTAGAACATGTTTCATGCTAAATATCTTAGCCCTAGCTCTTTGAGTTCTTTAAAAGAAGATTTTTTAAGTTTTTACTATATGCATATAGGGAAAATCAATGACCCCCGGGTCGGGGCCAATTTTCACCCCAGGGCTTTTATTTGAACAAACTTGGTATTTTCACCCCAGGGCTTTTATTTGAACAAACTTGGTAGACACCCATTAGAACATGTTTCATGCTAAATATCTTAGCTCTAGCTCTTTGGGTTCTTTAAAAGAAGATTTTTTAAATTTTTACTATATGCATATAGGGAAAATCAATGACCCCCCCGGCGGGGCCAATTTTGACCCCAGGGCTTTTATTTGAACAAACTTGGTAGACACTCACTAGAAGATGTTTCATGCCAAATATCTAAGCTCTAGCTCTTATGGTTTTTTAAAAGAAGATATTTAAAGTTTTTTCTTTCGGTTGCCATGGCAACCAGAGTTTTGCATGGAATTAAATTCTTTGAACAATTTTTAAAGGTGACCACCAAAGGAACATTCCTGTGAAGTTTGGATGAAATTGGCTTAGTGGTTTATGAGGAGATGTCATTTAAAGTAAAAGTTTACGGACGGACGGACGGAATATTGGGTTTTTTCAAAGAAGATTTAAAGTTTTTGCTAATCACATATAAAGAAAATCAATGACCCCCGGGGCGGGGCCAATTTTGACCCCTGGGCTTGTATTTGAACAAACTTGGTAGACACCTATTAGAACATGTTTGATGCTCAATATCTTAGCCATAGCTCTTTGAGTTCTTTAAAAGAAGATTTTTTAAGTTTTTACTATATGCATATAGGGAAAATCAATGACCCCCCGGGGCGGGGCCAATTTTCACCCCCAGGGCTTTTATTTGAACAAACTTGGTAGAACCCATTAGAACACGTTTCATGCTAAATATCTTAGCTCTAGCTCTTTGGGTTCTTTAAAAGAAGATTTTTTAAGTTTTTACTATATGCATATAGGGAAATTCAATGACCCCCGGGGCGGGGCCAATTTTGACCCCAGGGCTTTTATTTGAACAAACTTGGTAGACACACACTAGAAGATGTTTCATGCCAAATATCTAAGCTCTAGCTCTTTGAGTTCTTTAAAAGAAGATTTTTAAGTTTTTACACTATGCATATAGGGAAAATCAATGACCCCCGGGGTGGGGCCAATTTTCACCCCAGGGCTTTTATTTGAACAAACTTGGTAGACACCCATTAGAACATGTTTCATGCTAAATATCTTAGCTCTAGCTCTTTGGGTTCTTTAAATGAAGATTTTTTAAGTTTTTACTATATGCATATAGGGAAAATCAATGACCCCCCGGGGCGGGGCCAATTTTGACCCCAGGGCTTTTATTTGAACAAACTTAGTAGACACTCACTAGAAGATGTTTCATGCCAAATATCTCAGCTCTAGCTCTTTGAGTTCTTTAACCCATTACTTCATGAGCATTTTGTGAAAAATGGCTGTTTTCATTGAAAAGTCTCCCGTTACAAGTTCAAATTGCTATGATACTATAAAAACTGCTTCAACACTAATCAAACTTGGCACAAATGTTGACTGGACCATTGCCCTTGCAACAACATGATCAGGCTTAAATTTTCTGTTACCATGGCAACGAGGGGACATCTCAAAATTGCCAAAAATCACTATTTTGCATTGATTTTTTGCATCAAAATTGATTTCAAAGTGCTGTAACTTTTCAATGGATTGAGATAGAGTCAAATGCTTTTCAACGTTGGTTACATGTTACCTTATGATCAATCTGGGGTCATTTACAGCCTCTCACAAGTCCAAAATTTTCTTGGCGATGAGGGGAACTCCGCCCCCCTTCAAACCCCCCCAAACAGAAGGGGGCACATCCCCCTTCTGGCAAGCCCCTGATGTATCTTTTGGTTGGGGGGCCGCGCCGAAAAAGAGGTCACTTTTTTTAACAACATTTCTCAAACAAAAACAAGTGTTGGGGGCCTAAATAAGGCATTTTTCATTATTTGAGACAACAAAAAAAGGGGGGGAGTGAAAAAGGCGTTAAAAGGCGTGTATATGAAGTAATGGGTTAAAAGAAGATTTTTTAAGTTTTTACTATATGCATATAGGGAAAATCAATGACCCCCCCGGGGCGGGGCCAATTTTCACCCCAGGGCTTTTATTTGAACAAACTTGGTAGACACCCATAAGAACATGTTTCATGCTAAATATCTTAGGTCTAGCTCTTTGGGTTTTTTAAAAGAGAATTTTTTAAGTTTTTACTATATGCATATAGGGAAAATCAATGACCCCCCGGGGCGGGGCCAATTTTGTCCCCAGGGCTTTTATTTGAACAAACTTGGTAGACACTCACTAGAAGATGTTTCATGCCAAATATCTAAGCTCTAGCTCTTATGGTTTTTTAAAAGAAGATATTTAAAGTTTTTTCTTTCGGTTGCCATGGCAACCAGAGTTTTGCATGGAATAATATTCTTTGAACAAATTTTAAAGGTGACCACCAAAGGAACATTCCTGTGAAGTTTGGGTGAAATTGGCTTAGTGGTTTATGAGGAGATGTCATTTAAAGTAAAAGTTTACAGACGGACGGACGGACGGACGCCGGACGAAAAGCGATCACAAAAGCTCACCCTGTCACTTTGTGACAGGTGAGCTAAAAATGAATGAAAATATCGCTTGAACATATAGTTTGCACACATCACAAGTAATATATTTGAAATTTTGCATTTATTTTGTACTCTCTTAAGTCTATGTATTGATTTGATATAATGAAATACTGTTCTGTTCTCATAAATTTTTTTCTCTATATTTCAGCCAGATAAGTTATCCTATCATCATATGGACTTTCTTCTTGCTTCTGTTACTAAAAACAGACTCTATATAAACAAAGTATTTACTCACCTGTTGGCATGACAGAGTTTGGTAACATTAAACAAACCAAAATCTGTGATCACTACTTTATCCTTGTCAAAGAAAATATTCTTTGTCTTCAAGTCTTTATGCACAATACCTTTAGCATGCAAGTATCCCATACCCTGAAAATAAATATCGAATATTTAGTTTTAAGTTTACAAGACTAATATATTTCAATATGTAGATTGCACACAAATGATTGGTGTATATAAAGTATATAGATTGTAACAGATCAAAAACATTTCTTTTGAATATGAGAATGTATAAATGAGAAGTGTTGGCTTTGTGGTAAAGGGTGTTGACGTTTTCTTCACAAACAAATTGAACATTTTCTGCGATTGTGACCATATTGAACATGTGACAGTTCTGTTAGTTACAGTAGATTCATAATTTGAAGCCTAATTTATAGACACCTACCTTCCACTATTCCATACAAAAAGAAGAATTATCAACACAATGTTAAGTTAAAATGAAGGTGAACATTTACTCCTCAACATCCCTCTGCCTTCTTTATTCCCCCCACCCCCACAATGTTCAGAGGTAAAATAAAGGTGAACATACCTGAGACACCTGCTGTGCTATAATTATACTTTTACTCATAGGAAACTTCTCTTTTCTAACATGTAATAATGTGTACAATGAGCTGCCTCGACATAAACTGAAACAATAATCAGAACAATAATTAAAATATAAATGGCAATAATTCTGAAAAAAAAATATATTAAATTCTTAAATCATTTTGTTAAATTTTGGTTAAAAAGAAATAAAGTAGGACTTGTGCATGGAAGAAATTGTTTATGCCAAACCTGCGGTATTCAACAATACAATAACCTGTTTTCCATTAAAGATGAAACTGTAACAGACTTGGATTGATAAAGCCATATAAATAATCAGAAATATATTTGTTTTGCTCGTTTATTTTGATGGATTTTAGGTCACAAAGAAACTGTAATGGTCATATGGTGACATTCAAGCTGTAGTGGTAGAGGAAGACCTCAGGTGCTCCCCTCAGGTGCTCCTTTGTGACTCATTACAGAAAACTAGCAGGCACCTGAGTAGAATTACTGGCCTTTTGGAGTTAACTGGATAGCTTCCTTATATACAAGAATCTAATGGGACTCCAACCTAAAGTGGTAAGGGGGCTTTCAGTCACCTATAGTGTTTAAGCCCCCCCAGTGTTTTAAGTGACAGAAATATCTGATAACTTACCTAGTTACTATAGCAAGATGTGGAGGTTTCATACAAGCACCCATGAACAACACTAAATTCTCATGACGTGTTTTTCTCAACATTGCAACCTGAAACACCAAAAAACAAATTAAACAAACATCTATAATTCCACCTGTTTGTAACCTTAAATTTTCATTGGTTAATCATGATGTTTATATAGTCTATATTAATAATATACACAGCTGCTGCAAATATATAAATCAATTTTCATTTTAATAAAAGAAATTAATTTTGCAATATTATAAATTCATTAAGCAAGTTTAATAGCCCATTGAAAAAAATGGCTGGTTGTCTGCTGTATAACTCTCACCATGCTATAAATAAGTTTTGACCCATTTTTACTGGAATGATCAGTCTGCAATGGTCCCATAGGTAGTTTGTTTGTTTCATTTTACGCCTTTTCCCAACAGCATTTCAGTCTTATAGATAGGTAGTTTCCTAACCATCACTCCCGGAGAGTTACACCAGTACTAGACTACCTTCCTCCGTGCTAGACTACCAAAACATCTCACGGGGATCGAACCCACGCCATAGAGGTAACTGGATTAGAAGTCATTGACTCTTAACCTGTCGACCACGGAGGCGATTCCATATGTAGAATATGTGATTACAGTACGACCTCAGCAGAGCAACCCCCTTCGGGAGACAAAGATGTTTAGTTGTTGCTGAGATATATTGCTCTAAAGAGGTAAAATTTATTTCAATGTTTTACTTTCGGAGGAGAAGAAACTGTTGTTATAAAGTGGTGACAGCTCTACAGAGGTGACTGCTCGATAGAGGTAAGTGCCCTATAGAGGTAACTGCTTAACAGAGGACCACTCTGAAGAGATTGCACTGTATTTCTGTAGATGTCAGCACAAGTTATTTATAGATTATAGCAATAATTTACCTCTAATTTGAAAGCAGACAGCTGTGCAGCATTATCAGTATCTGGATCCATGTTTAACATCTTGATGGCCACATCTCCATGCCACTGACCCCTGTAGCAATATAAACAATTTTAAACAATTTCTCTCAGGTATGTTTCATTTAATTTATTTTCAAATTCTCTTTTCCTTCTTTTTTTTTTTTTGAACTTACATGAATAAATGTTATCCGGCACTTGGCAAATGTGAGTTATTCCATCCTAATCACCCAGTACAACAAACTTTTACCATTATATCTTCAAGGTGCACTACCATTAACAAAAGTTAAGTCAACCTGTTGCGCTTATTTTTGAAACTTTAACTGTAATTAATGTTTGTACCCCCTGATTAGCTTGGAAAAAACCAAATTATTCTTAAATAGGGCATAAGTCTATTACTTACACTGTTATAAACAAAAGTGTCTTTTATTATTTTTTATCTCTTAATAAAATTTTTTAATCTTTAGAAAATCTTATGCAACAATGGTATTGGCACAATTACAAGGCTGCTATTTTCTAGTTTTGTTTGTCGAAGAATACTTCAATCTATGCCTTATTTTAGGCAATTATAGATCTTGGCGATGCCGTCAACTTTTCTTATAGTACTTTTATGGTCTCAATACATAAAAGAATTTCTTTTAAGTTTTAAATGTGCATCATTTAAAAGTGTAGTGAATGATTAAGTCTTAAACCACTAAACTTAAGAAGCCCTTCTTCTTAGTTATAACAAAATATGAAGATTTCTACCAACATTCCAGCACAATAAGTCACATCAACACGGTAAAAGGTCTTACGAAGACTTCCAGCTTTACTGGTCCATGTATACCTCAGATGCCTTTTCAAGCATTATTTTAGGCAAAAGCAGTATTGCATATAAAAACTTTATAAACAAACACTTACTTGTATACAGTACCAAATCGTCCTGTACCTATAGGATCATCTTGTATCAATTCTTCATATGGAATGTCCCACTCCTTTAAAGCTACTGAAAGCTGATAACATAACAATAAAGATTAATTTATTGCTTTATTGTAAGTGAAAACATCAAGGGCAATATTTTCCTAAACTGTCCTCAAAATAATTGTTTTTGACAAGTTTTGTTTATGAATCTCATTTGAATCTCATTAAAATTATGAAATATTAATAATCCATTTTGATTTAGAATTTTACTGCATGAAACATAATTCAATGTCTATAGCAAAAACTGGAAATTATGAAGTAGGAATATAATGTTAGTGCTGCGACAAAACAGCTTTAATCACTGAAGCATTGCTTTTATAAAATTCTAAATCTCTAAAATAATAACAGCTAACATTTCTATATTAACATAGGTTATTTAAGGTACTTACACTATAAACTCTTTTCCAGGTATGTTGACCTAAGGGATCATCCTGGCTATCTACAGAATCTACCCTGTCCAGCAGGGTCACTTCAGATGTATTACTCTGCAATAAAAACAAATAATTTCTTATTATTTTTAAATATATTACTAGCAATACAATTACTCAGGAACTCTGGATTTGAGAATATTTTGGGTTTTCCAAGCTAATCTGTGATTACAACAATCTTTTACAGTTACATCTTCAGAATTAAGCTCAACACTGAACAGGTTGACTTTTCTATTGTGACCTGCACTGAACCATAAACAATTAGATGTAATGGGATAAAGTTTGTAATCCTCAAGGAATATTATATTAACTAGAACTGCCACTATCATGGTGTAAATACCCCCGCATACCACTTTGTCAGAATCAACAGTGGCCATTTAGAGCTCAAGGACAACCTCCCTGCCAAATCTGAGGTTACTTAGCCAGTGTATTGCTTAGTTATGTATTCTACATGCTTCAAAAGTGAAAATGTCAAAATCAATACATTGCCGACAGGACATTCTTTAGCAATTGAGAAGAAAAGCTTTCTTTTTTTCAAGGTCACTGTGACCTTGACCTTTTGACCTAGTGACCTCAAAATCAATAGGGGTCACCTTATAGTCATGATCAACATCCATGCCAAATATGAAGACTGTGGGTCAAAGGAATCTTAAGTTATTGGGCGGACAAGCTTTTTGAAGTCAAGGCCCCTGTGACCTTGACCTTTGACCTAGTGACCTCAAAATCATTAGGGGTCATCTACTAATCATGACTAACCTCCATGCCAAATATGACAACTGTGGGTCAAATGAATCTTAAGTTATTGGGCGGACAAGCTTTTTGAATTCAAGGCCCCTGTGACCTTGACCTTTGACCTGGTGACCTCTAAATCAATAGGGGTCATCTACTAATCATGACTAACCTCCATGCCAAATATGACGACTGTAGGTCAAAGGAATCTTAAGTTATTGGGCGGACAAGCTTTTTGAAGTCAAGGCCCCTGTGACCTTGACCTTTGACCTAGTGACCTCAAAATCAATAGGGGTCATCTACTAATCATGACTAACCTCCATGCCAAATATGACGACTGTGGGTCAAAGGAATCGTAAGTTATTGGGCGGACAAGCTTTTTGAAGTCAAGGCCCCTGTGACCTTGACCTTTGACCTGGTGACCTCAAAATCAATAGGGGTCATCTACTAATCATGACTAACCTCCATGCCAAATATGACAACTGTAGGTCAAAGGAATCTTAAGTTATTGGGCGGACAAGCTTTTTGAAGTCAAGGCCTCTGTGACCTTGACCTTTGACCTAGTGACCTCAAAATCAATAGGGGTCATCTACTAATCATGACTAACCTCCATGCCAAATATGACAACTGTAGGTCAAAGGAATCTTAAGTTATTGGGCGGACAAGAAAAAAACGACGGACGGCCGGACGGCCAGACGGCCGGACGGACGGACAAGCTGATTCAAGTATACCCCCCTTACAACTTTGTTGTGCGGGGGTATAATTATGCAGTTTTCCCCTGAAATTCATTTTGCAAAGTGTTCTTTTCTTCCTGTTTGGCAAAAGTAATAACACTTTAATTTCCCTATAATTTAAGCAAAGGGTCCCTTTCTCTACCTTAGACAAAGAAAAAGCACTGCAAGTATTCAAAGTTTAAAGTTAGAATAAAATTGTTTACTTACATCAACAATAGTTTTATCGCTGTCATTGGATGTATTTGTGCTTACCACATCTCTGCAACAAAAAAACATTATGTATCAGTAAACATTGATCAATCATATATACTGTAAGCAGAGAAAAAATATATTTTTAACCAACAAGGAAATTTATACACTGATGTCCACTTACAGTTTTGTTTGCTAATCAAGTGTGTTCACTATTGAAAGCTCCCTACTCTGGCCTTTTATTTGACTAACAATAGAATTAACCACAAACACTAACATGTATTTATTTATTAAAGTCTCATCTATATACATGGTACAATATAATACAACATTAAATATATCTTAAGAACATGTATATAACCATTCTATAAAGAATTACAGGAGACTACAAATGTATAAAACACATAAATATATATATAGCATTTTATAATTATGACTATTTACATGATAAAACTATGCTCTATGTAAAGACTATGGTAGAATAGTTAAGAATAAAACAGTACGACTTTGTAGTTAAAAGAGGAGCACTTATGTCATTAAAAAAAAAAAAAAAAAAAAAAAAAAAAAAAAAAAAACATGTGTTCTTTTGTTTACAAATAGGTTGTGGTGAAATTCATATTTTAATGACCTGATTTGACAATCTGAATTATATAGGATGAGGATCTGTCCATTAACTCAAGATATTTTTGGGGGGAGGAGGGCATCAACAAAATCCTAATATATCATGGAAAGGGGACGTATACTTATCATGTTTTGCAATTAAGTATGCTTGATTAATTCTATGATTCAAGCAATATGCTAACTCCCGAATAAAAATAGTTTGGGTTTTTCCAAGCTTATCCAGGTAAACAAGCAAACGTTTACAGTTACAGCTTCGAAAATTAGTGAAACAGGTTCAACGGTAGTGCTCTGTTAAGTTATAAGGGTAAGAGTTTGTTTATACCTGGGAATAAGCTTGGAAAAGCCAATATTTGTTTATTTCTAGACAACATTTATTTCTCAACTTCATAATGAAAAGAAATGATTTAAAATTCCAAATTTAAAAGATGTCTAAAAAACAAAGAAATAAGGAATAAATATACACATCTTTGTCCACAATTCAAACATGACCTAAACTTGATAAAGTAAAGATAATAAACTTACACATCTTTATCCCAGTCCGTAGAGAAGACTGGCTCTGTTTGTGTTACATCTGTATTACTCTCGGATAATAACGTATCTGCGAGGATAACAAAAATAACTTTCAATACAACACTTTATGAGCAGACCTGGGGTAATCATTAATCGTAATCATCGATTTTTAATTGATTACATGTTTACAGTGTAATCATCATGTAATTGATTACCTTGCTCAAAATTGATTACATTAATTGTAATTAATCAATTACAGCTTAAATTCAGTCTGTAATTATGATTACAATTTGATTGATGTTGATTACTTTCAGATTTTACATGAAACTATTGAAATTCAAAGGATTTATTTCACATGTTGGAGTTTAACTTATACTCCTTTAAAATGATCTTTAATAAATTATGAGAAAATGTCACAATTTCTTTTTCAAATTTTAAATGATTAAGAAACAATTTAGATTATTTTTTTTTTTTTGGTGTTTTTTTCCTTCAATCTCTTTAAGTCTAAGTTATTTTGACCTTATCACCCTCAAAATAGAGTTTTTTAAGTAAAATACAAACAAATAAAAGAAATTTATTTCAGACAGAAAGCAAAACTACACTTAACAAGTAAAATATGAACAAAACAAACTGGTATAAAAGTAAAGTAAGATGTCATTTACCTGGAAATTGGAATGAGTGTATATTGTGTACATGAGGTGATGGATATGGTGAAGGTGAGGTGTACGTTCCCGACGACATGCCGTGTGGGATCGGTGAGGAATGTGTTGATGAGTTGGATGATGAAGCGGAGCTCGAGTCCGGCACTGGAAATGCTGGCAACACATGCTTTCCGTGATGTGGTAACTCGGGCGTTCTTCTCGGATTTGAGGCACCTTTAAAACAGAAATATATACATGTGTCATTAACCTTCGAGTATATCACATGTGAAAATAAATACCAATATTAGCTTAACTTATCAAATATAATTCTTGGATACCAATGATTTTTAAAAACTTGTCTGAATCCCTACAACAAGCAAAAGTACAAACACACAAAACACACACACACACATATACATAAAAGATTTCTAAATATTATTACAAAGTATATGAAAAAAAGCTTATAAAATCTGATGTAAAATGTTTTTTTTAAAAAGGCATAGTACATATGATATATCTATAAGCTATGGTGCAACTTTCACCATAATAATCCCACGCCAGCACACAACAGGTTGTACAAAAACACACACAAGCAATATCTACACAAACTTCTCACACTGTGCTTTAAAGCTTACGCCTTTTCGGCTTCTTTAACAATGTCGTTAATTGATTCAAAAAGGAATGAGAAGGCCGGTTCTCAGGGTATACTATAAAATAAAATTGGTTTTAGAATTTCATTATTCAGTAAGACAACAAGAACAGCCAGACTCAAAGGGATAACTTTATCTTAATTCTTCAACTACCTTTACCATGATATATCATCTGTGTAATGAACTTTACCTGCTTTAAAGACTAACAAGGCCTAAAATGATATTATTTTTTAATCGTACTATCTCTGGTATTCTGTTACAGATTCAAAAAAGTTACTCATTGACCATATACTGAGTCACCTTTTTTCTTGTGTTTTAGCAATTAGTACAGTGATTTTAGTATTTTGTATGAAAGTCAAAATACCTCTGAGTTTACATTTTGATACTTTTATGACAAATTATTTCTCATTCTGCCTTTTTTTCTTCTTCAGGTGAAAAGCTTCTTTTTACAACACAACATAACACATGTGTGCCCATTCTTCAGAAAGAAACTCTTAACATTTCTGAGGCTTTATAAGCCTTTAAATAAGTGTCAGAATTTTCAAATTTTTCATTCTTCATTGAAAGTATTTCAATATTAGGGCTGGGGCGAGTATCCGAGTACTCGGATAATCACGAATCAAACTAAAAAAATTGATTTTGAATATTCGTTATCACAGAGATCGTTGAATTGCGATCTAATTTTTTTTATATACATTCACTGTTTCTCACACTCTTAAAATCGAGAAAAATACGATTTGAGTATAAATTATATGAAGTTTACCTTAATATAATTTGCCGATTAAAGACCATGTACCATGATGCTGAGCTTAGGGATGTAATTGGTTTCAAAAGACAAAACAAAAATACTTATCCAAAGAATTAAAACATAAACAGTCATAGTTTATATTCTATATGTTTCATGTTTAGAATTGTTTTTTGTTTTATTTAAATAAACATGTTTTTATAACTAATGTACACGTTTTTATGGGTGTCTTGATAACAATAGATCTGTGGTTCGATTTGTGAATCGTAAGTGCTGAATTGTGGTTCGGATAGGATCGTCACTTATCCGACGATCCACACCCCTATTCAATATCAAACTACTAAACGCAAGCAACTAACACTATAGAATATGGTCAGAATGAGATAATGAGCCCTCTTTTATCTTCGGAGTTATTGGCAAGACATTGTACAGCTAGCATGAAGACACTTATAAAAGTCAATAAAGTACTTACCTTCAAAGTATGTTTTATTGGCCAAGTTGACCATTTCTTCTGAAAGACCGCAGCTTGGAGCTTCTCTATGTACACAATCTTTATGACACTTAAATCTACAAATAAAATAAAGGTACATTTTCTTATATTTATCAATCTTATACAGTAGTTCATGAAAATTTGCATATAAAATGTTTATCACTAATCAAGAAAGCCTTGTCACTTGAGTCACATCGTCAGATACCCATGGTCGATTAACATGTAACATAACGTAACATGTTATGGTAATGGTTAGGCAGTGGGTATCTGACAATGCTTGAGTCACAGAAACCACATAGTCACAGAAACCACAGGTTTTTTGTGTAGCACTAGTACACCAATTATAATTATATATGAAAATTATTATTACTCTTTTCAGTTTTTTTTAACATTATAGAAATGCCACTGGACATTTTTTTCCTCAGATCTGATGTCAGTTTGGCTTATTAACTTGGGTGTAAATTCTAAGATCATTCCCTGACCCCATATATTCAAGAATGATCATTTCTATTGTGCAAAATAACACAAAAATGAAAAGTATTGCAATGCTCAAATTACATAAAAATCATGTCCATTGCACAATTTACACAAATTTTGAACTCATTCAGATTCTCAAAAGCTCATTGAGTAGCTCATTAGAGCTCATTCTACATTCCTAAAGACAAAGGTAGTCTTAATACAGATGATGAAGTTGAAATAAGTTGCAGATCAGTTTGTAACATTCTAACAAACTATTAAGGCATGTAGGTAGGAGACCTCAAAATGAGATTTTGTGTTATGAAAATGAAAACCAAATGCACTTAGTAACCACTGTAGTGAAACATGCAAGAGTTGTAAGGACAGTTGCTGCTAGTGTATGACATTGGGGACAGAAAGTTTTCAAGGTAGTGAATCAGTCTAGAATGAGAAGTGATTTCTGTGATTGAATTTGGCACCTTAATATAACTAAACGCAATAAGCCAATAACTATTGTTTGTTTGTTTGGAAATTACATCACACCGACACAGTATAGGTCATTTGGCGACATTCCAGCTTTACTGGTGGAGGCAGACATCAGGTGCCCTTCCGTGCATTATTCCAGGCACAAACGGGCACCTGCGTAGAATCACCAAAGTTCCGTAAGCTAGCTGGATAGCTACCTCACATGAAAGAATCCAAAGTCTCCGTTGGGATTTGAACCCACAGCATTGGGGGGCAAGTGGTTTGAAGTCAACGACCTTAACCACTCGACCCAATAACTATTGAACTCTTAAATGTTGAATTGATCGCTACAATCTTGATAATTATGTTTTTCCTTTAAAGCTTCAGGACTATTAGAAGGAACTGTACACTGTATGTAGTGATTGATAATAATTGTGTTCTATATTGAAAATCTAACATAAACAAGATATGTTTGTAAAACATGTATGCCCCCTATCAGCAGCCAATTAGTCATGTGAAAAGGTTATTATGCATGACTTCTGACCCAGTGATCAAACAATTAATAAGGGTTATCAAGTATCTACTGGTCATGACCTTAACCTTTGACCCCTTGACCCAAAACTCAATAGGGGTCATCTACTGATCATGACCAATCACCATATCAAGTTTGAAGTCCCTAGGCCTAAGGGTTCTTTCGTTATTGATCGGAAACCGTTTTTACCTACAAAGTCAATGTAACCTTGACCTTTGACCCCTTAACCCCAAAATCAATAGGGGTCATCTGCTGGTCATGACCAATCACCATACCAAGTTTGAAGTTCCTAGGCCTAAGGGTTCTTTCGTAATTGATCTGAAATCGTTTTTACCTACAAGGTCAATGTGACCTTGACCTTTGACCCCTTAACCCCAAAATCAATAGGGGTCATCTGCTGGTCATGACCAATCACCATACCAAGATTGAAGTTCCTAGGCCTAAGGGTTCTTTTGTTAATGATCAGAAACCGTTTTTACCTAAAAGGTCAATGTGACCTTGACCTTTGACCCCTTGACCCCAAAATCAATAGGGGTCATCTACTGATCATGACCAATCACCATACCAAGTTTGAAGTTCTTAGGCCTTAAAGTTCTTTAGTTATAGATCAGAAACCGTTATTGCTTACAAGGTCAATGTGACCTTGACCTTTGACCCCTTGACTCCAAAATCAATAGGGGTCATCTACTGATCATGACCAATCATCATACCAAGTTTGAAGTTCCTAGGCCTTAAAGTTCTTTAGTTATTGATTGGAAACTGTTTTTGCTTACAAGGTCAATGTGACCTTGACCTTTGCCCCCTTGACCCCAAAATCAATAGGGATCATCTACTGATCATGACCAATCACCATACCAAGTTTGAAGTTCCTAGGCTTTAAGGTTCTTTAGTTATTGATCGGAAACCGTTTTTGCTTACAAGGTCAATGTGACCTTGACCTTTGACCCTTTGACCCCAAAATTAATAGGGGTCATCTACTGGTCATGACCAATCACCATACCAAGTTTGAAGTTCCTAGGCCTTAAGGTTCTTTAGTTATTGATCGGAAACCGTTTTTGCTTACCAGGTCAATGTTACCTTGACCTTTGACCCCTTGACCCCCAAAATCAATAGGGGTCATCTACTGGTCATGACCAATCACCATATCAAGTTTGAAGTTCCTAGGCCTAAGGGTTCTTTAGTTATCACTCGGAAACCATTTGGTCTACGGACAGACGGACCGACAAGTGCAAAGCAATATACCCCCTTTTCTTCGAAATGGGGGCATAATTACATAGTTTTTCCATAACTTATTGAACTGGTCAACTGAACTTTTCATTTTGTTTCAAGTTGTCAGTAACAATAGACTTATTCAATGCAGTTATAGCATTTATTTACAAGTGACAGAAAATTGTCACAAAACCTGTAATACATATGTTCAAGTAACCAGCCAAGAAATATCAACTCACAAAGTCCCCCGATAACATGCGCTAGGACATTAGCAGAAGTTCAAACTGTGATGAAAGATTTGTTGAAATCAATGAAATCTCAAGAGTTGTGCACGGAAGAAATTGCTTACGCCAACTTGCCCCATTTGCTCATGCACAGATATTCACAAAAGTCATTACCAGAGTTTTTCATTTGAAAAATCTTATTTTAAACTTAACAGCCTGGAAGAATCATTGATTTACTGCTATTAGTTAGCAATTTTAGCCGAGTCAAGCATTGCCAGATGATTGAGGAAAATTGTAGACAAGACTGGGGCATTCATACAGCATAAATCATGTAGAAGATTCAATTTAGATGCTGCTGACCTACTTACCTTAAAAGGTCTTTTTGTAGTTTTCTAAAACAATGTGTTTTTCTTCATTTAATGACATGCCTTACAAAATGTTGACAATTTCTACCAATCCAAATCATTACAAATCATGATCATGATTGATTAAGCAAATTAAACCCTACTTATTCTAAACTAGATGTTTTAGATACAAGTGCAACCATACCAATTGGAATATCATTAAAACTTTAAAACTCAGTTCAGGTTCAGCTTTATCTATTAAATTTCTAACCAAAAGTCAACAACATATGCACAAAATAAAGACCAAGGATTACCAGGATATTCCAGTCTCTTTTTTCGCTCAAAATTTAGGATGAGTCTCATCTTAATTTTTACTCTAACACATTAAGGAAGGAGAAGACAGGGTTGACAATATTGTGCTTAAAGACATATCAAGGGGACAAGTACAGTATCTTGAAAATGCAACTCAATCAAATAATACTTTTTGATAAAGACAAAAACTGCAATTTCCCAAATGAAGAAGCAGCAACACAAAATCTTAACATCCCTGATCCCTTCGCTTACAAACCCTATAACAAGTAGAGAAACTGAAAGCGAACAGCATGAATTCTGATCAGACTGCGCGGATGCGCAGGCTTGTCTGGATACATGCTGGTTGCAAACACATTATGTTGGTTTTTGTTGTGACGCAGCTCATATGTGCATACTTACTTGCAATATTTACATTGTTTTCCTCTAAATATAGTTTTACCACATACATCACAGGTGCTACCAAACAATAACTTGGTAATTAATCTGAAATAGAAACAGACAATTTTAAGTAATCTACAAAACAAATAGATGTATCAATTAAATTTGCTAATAAGGGTTTGTTCCCACAAGATTTTTTAATTTGAGCCGCGCCAGGAAAAAAACCAATATAGTGCGTTTGCGACCAGCATGGATCCTGATCAGACCGCGCGGATGGGCAGGCTAGTCTGGATCCATGCTGGTTGCAAACCAATTATGTTGGTTTTGTCATGACGCCGCTCATTTATCTAAGAAACCTAATGGCACACTTTGATGTATTACCTAAAAATTCTTGTTGTTGTTTTTTTTTAAACATTTTAGGCTCTTACAAAACTATGCCAATAATATAGTTTGCACTCAAATAAAGTGCCTGTAATGCACAATTACATCTCTATTGAAAGAACAATGCTAAAGTTTCATAAATTAAATATTTTGCAAAAAATCAAGGAATAAACAGTATTGCTTGTTTATACAGTTGATTTTTATGTCTCTTTTCACACATTTTTGTCACCTCTTAGTGGTTGAATCACCAAACTGGCTTTCCTTGGTAACTAACCAGTAATTACCTATTGCTCTGCAAGTGATGATTTCAGAATTTGATGGAGAGTGACATATAACCATTAGATTACTTGTATTATAAGAGGATCAAATTAAAGACAGTGACTACTTGTTACAAATCTGATGCTCTCTGTAAAACATACACTAGAGCAATTAGAGCATTGTTCATACAAAAATTTGGGAGCTAACAAAATAGTGGTAAAAAGAAGTAAAAGTATGGCCATCTTGAAAACCTAATTTTGCTAAAATATAAATGGTTATAAAAATGCTCTCGAGGCCATTTATAACAACTATTAGTAACTTACTTGTGGTTAATTTGATGTTTCATCACATGAGGACCAATCATACTTGGCACCATTAATGATCCTGTATAACACACAAAAAAATACACCATAAACTTCTATATTACATACAACATTCTATAGCAATCAAATTATCAAAACTTTTATAACGTATGTATATTTAATTAAAAATATTGTGTTTGCCTTGAACTTTAATCAAAATCTAACTACATATAATTAGACCAATGTTTCTTCTAAACTTACAAACCTAATGACTTTAAGCTAAAAAATACATTATGAGTTGCTTATCACTATTTTCTCAAGTCTATAACACTCCATCTTTACCAATTTACACAAGCTAACAAGTTACATTCTCAGCGCTCTCCAAAACATTTTTTGACCATAACATATTCATTATATGAATTACATACCATCTCCTAACTGGCCTTGTACATAAGGTGGGGAATGATTGGTAGTTGAACTATACCGTGAGGCGGTCCACGACTACTTCTACCAGTTCATGCTCGTTAGACGGTCGTCTAATCGCGCAATATGTCCATGAACTGCCAACCCTAATATCACGTAAAGTAATTACTGCCTAAATTTAGATCCTTAATGTGTTTCTTCTTACCAGACCTATAAAATAAAATATTCAACAATCACATTACTATTTTCTGTATATGATTTACTAGCTAAACTCATCATAAACCAATGGACTATAACTTCAGTTAAATGCTTTCTGAACTTTTGAACTTTTTTTCCTATAAAATGTATCGTGTTGATAGTTAAAGGTAACTAAGGGACTTCAATGTATCAAAGACTTTCAATGTACCAGAACAAATAACCTAAACTTAACTTAATTAACTCACAACATCCAATTTCATACTAAAAATTCTATTTTCAATAAATTAATTTTACATCAAAAATCAGTGAATATTGAGGATATTAATTCATAACCATCAACCTACATCTTAATCAATGTTTTGAGAACATGCTTGTTATAAAACTTTTTACCCCAAAATGAAATAGAGGATATTTGTTTGTTTGTGTGTAAGATGAAATTTTATTTCATCGTGTGGGCTTTAAAAACAGTATTCTCACGAGTGGTGTAGCCACTAGTGAGAATACTGTTTTTAAAGTTCACGAGATGAAATACAATTACATCTTACACAAAAAACAGACAAATTTTCTTTTTATTTTATGCTTTAAAACAAGTTAAAACGAAATTTCCATAATTTTAACATTAATATTAAAATCTGTTTCCCCCAATCGAGAGCCCCATTTAGAGGGAATTTCTAATTAAAAACAAGAAGTCTTGAGCTGAAAAATAAGTCCGCCAATCAAGGTTAAATGACGGTGATATTTATTCATTTTATTAAAAAAATATGAATGATCGTTTGTTTTAATAATAAAAACAAACAATTCTTGTAGGAGAAAAAGTCCAACCATCCATCTATATTTCTGTTTCTTACTGCGAATTTATATTAGACCTGGCTTTGTAAAATGTTTGCGGCAGCCATTTTTTAAAGTTGTCTATTTCATGGGAGGAAAATAATTGAGTAAGATTCAGAAGGATATAATTTGGATTTGTTAGTCATACACCTTTTTAAAAGAAAGACAAGCAATTATCATAGTATTGCAAGCAATCCATAAGTCCCCTACCGTTAAGAGCCCAAGCAACATTCTGAAGGGCCATTGGCCATTCACTAAGGTTCCTATTTTAAGTAAATTTGTTGAAAAAGTTCTTTAAAAGTGATCATAGGAAACAGTTTTTATGTACAGACAGACGGACTGAAGGACACTCTAAAGTTATTTTTTAAACATCCCTGTTATCAAAATATAACATTTTTAAAATCCTATCATGACTGAAGAAGTTGGAGTAAAATTACCAATTTCTCAAAAGAAAGTCTAAGTTCAAAAGGGGCATAATTCTGGAAATAGTAGTCTGCTAGAGTATTGAAACACTCACAAATGTTTGAGTATAGACAATAGAGAAACATTTATATGAAGTTTGAAGTAGATATCCATTCAGAAAAAGAAAAGTTATTTAAAAAACAATGTTTTTTTTCAATGAAAATTTTTTAAGTTCAAGGGAGGTTAATTCTGATAAATTTATTTTGTTGGCTAGAGTTTGTAAACCTTGTCACATATGATGTGGTTGATCGACAAGCAAATTATATTTAAAGTTTGAAGAAAATACCTTAAGAAATAAAGAACTTATAGTGAAAAAACTTAAAAACTAGAATCAGAAATCTTGAATTCAGTCCTAATTTGTTGCCCAATAAGCAAACCAGAAATTTTCAACATAGGAAGATAAAAAAGGAAAGTGCATTAGGTTTCCATACTGCATCTACCCATATTAAAGGTTTCATAAAACATATTTTTCAGTAACTTTTTGATGTTATCACTGGATACAGGTTAAATGTGTAAAATTTGCCATATTTTCAGTCCTATGTTGTTGCCATAGCAACCTAAGAAAATTTTTCAACATAGGAAGAAAAGGAAAAAGCGTGCATAAATCTCTCCATACTGCCATCTATCCATATATCAAGTTTCATAAAAAAATATTTTTCAGTACTTTTTTGCGTTATCACGGGATCCAGGTTATGTGTAAAATTTGCAACATTTTCAGTCTATTTGTTGCCATAGCAACCAGAATTTTCAACATAGGAAGAAAAGAAAAAGACGTGCATAATCTCCATACTGCCATCTATCCATATATCAAGTTTCATAAACATATTTTCAGTACTTTTTGCGTTATCGCGGGATCAAGGTTATGTGTAAAATTTGCCACATTTTCAGTCTATTTGTTGCCATATGCCATATGTCATCAAGAGCAGTTTAGCATGGGGAAGGAATGTATTTTTCAGACTGTAAAAACGAAACAAAAAAATTTAGAGACAAAATTTTGTGATTGGAATTTGAAGGAATAGAAGTAAGTTTTCTCTCTTTATTACTTTTGACATTTAAGTTATTTATCTATTTCAGCTTTGCTATTTTTTTTAACAGCCTGATATTGTCAGAACTGTCAGTGAAAATAAAATTGAGGTACCCCATGGGGAAAATCTTAAAAAAGTAGTTTCGTCATTGAAAAAAGTGAAATTATATTTTGACAATTTTCACTGTGAAATTATCAAATATAATTTTCACGGATAAATCAGTAATCCACTGAAAAGCATGAAATAAAAGGGTTTATATGCTTTAGACTAAAATCAGGCTAAGAATTGTACAAATATAGAATTAATTTCGCAGTATATTTTTTTTTTTATCTTTTGCATATTTTTCTCTTTAGTGCCACAGTTGTCAGACCAGTTTAAAATTTCAAGTTTTTTTTTTTTTGCTGTTAGACCTCTTTTGACATCCTTTGAAGGAACTCCACTGACTAAAAAGACAAAATTTGAATTTCTTACTCAAATCAGCTGGGCACTAAAACAGAAAATATGCAGAAGATGATAAGAAATATGTTGAAAATCATACTATTATGCTATTTTTAGTTTAATTTAAATAAAAAGAGTAGCATTCAATTTTGGGTCATTTTTCACAATTGAAATAATTATTCTGGAAAACAGAGTGAGTGAATGATCTGAAACCTTGCACAAAAGTTATTGGTCTATACCTATATCAAATGGAACGTTAATGTTAAAGATATATTATACTCAAATTTGATATTTGAAAAAAAAGACAACTGATAATTACTATTCTCTTTTGAAATTTAAAAATTTCAAACATTGAAAAGAGTCTGTATAGTAACAACCACAACCACTTGTCCCAGTATATCTTTAAAAAGAGATTCAATAATTGCGGTATACCTGACAGGGTCTATATCCTGTACTTTATGTGCTAACTAATGGAGATATAATAATTGCAGTATACCTGACAGGGTCTATATCCTGTACTTTATGTGCTAACTAATGGAGACATAATAATTGCGGTATACCTGACAGGGTCTATATCCTGTACTTTATGTGCTAACTGTGACTCCTGTGACTTGCTCCTGCTGATTGTAGGATACTCCGGGAATAACAGCATCTTCTTATGAGGTGGTGGGGTAATTGGATACCTCGTCTTTGGTGTGCGTACTGAAGGCGGTGTCGGTGGGGGAGTATACCTTTAAAAAAAGACGTTATCATGTGATTAACTGATTAATCTTATATCATACAAATTTTTACTTTTTATAGAACACAGATCATTTTTTAATGGAAAAATCTTTTTCAAAAGCAACACTAAATTTATTCACAACAACATAATCTATCTACAAAATGCCCTGGTCATTAAGACTTTAACTGGCTAACAAACATTATTACAAACTTTAATATCTACTTCATTTTTTTTTCTTCAATTTTACATTGTTAACTCTCAATGCCTAAATACAAAATTAAATGGACAGCATTTAACATAAAATATTGTTTGTAACATTAGTGAAAATTTTCTTTTTTTGTGTGTTATAACCACAAACAGGTGCTATGTTGTTTTATCCAGCAATTTCCCACACTATTCACTAATAAGAGCCACGTCACAACAAAACCAACATAATGTGATTGCGACCAGCATGGATCCAGACCAGCCTGCGCATCCGCGCAGTCTGATCAGGATCCATGCTGTTCGCTATCAGTTTCTCTTCTTGTAATACCGTTGGTAAGCAAACAGCATGGATCAAACTGCGCAGACTGGTCTGGATCCATGCTGGTCGCAAACGCACTATGTTGGTTTTGTCGTGACGCGGCTCATATTATATACATTATAATATTTCAATCTATAACACAGAGTTAAATTTAAATGAAGAGGAAGGTATAACATCATATACTTAAAATTTATCAGGGTTTTATTATCTTGCAAGTTTACATTTCTAAGACATTTTCTGACACCATTCCAAGGACTGGAAAAATTCTTATTTTTAGAGCATCTTATCCCAATGTGATAAGTCTCTGTTTATAAGAATAGACAAAAAAAACTTTAAGCTAAAAACCAAAAATACAAGTCCAAGCATAATTGTCATTGAACCAGGAAGTAGAATGGGGATATAATATTTACCCTACTGATCGTAGTCTCTCATTGTGTGCATTATGTGCATGAGGCACTGGTGACGGAGGAGTACTGTGTGTCTGAGCAGGGGCACTCATTGTCGTAGAATTATCTGACGATGACAGCGACGATGTCGAAGGTCGTGGACTTCTACGTGCTAGGTAATCATAGGACGATGTGGACTCTGGGTTTGTCCAGTGCAGATCAACATCACTGTCACCCGAGGTACTGTTACTACCAGACGACTCACGCTCTGTAACAAAATGAGCCATTACTACTACATGTACATATATATGAGCCGCGTCAAGACAAAACCAACATAATGCGTTTGCAACCAGCATGGATCCAGACCAGCCTGCGCATCCAAGCAGTCTGATCAGGATCCATGCTGTTCGCTTACCAACTCTATTGCAAGTAGAGAAACTGATAGTGAACAACTGCTACAATTTATTAACAAGTAGCATTTGATGCGATTCATTTTTTCTACTGAATACTCGAGTTTCAAACCCCGACATTCAATTGAGTAAGCAATCAACAGTTACTTCTTGACATCCCTATTAAAAAAGCAACGCATGCAGTGTTAATCCTCGTGTGTTAAAAAGGGTCATAAATCCTTAAAATATAAGTATTCAAAGTTTCATACCGCTACCTTAAAAAATTGTTTAAGCAATGAAAATAGCTTAACTTTTTCTTCCAATGAACAAGCTAAAAATAAAATGCTAATAATAATATAAAGAAATACAGAAACAAGATATGTTTGTAAAACATGTATGCCCCCTATCAGCAGCCAATTAGTCATGTGATAAGGTTATTATGCATGACTTCTGACCCAGTGATCAAACAATTAATAAGGGTTATAAAGTATCTACTGGTCATGACCATGACCAGGGTTCTCACTAGGACTTTAAAACATGGAGTCCATGGACTCCCAACCCTGAAAAAGTTGGAGTCCAAAAGCGCGTCGCAATTAATATGTTTACAGATTAGTCATTCAATGCTCACAATAGCATTGCTGATATTTTGAATCTTCAAGAGACTGCCAAAGTGTATAGTTATTCAAAAGAAACTCTGAACTACATAGTATAATTATTGTTTTGTTGTTAGTATTTATTATGAAATTATTTCATTATAATGCATCAACACATGGAAATCGTTTTTTTTTTTTTTCACTTTTATACCAAATCAAATTTTATTCTGGTTAAATAAGTCCACTCTAAAGACAAAAAGATTATATTTGTAAAAAAAAACGTAAATGTATATAGGCAGCGTTTAGCGGAATGAATAGGAAAATCGTGTACAGCTTCACACAGTGTGTAAGAGATTCATCCGATCGACAATTATTTTAGCAAATATCTTCAAAAGGGGGCAAATTGAAGATCGATATTTAAAGATTTAATGTTTGATTAAATAATAAAGGAACAATTCATTCATGTTTGGCTTGGAAACCGAGAATTTTTGCGAAATTTTTAGGGTTTCTGGCGAACGTGAAATCGCCGATGTTCGGGATCATTTCGGATAGAATCTAAATATCAAAGAAAAGCGTATGTGTATTTTGGTTTGTTGTCCTGGTATTTCGGCACAATATCTTAAATTCTTAATACTCTTATAGAAAGTTTTTGCAAAAATGAAACTAAAGCAAAATTGTGCCTAGAAAATGCCGAAAATATTCGACAATCATTCAAAATTACACTCATTTGTAATTTGAGAAAACAGTCTTTAAAATTGCGGCGTAAATAGTCGATAATTTTATCCTTTTGTCGGTAAAATTTGCTAATTTCCAATCAACTGTTGATCAAAGATATAAAATTATCACCTCGTGTTATATCTTGGTAATTACATGTACTGTACATACAAGCGCGTGTATAACTATTGCGTGATAATGATCGGAAGCGTTATCGCTGATTGGCTAATCGCTTCACGGGTCGATGTGCATAGGACCGCCTACCTATAGACTGACACGCGCTGACGCATTTGTGTATTTGTGGTTGTAAACAATCGGTAATTTTATGCGTCCCCAGGCAAAATTAAGCGTACGTGGAATCCTTGCTCTGAAATATTTGCGTCCAGCTGTAATAAACATGCGTACCGGGACGCCGAAATAAGCGTCCCCGAGAACCCTGCATGACCTTTGACCCCTTGACCCAAAACTCAATAGGGGTCATCTGCTGGTCACGACCAATCATCATACAAAGTTTGAAGTTCCTAGGCCTAGGCGTTTTTAATAAATTGATCAGAAACCGTTTTTACCTACAAGGTCAATGTGACCTTGACCTTTGACCCCTTGACCCCAAAATCAATAGGGGTCATCTGCTGGTCATGACCAATCACCATGCCAAGTTTGAAGTTTCTAGGCCTAAGGGTTCTCTTATTATTTGATCGGAAACCGTTTTAACATACAAGGTCAATGTGACCTTGACCTTTGACCCCAAAATCAATAGGGGTCATCTGCTGGTCATGACCAATCACCATGCCAAGTTTTGAAGTTTTCTAGGCCGAAGCGTTTCTTTAGTTATTGATCAGAAACCGTTTTTTTACTTACAAGGTCATTGTGACCTTGACCTTTGACCCCTTGATCCCAAATCAATAGGAGTAATTCTGCTGGTCATGACAAATCACCATACAAAGTTTGAAGTTCCTAGGCCTAAGCGTTCTTGAGTTATTGATCAGAAACCGTTTTTACTTAAAAAGGTCAATGTGACCGCGACCTTTGACCCCTTCACCTAAAAACTCAATAGGGGTCATCTGCTGGTCAATGACCATCATCACACAAAGTTTGAAGTTCCTAGGCCTAAGCGTTTTTTTGTTAATTGATCGGAAACCGTTTTTACCTACAAGGTCAATGTGACCTTGACCTTTTACCCTTGACCCCAAAATCAATAGGTCATCTGCTGGTCATGACCAATCACCATACCAAGTTTGAAGTTCCTAGCAATAAGGGTTCTTAATTATTGATCGGAAGGCATTTTTACCTACAAGGTCAATGTGACCTTGCCTTTAACCCCTTGACCCAAAAACTCAATAGGGGTCATCTGCTGGTCACGACCAATCATCATACAAAGTTTGAAGTTCCTAGGCTAGGCGTTTTTAATAATTGATCAGAAACCGTTTTTACCTACAAGGTCAATGTGACCTTGACCTTTGACCCCTTGACCCCAAAATCAATAGGGGTCATCTGCTGGTCATGACAATCACCATGCCAAGTTTGAAGTTCTTAGGCCTAAGGGTTCTCTTATTATTGATCGGAAACCGTTTTAACATACAAGGTCAATGTGACCTTGACCTTTGACCCCAAATCAATAGGGGTCATCTGCTGGTCATGACCAATCACCATGCCAAGTTTGAAGTTTCTAGCCGAAGCGTTCTTTAGTTATTGATCAGGAAACCGTTTTTACTTACAAGGTCATTGTGACCTTGACCTTTGACCCTTGATCCCAAAATCATAGGAGTAATCTGCTGGTCATGACAATCACCATACCAAGTTTTGAAGTTCCTAGGCCTAAGGTTCTTGAGTTATTGATCAGAAACCGTTTTTACTTAAAAGGTCAATGTGACCGCGACCTTTGACCCCTTCACCTAAAACTCAATAGGGGTCATCTGCTGGTCATGACCAATCATCACACAAAGTTTGAAGTTCCTAGGCCTAAGCGTTTTTTGTTAATTGATCGGAAACCGTTTTTACCTACAAGGTCAATGTGACCTTGACCTTTGACCCCTTGACCCCAAAATCAATAGGTCATCTGCTGGTCATGACCAATCACCATACCAAGTTTGAAGTTCCTAGCAATAAGGGTTCTTAAGTTATTGATCGGAAGGCATTTTTACCTACAAGGTCAATGTGACCTTGCCCTTTAACCCCTTGACCCAAAACTCAATAGGGGTCATCTGCTGGTCACGACCAATCATCATACAAAGTTTGAAGTTCCTAGGCCTAGGCGTTTTTAATAAATTGATCAGAAACCGTTTTTACCTACAAGGTCAATGTGACCTTGACCTTTGACCCCTTGACCCCAAAATCAATAGGGGTCATCTGCTGGTCATGACCAATCACCATGCCAAGTTTGAAGTTCTTAGGCCTAAGGGTTCTCTTATTATTGATCGGAAACCGTTTTAACATACAAGGTCAATGTGACCTTGACCTTTGACCCCAAAATCAATAGGGGTCATCTGCTGGTCATGACCAATCACCATGCCAAGTTTGAAGTTTCTAGGCCGAAGCGTTCTTTAGTTATTGATCAGAAACCGTTTTTACTTACAAGGTCATTGTGACCTTGACCTTTGACCCCTTGATCCAAAATCAATAGGAGTAATCTGCTGGTCATGACAAATCACCATACCAAGTTTGAAGTTCCTAGGCCTAAGCGTTCTTGAGTTATTGATCAGAAACCGTTTTTACTTAAAAGGTCAATGTGACCGCGACCTTTGACCCCTTCACCTAAAAATCAATAGGGGTCATCTGCTGGTCATGACCAATCATCACACAAAGTTTGAAGTTCCTAGGCCTAAGCGTTTTTTGTTAATTGATCGGAAACCGTTTTTACCTACAAGGTCAATGTGACCTTGACCTTTGACCCCTTGACCCCAAAATCAATAGGTCATCTGCTGGTCATGACAATCACCATACCAAGTTTGAAGTTCCTAGCAATAAGGGTTCTTAAGTTATTGATCGGAAGCATTTTTACCTACAAGGTCAATGTGACCTTGCCCTTTAACCCCTTAACCCCAAAATCAATAGGGGTCATCTGCTGGTCATGACCAATCACCATACCAAGTTTGAAGTTCCTAGGCCTAAGGGTTCTTTAGTTATTGATCGGAAACCGTTTTTTACCTAAGAGGTCAATGTGACCTTGACCTTTGACCCCTAGACCCCAAAATCAATAGGGGTCATCTACTGATCATGACCAATCACCATCTCAAGTTTGAAGTCCCTAGGCCTAAGGGTTCTTTCATTATTGATCGGAAACCGCTTTACCTACAAGGTCAATGTGACCTTGACCTTTGACCCCTTAACGCCAAAATCAATAGGGGTCATCTGATTGGTCATAACCAATCACCATACCAAGTTTGAAGTTCCTAGGCCTAAGGGTTCTTTTGTTATTGATCAGAAACCGTTTTTAATTAAAAGGTCAATGTGACCTTGACCTTTGACCCTTGACCCCAAAATCTATATGGGTCATCTACTGATCATGACCAATCACCATACCAAGTTTGAAGTTCCTAGGCCTTGAGGTTCTTTAGTTATTGATCGGAAACCGTTTTTACCTACAAGGTCAATGTGACCTTGACCTTTGACCCCTTGACCCCAAAATCAATAGGGGTCATCTACTGATCATGACCAATCACCATACCAAGTTTGATGTTCCTAAGCCTTAAGGTTCTTTAGGTATTGATCGGAAACCGTTTTTTACCTACAAGGTCAATGTGACCTTGACCTTTGACCCCTTGACCCCAAAATCAATAGGGGTCATCTACTGGTCATGACCAATCACCATACCAAGTTTGAAGTTCCTAGGCCTTAAGGTTCTTTAGTTATTGATCGAAACCGTTTTTGCTTTCAAGGTCAATGTGACCTTGACCTTTGACCCCTTGACCCCAAAATCAATAGGGGTCATCTACTGGTCATGACCAATCACCATACCAAGTTTGAAGTTCCTAGGCCTTAAGGTTCTTTAGTTATTGATCGGAAACCATTTTTGCTTTCAAGGTCAATGTGACCTTGACCTTTGACCCCTTGACCCCAAAATCAATAAGGGTCATCTACTGGTCATGACCAATCACCATACCAAGTTTGAAGTTCCTAGGCCTTAAGGTTCTTTAGTTATTGATCGGAAACCATTTTTGCTTTCAAGGTCAATGTGACCTTGACCTTTGACCCCTTGACCCCAAAATCAATAGGGGTCATCTACTGGTCATGACCAATCACCATACCAAGTTTGAAGTTCCTAGGCCTTAAGGTTCTTTAGTTATTGATCGGAAACCATTTTTGCTTTCAAGGTCAATGTGACCTTGACCTTTGACCCCTTGACCCCAAAATCAATAGGGTCATCTACTGGTCATGACCAATCACCATACCAAGTTTGAAGTTCCTAGGCCTTAAGGTTCTTTAGTTATTGATCGGAAACCGTTTTTGCTTTCAAGGTCAATGTGACCTTGACCTTTGACCCCTTGACCCCAAAATCAATAGGGGTCATCTACTGGTCATGACCAATCACCATACCAAGTTTGAAGTTCCTAGGCCTAAGGGTTCTTTAGTTATTGATCGGAAACCGTTTTTGCTTTCAAGGTCAATGTGACCTTGACCTTTGACCCCTTGACCCCAAAATCAATAGGGGTCATCTACTGGTCATGACCAATCACCATACCAAGTTTGAAGTTCCTAGGCCTAAGGGTTCTTTAGTTATCACTCGGAAACCATTTGGTCTACGGACCGACGGACCGACGGACCGACAAGTGCAAAGCAATATACCCCCTTTTTTTCAAAATGGGGGCATAATTAATTGCTACATATCAAATCATAATCCACTTTTTTGCTTTCAACGACCTCTTTTCAAATCATAAAACATGGTTAAGGACAGCCTATTTTGATTTTCATGTCCAAACACTGAGGTCATAAAAATACTCAAAATAATAACAAGATTTGATCTATCATTGTAACATAATACTTACGTGTGGCTATATTTAGGTTACGTAGAGAGAGGTTTAACCGTCTAGCATCCTCAGCACTGGCATTATGCTTCAGAAGTTTGGTTTTTATGTCAGTCTCTGACAGTTCTAACAATGAATACAGACTCAGATTTTCTTCTTCTTTCATCAAACCCTGAAAATTTAAAAACAATATGAGCAATTATAACGAATTTCCATCAAAAACTGTACTTACTATTCACTGCAAATAAGTGCACCCATCAACAAATCGATTTAAAAGATCGAAAATTCCACTCCTCCCCTTGTAATTATAAGTAGAATTTAAGTTTATCCAGGACAAGTAGAACAAGTAGAAAAATATTGCCTGCACATTGGATTTAGAAGCTACTCATCCCGCAGGATGAGTGACTCTGAAAATATTTTTTCAATGCCTGGATTTATATGCCATATTCATGGCCTCATTACAGGAGACAAAAATTACAGATTCTCTTTTGTTGTGTTAACAGTTAGATGGCCCCCTTATTGCAGCCTTGTCAAGACAAAACCAACATAATGGGCTTGCAAACAGCATGAATCCAGACCAGCCTGCGCTTCCGCACAGTCTGATCAGGATCCATGCTGTTCGCTTACCAACTCTATTACAAGTAGAGAAACTGATAGCGAACAGCATGGATCCTGATCAGACTGCGCGATGGTTATGTTGGTTTTGTCATGATGCGGCTCTTTTTTTTCTGTGGTATTACCTTACAGCCCCACTCCCCAGTGATATTAGAAACCACAAAAGTGACTGATAAGTGATTTTGCCATTGGAAAACATTTATTATTGCTTGTACACATAAACTTTCAAATTACTTAATCTTATAAGGATATTTCTAAGAAATTCAAGACAGTCAAAGAGTGTCTTTTCCCTTCTTTACAAATTACATGGTCAATTTTACAAATGTGTTCCTAATGCATTTTTCCCCAAATTTCTGACAACTTAGCAAGTTTAAAATTTGGCAATTTGTCACCAGCTTTTTGGTTTTCTTACTAGTCTAATTTCATGGCAAAAGTTTTTTTTGAATTTGGTAAACTCTATCCTGTTTCCAAACAGGTAAAAAAAGTCACTAGATCTACACAGTAAAGTTACCTTGATAGTGTTTTCTGGCAAACCAACACATGAGAGCCATTGTTGTGTATTAGGGTAGTCAACTAGTTCATCATGTAAGGCATCAGAGGTTATCTTGCTCTTGATGATAATCTGTTTGCTGACATATAACACCAGTTTCCCCTGAAATTATACATAAATAATGATGATAATCTGTTTGCTAACATATAAATCCAGTTTTCCCTGAAATAATACATAAATAATGATGATTATCTCTTTGCTGACATATAACACCAGTTTCCCCTGAAATTACACACAAATCTGACAAAATGATAATCTGTTTTCAGACATATAATACCAGTTTTTCCTGTATTTACATGCGAAAAATATCAAATTTAATTTCATTGATTGCCATACATTATGTAATATATCTACAGTTAATTTGTAAATGTTTATATTATGTTCATTGTATATTTGATAGAGGCTCATAGGGAAGACTGGGCATGCCTCTTTAATTTATTATCATGATCATTCTTATCTTTATCATTATTATTATTATCATCATCAAAGAAAAACAAATGTAGTCATTAAGACAATAACACAAGTCAAATTTATAAACTTGCACTAAATGTTGCAAATAATAATTATACATCATTACATGTAAATATTTGACAGTCTAGATTTCAGTGCTTCTTCTTGCTAGAAGTTCTTTTTTGCAGTTTTCCCCTAAAACTAAATTTATGTAAAAGTCCTTTCTTAGCCAAAATCTAGAGCTGTGTTTCAAAATTAACATTATAGCAAGAGTGATTAAACAAAGTTATAATCTATATATAGAACTTATTCAGTTTTCAATCTTTGAAATGTATTGTTTTAACTTTGAAAAAAAAGTTCTAATGAAGGTAAAATAAGACTGGTTCCAAGAAATTGTAAATTATCAACACAAAATATGTAAGTTCAAATTGCATTTCCCAAATTCTAAAATGATAAAAACAAAACACTTTTATCTGTCATGTGTGTACAATGATGTTTATATTAAGTTTCCTTGTTGTTTAATGTAAATAAATGTACATTTTAATTCTTCAGGGTCTGGGTGCTAGGGATATATATCTTATTTATAATCCAGGATTTACATATTTGTAAAAGTAATTATTTAAATATAACATAAATTTTCAAATTTTGTAAAAAAGTAATTAGTGATGTAAACATACATGTCAACAAATTCCTTAATGTCTTTTATATATTATTGAAAAATGTCTAATTATTGGCTAATTAATACCTCGCCTAAGTATTGCCAAACATGACTCATGAACAGATGGAACCTCTGTCTGTACTGCTAGCCAGTTTCTTCATTTCATACTGTACTTAAACTCAATAAAGTATCTTATTTTTAATAAATGCTTTAAACCTAGCTTCACTGTCCCGGTTTGGCTTGCCCGGCTTTAGACTTCACAATTTAAACTACTCAGACCTTACTTATTTTGAACTTGACAGCTAGACAACATGTAGAAATGCCCCGCTAGATTACTTTGCCAGCTGAGCATGCTCAAATGACTAATAGTCCAAAATTGGCAAGACAATAATCGAAAAATAAATGACCAATCAAAAACAGTTCACCAAAGTCACGGTTTATTCGAAATAATTAGTTATTGTAAATTTAAAATATATCATGGAAATCAAATAAAAAGAACAATAGAGATTCCAATACCTACATGTACATGTATCAGTGAAATTTTCAGTGTAATTTCTAGATGTGCACTGTCATTGTTATTAAATTTTAACATATTACTAATAACTTAATGAAAATCAGTGGGATATTCCAAAAACAGAACAATCGCAACTTTTTGGCTTAAGAATAATTATCGAGGTGTTCCAATTGAAAACTGGTGTATGAATTACCTAATGACACCTTTAACAGGAAAAATATAAAATAAAAGATGAAAAAAAAATTTTCTTCTGACTTCCTGCCTTCATTCATGTTAGTTATTTACTCCTTAAATTGTTTGTGAACAGTAAAAAAACAATCTATATCTTAAAAGTTGACAAGTAACAAGTTGGTATAGGGCCATTTACAATCTCCATCTTTTTTCTCATTTCCATTTGTCATAACTGTCGTGTCAAAGCCAGATTTTGGTCTCTACGACGTACCCTCACAGATACAGATATAGTCAAAATATATTGATGTGCCAAAGCTTGATTCTGAGATATTTTCGTTTTGGGGCAGAATCTCGCTTTTACGTCAAAACCAAAAGGAAACCTTTCTGTGGTGAAACGTGGATTTCGATGTTAATGTAAAAATGCAGACAATTTAAACTAAGAATCTATTCAACAATACGATTTTAAGGAATCAACAGCACAAAAAGTCATAGACTATCAACTTAGAAGAAAGTAAACCATGTTAGTTTCATTTCACCGTCTTCTTTGTTTGTTTGTTTGTTTCATTTTACGCCTTTTCCCAACAGTATTTCAGTCATATAGGCGGGTAGTTTCCTAACCATCATTCCTGGAGAGTTTCACTCTCGTTTGTGTACCAACGCCGCCATATTGTGATGTTGCTACAGTAATGTAACATGTACGCTAAAAATCGATATTGTTCGGTACCGTTTGAGAATGTTGTCTTATTTTTTTGCGTGGCAAAAAAAATGTGAAAAACTGTTAAACAGTGCTTATTATTCTTTAATGTAGTTATTATTAATTATATTTATTGCTACAATAAAATAAATCGCCAGTATATTATCTTAAAGGATAAACAAATACTGTATTTCATTAAAATTTATATTGTCACCACTCTATAGTATTATCTATGTTAGAATAATTATGTTAGTTACAACTTGCTGCGTACTATTTTCTGGGAAAGCTGAACAAAATATTTTTTTTATAACTAGAAAATATTTTGTGAGGAGTCCATTTACAGAGTAGCTTTTCTAAAAAGATAATGATGATTCTGATATTTCTAAGAACGCTCTGACAATAACGAATAAGTTTTGCATCTGCCCCAATAAAATAATATTTTAATCCTTTCATAGTTATTATTATTTTTTTGCATGAATAAATGTCTTAAATATAACATAAAACTTGATATTTTACTAAGAGTGTTTCGGCGTTTCTCAGTAAGGCATTACCGCATACACACCAGTGTAGTAATCAAAAGTGTATTTGTCACATGACATTAGCGGCGATGACTTTATTTTGATGGTCCATGTGTTTACTTTTCTATCAAAATCTTTATGTTAGGAATATTTTCACAAATAAAACATGAAATTGATGTAGTAATGAATAATCTTTAAAGGTATCGCAACAAATTTATTCAAATATGAATTCTAATACGATTTTAGACGTCCAAAACTTGCCCTCAAAATCCCGGCGCAAATTTCACCACGGAATAGGTACTTTTTATGTTGTACATAGAGGCGAGATATTGCCCAGACACGAAAATAGCACAATATCTCGTCGCGCAGTACAATTAGTTGGACTAATACAGATAGAGATTCATACTCGTCTCTTGATGTACCTATAATGAATTGATGGATATGTCAACTTTATGTAAAATGGCATGCTCAGTCTTAACTTAAATAATTAAAACAAATTCCCCCATGCAACACTTGCAAAAGCAATCATGTTAAGATTTTTAAATTTCCTACAGAAAAATGCTGTCACCAAAACATTTGTGATTCAAATACCATTTATTTAGTGGGTTTAACAGGTTCTTCATAATCATGAAAATTTACAACTGTTTTTACCTCTGTCAAACGTATTTCTTTTTGCGTGAATTCGTCATTTGGAGCACACTGTGTTCGAAGTCCTTTGAGATGCTGTTCAATATAGTCAATCATTGACTGCAAAGTTTTCAGCTCTGTCAGAGCTTTCTCAAACTCTGTGTCTGAATCGGACATTGTTGTATACTCAAGTTATAGTGGAGCAATAAGGCATCACTACATATACTAAATATTTAAAGAAAATATTGTTATTTTATGTGTTTCAGACGCAAACAAAATTGAAATCGACAAACAGCGATTTTGACGCCATCTTGGATTTTATGAGTCACGCGAGATTTTATTCTCCTGTCAACTTGCGAGAACTGGTATGGTTCCTAATATTCTTAACGCTTAGCAGAAATAATACAGCGACAGCCAGATAACATTAATTTCCCGCGAATTTGGGAGCCAGTCGAAGAAAATTTAGAAACACCTATTATTTATCAATTAAGGCAGTTTTGTAAGTGACAGATCATGTCGGAAAAGGAGAAATCAAGTCCAAATCTTCCCTGGTATGAAAATTCTAAGTAGATTATGAAATTTTTGTTTGGTGTTATGTCGATTTACCCACATAGCTGATTCCTCCCAAGTTACTTCGCCTTTGTGAATTATTTGTTTTAAAAGATAACGTTTAAACAAATGAAAATAACATCTAATTGTTTTTAAATGCATTTTCTCATGTTGCTTGTGACATTTAATTGTGTCCCAGGTAACAGACAGGGTTTTGGCTATATCACTATTGTTTGGATGAAGTTGATGTTCTGCTCATGTCCATTAAGATTAATAATTGTGTGTGATTGTGCCTGAAATATTGCATGGAAGGGCACCTGAGACCTTCCTCCACCAGTGAAGCAGGAACGTCGCCATATGGCCTATTTTGTGTCGGTGTGGCGTTAAACCCAATAAAACAAAATAAACAAAACCAAATCTGTAGCCTTATATAGGCCACATTCCCCCACTAAACTAGTGTTTTTTAATTGCTAAAACAGGTTAATTCCCCCCCTCAAAACAATACAAACAAACAATTGGAAATAAAGTCAAAGTGTGAACCAATTTTTTTTTTGAATTGGTAAATAGATACCATAATTTGTCATTTTTTAACATATTTCATAGCAGTAAAGACAATTGTGAAAAAAAAAACATTGCAAAGTACATTTGTAAACAATTATTATTCACATTATAATTTTAAGCACAAGGCACAGAATAAATCAACCATAAATGTAGACGCTATGGGCGCTATGATACACAGTTAACGCTGAAACATTTTATAGGAAAATTATGCCTCAGATTCAATTAAAGTTTTCCATCCTTATAAAGGAGTTTTAAAATGTTTAAAGAATGGTTTAGAGCATGTTAGATGTTTTTTTACCTGAAATAATTAATGTCAAATTATTTATGATAAAAGTAACAAAATTGTAAACAAAGTACTATTTTGACTTCCATACAAAATACTAGTTAACTGTTATGAACTATTTGCCAACAAGCAACAGAAGCAAAAGATGGTTCAGGTAATATTGGTCAATTGGTAATTTTATGTAAACTATAGTAGGACACCATTAATAAAAAGCTTTTTAAAAGCAAAAGCATTTCTGGGGCATAATGGGCCTTTAAAGGGACTGATTAAAATGATTATCAGGAACAGTGCGATAACATAATTTATCACACACCCGTGATGATTTTGCCACTCCACGGCCATGCATATATTCTGACATGACGTCATTAGCGTCATACAAACATAGTGTAAAGACCCGCTAAAGTTAGTGTTATACTATAGGCGCGTCAATGAAAAATGACTCTTATTTCAATTTAAACGGTCTTTATTTTGGGTATGTGATAAATAGAATATTAAATTCAGTGGTTTTATATTTCAGGGTAGAGAAGTACAGGCCAAATAATTTGGATGATCTTATCTCTCACCAGGACATCATTTCAACTAGTAGGTGACATTTCATTGAAATCATTACCTGCTTTTACATTTTGTTTGAATGTCGAGGAAAAAATCATGTCTGTACACGCATTACTATTGTTTAAAATGTTGTGGTAGTCCGCAAATTAATGGCCATAAGAATTTGAGTCGGTCCATTTAGTATGCCAAAAATATTTAGTCACTTGCTTATCCATATAGATATCTGTCTGTTAATAACTTTATCTGTATGTTAATAACTTAAGTGGTGTTCTTGCCAGCCAATTTGTGGCCATGCTAGCCTTGAGAAGTCGACAGTTTAAAGTTCAGTCAGACTGCATGTTTTCATAGGTCTCAGGGTGAGCTATTAGGATCACTCTTCGTCTGTCGTCCGGTGTCCGTCGTACGTCGTCTGTTGTCCGTTCACACTTTTCAAACGACATCTCCTCTGAAACCATAAGGCAGATCATAATGAAACTTCAAAGGGATGTTCCTTGTGTGAAGCCTTAACAAAGTTGTTCAAAGAATTCCATTCCATGCAGAACTCTGGTTGCCATGGCAACCAAAAGAAAAAACTTTAAACATCTTCTTCTAGAAAACCCAAAGAGCTAGAGCTTAGATATTTGGTATGAAACATCTTCTAGTGAGTGTCTACCAAGATTGTTCAAATAAAAGCCCTGGGTCAAAATAGGCCCCGCCCCAGGGGTCATTGATTTTCCCTATATGCATATAGTAAAAACTTAAAAAAATCTTCTTTTAAAGAACCCAAAGAGCTAGACCTAAGATATTAAGCATGAAACATCTTCTAATGAGTGTCTACCAAGATTGTTCAAATAAAAGCCCTGGGGTCAAAATTGGCCCCGCCCCAGGGGGTCATTGATTTTCCTTATATGCATATAGTAAAAACTTTAAAAAATCATGTTCTAAAAAACCCAAAGAGCTAGAGCTTAGATATTTGGCATTTAACATGTTCTAATGGATGTCTACCAAGTTTGTTCAAATAAAAGCCCTGGGGTCAAAATTGGCCCCGCCCCAGGGGGTCATTGATTTTCCCTATATGCATATAGTAAAAACTTAAAAAAATCTTCTTTTAAAGAACCAAAAGAGCTAGACCTAAGATATTAAGCATGAAACATCTTCTAATAAGTGTCTACCAAGATTGTTCAAATAAAAGCCCTAGGGTCAAAATTGGCCCCGCCCCAGGGGGTCATTGATTTTCCCTATATGCATATAGTAAAAACTTAAAAAAATCTTCTTTTAAAGAACCCAAAGAGCTAGACCTAAGATATTAAGCATGAAACATCTTCTAATGAGTGTCTACCAAGATTGTTCAAATAAAAGCCCTAGGGTCAAAATTGGCCCCGCCCCAGGGGGTCATTGATTTTCCTTATATGCATATAGTAAAAACTTAAAAAAATCATCTTCTAAAAAACCAAAAGAGCTAGAGCTTAGATATTTGGCATTAAACATGTTCTAATGGATGTCTACCAAGTTTGTTCAAATAAAAGCCCTGGGGTCAAAATTGGCCCCGCCCCAGGGGGTAATTGATTTTCCCTATATGCATATAGTAAAAACTTTAAAAAATCGTCTTTTAAAGAACCAAAAGAGCTAGACCTAAGATATTAAGCATGAAACATCTTCTAATAAGTGTCTACCAAGATTTTTCAAATAAAAGCCCTGGGATCAAAATTGGCCCCGCCCCAGGGGGTCATTGATTTTTAGCTCACCTTGCACAAAGTGCAGGTGAGCTTTTAGGATGGCCAACCAAATGGCGTCCGTCGTCAGTCCACATTTTAAATATTCTAAGGACATCTTCTATGATACCGCAAGGCCAATGTTAATGAAACTTGGCAGGAATACTCTTTGTATGAAGCTCTATCAAGATTGTTCAAAGAATTCCATTTCATGCAGAACTCTGGTTGCCATGGCAACCGAAAGAAAAATCTTTAAATATCTTCTTTTAAAGAACCGAAAGAGCTAGAGCTTAGATATATGGCATGAAACATCTTTCAATGAGTGTCTACCAAGTTTGTTCAAATAAAAGCCCTAGGGTCAAAATTGGCCCCGCCCCATCGGGTCATTGATTTTCCCTATATGCATATAGTAAAAACTTAAAAAATCTTCTTTTAAAGAACCCAAAGAGCTAGAGCTAAGATATTTGGCATGAAACATCTTCTAGTGAGTGTCTACCAAGTTTGTTCAAATAAAAGCCCTGGGGTCAAAATTGGCCCCGGCCCGGGGGGGGGGGGTCATTGATTTTCCGTATATGCATATAATAAAAACTTAAAAATCTTTTTTTAAAGAACAGTAAAAGCTAGAGCTTAGATATTTGGCATGAAACATCTTCTAGTGAATGTCTACCAAGTTTGTTCAAATAAAAGCCCTGGGGTCAAAATTGGCCCGCCCCAGGGGGTCATTGATTTTCCCTATATGCATATAGTAAAAACTTAAAAAATCTTCTTTTAAAGAACCGAAAGAGCTAGAGCTAAGATATTTAGCATGAAACATCTTCTAATGAGTGTCTACCAAGTTTGTTCAAATAAAAGCCCTGAGGTCAAAATTGGCCCTGCCCCAGGAGGTCATAGATTTTCCCTATATGCATATAGTAAAAACCTTAAAAAATCTTCTTTTAAAGAACCCAAAGAGCTAGAGCTAAGATATTTGACAATTTGACATGAAATATCTTCCTGTGAGTGTCTACCAAGTTTGTTCAAATAAAAGCCCTGGGGTCAAATTTGCCCAGCCCCGGGGGGGGGGGGTCATTGATTTTCCCTATATGCATTTAGTAAAAACTTAAAAAATCTTCTTTTAAAGAACCGTAAGAGCTAGAGCTTAGATATTTGGCATGAAACATCTTCTAGTGAATGTCTACCAAGTTTGTTCAAATAGAAAGCCCTGGGGTCAAAAATTGGCCCCGTCCCAGGGGGGTCATAGATTTTCCCTATATTTGCATATAGTAAAAACTTAAAAAATCTTCTTTTAAAGAACTCAAAAGAGCTAGAGCTAAGATATTTAGCATTGAAACATGTTCTAATGGGTGTCTACCAAGTATGTTCAAATAAAAGCCCTGGGGTCAAAACTGGCCCTGCCCGGGGATCATTGATTTTTCCTTATATGTGTTATAGCAAAAACTTAAAAATCTTGTTTGAAAAAAACCCAAATAGCTTGAGTTTAGATATTATACATGAAAAATCTTTAAGTAAATATCTACAAAGTTTGTTCAAATAAAAGCCGGGGGGTCAAAACTGGCCCTGCCCCAGGGTGTCATTGTTTTTAACTATATGTGTATAGTAAAAAACTTAAAAATCTTCTTTTAAAAAACCCAATGAGCTAGAACTTAGATGTTCAGCATGAAACATCTTCTTATGGGTGTCTACCAAGTCTGTTCAAATAAAAGCCCATGGGTAAAAATTGGCCCGGGGGGGGGGGGGGGGGCTATATCAGGTGAGCGATCCAGGGCCATCATGGCCCTCTTGTTCCTATATGCATATAGTAAAAACTTAAAAAATCTTCTTTTAAAGAACTCAAAGAGCTAGAGCTAAGATATTTAGCATGAAACATCTTCTAATAAGTGTCTACCAAGTTTGTTCAAATAAAAGCCCTGGGGTCAAAATTGGCCCCGCCCCAGGGGGTCATTGATTTTCCCTATATGCATATAGTAAAAACTTAAAAAAATCTTCTTCTAAAAAAACCAAAGAGCTAGAGCTTAGATATTTGGCGTAAAACATGTTCTAATGGATGTCTACCAAGTTTGTTCAAATAAAAGCCCTGGGGCAAAATTGGCCCTGTCCCAGGGGTTATTGATTTTCCCTATATGCATATAGTAAAAAACTTAAAAAAATCTTCTCTTAAAGAACCCAAAGAGCTAGAGCTAAGATATTAAGCATGAAACATCTTCTTATCAGTGTCTACCAAGTTTGTTCAAATAAAATCCCTGGGGTCAAAATTGGCCCCGCCCCAGGGGGTCATTGATTTTCCCTATATGCATATAGTAAAAACTTTAAAAAAATTCTTTTAAAGAACCCAAAGAGCTAGACCTAAGATATTTTAGCATGAAACATGTTCTAATGGGTGTCTACCCAAATTTGTTTCAAATAAAAGCCCTGGGTCAAAATTGGCCCTGTCCCCAGGGTGTTATTGATTTTCCCTATATACATAGAGTAAAAAGTTAAAAAATCTTCTATTAAAGAGCCAAAAGAGCTAGAGCTAAAAAGATATTTAGCATGAAACATGTTCTAATGGATGTTTACCAAGTTGTGTTCAAATAAAAGCCCTTGGGTCAAAATTGGCCCTGCCAGGGAGAGGGGGGGGGGGCAAAAAGTCATTGTTATTCATTATTTGTGTATAGTAAAAAACTTAACATCATGAAATATCTTCTAATGGGTGTCTTCCAAGTTTGTTGAAATAAATGCCCTTTGGTTTAAACTGGCCCGGCCCTGGGGGCCTATGTTCAGGTGAGCGACCCCAGGGCCATCATGGCCCTCTTGTTTATAACCACTAGCTGTTAAAATTGTTAAATAAATAAACTTGAAGCAGCAAAACATGTTAGTTTAATTTCGATTTCATTTCAGTAAACAAGTTTGTATCACAGAATCGTCTGCCACATTTACTGTTCTATGGACCACCGGGTACTGGGAAAACCAGCACCATTCTGGCTGTAGCAAAACAGATGTATACTCCTTCTGAGTTTCATTCGATGGTCCTTGAGGTATGGTTTTGTTTTTTTGTAAAGAAGTTAATTTGATATTATTGAAAAGCTCATAGATTATGAAAGATTGACTGTTCCAGTCATGTCTGAGCTCTAGCTACATACAAATTTAGGGAGAAGTCACTTCTATACGAGAAGTTAGAAAACTTAAGAAAAAGTGGAGCTAGCTGAAGAAGGTCACATGACTCTAAAGTTACATTTTCATAGAGTTATACCCGTTTTCTTAATGTTGGGCACTGAGAATAGTTAAGCTTGCTGTCGTATAGACAGCTTTAATTTGTTCTTTATTTAGATGTAGGTGGCATTTTGAATATTCAATTATATTTCAAAGCCCTAGAAAATTCCAAAATCAAATCCGAAATAAGAAGAAAAAAACATTATTTTCATTTTATTTTCCAGTTAAATGCATCAGATGATAGAGGTATAGGTATTGTTCGAGGACAGATTCTGAGTTTTGCCAGCACTAGGACAATCTTCAAGTGAGTACATGTATTATATAATAGACAGTTAAGTTGGGTAGTTTGTTGAATAGTATTACTATATTTAAGATGTGTCATATATCAATTGCTAAGTTGGTAACCTTAAAAAAAAAAATGGTTCATTGAATATGTTAATTCAGGAACCCAGAAAGTGTTAGATGTTTTGCCTTGAATTTATGAATTACAGGATTCCCCCCAAAAAGAAAAACAGTTAGAAATATTAATTTAATACTTTTAGTAACTCTGAAGATGTCTAGAATTAGTTAAATCTAAAGGTGATAACAATTTTTATTCAGAGGGCACATCCATATTTAAAAAAAAAATAGATGTTATTGACCATGTTATTGAAGCAGTTGATTAAGACTTTATAGTATAAGGAAATTTCAATGTCAAACATGTTATAATGTCTTAATGATAAACATGGTTTTGAATGTTACAGAGCAACAGATAAGCTTTAAAAGTGAATTGGGTATTACTCCATCATTTCCTTTGGAATTGGGTATTGGCTCCATTTAATTGGGTATTCAAAAACTCGATACCCTTCGATTTCAAGATCAATTGGGTATTCAATTATGAAGATATGATTTTTATGGTTTCATCAATAAAATTAAATTTAGATACCTTAACTGTTTTAAAAAGAAACAATTTACTAGAACTTTTCACAATTGTTTTATTTTTTATATAAAATGCTCATGTTATATTCCATAATATTTTTAACAAGTTCGTTTTCTGACTGATTTTTGATTATTTGCGACTGTTTTGTTTCAAATGTTCGACGCCATATTGCTTTTCAAAGCGTCTATTGATACAGCTGGGACCTACTTATTGACGGTCTCCGCAAAATCAACGGTCTCTGCCGGTCTGTAAAGACCGTCAACCTGAGTAGACAAATCGACGGTGTCATGCTTAGTCGGTCTTTGGAGACCGGAGACCGTCGAAGACCGGAGACCGTTAATTAGTTGGCATTGATTCGGGAATATTCGGATATCATGCATATCAATTTAATTTGTCCAAAACAACAAGTGTACGACAGATTAATTTTGCGGTGATGAAAATGACAATACGCACGGGTTTTTAAGACAATTGCGTATTTTAATTTTTTTAATGGGTTTTGATACGCATTCTTAAAAAATCAATTGCGTATTTTATAAAATTAATTGCGTTAATACGCAAATACGCACCTTATCTGTTGCTCTGTGTTAATAAAAATAAAAGATTGTTGTTGTAAGGCACAACAGGTACAGGTTTAAACTTGTGATTGTTATTACAGGAAAGGGTCTAAACTTGTGTTTGTTGTTTCAGGAAGGGGTTTAAACTTGTGTTTGTTGTTTCAGGAAGGGGTTTAAACTTGTGTTTGTTGTTTCAGGAAGGGGTTTAAACTTGTGTTTGTTGTTTTAGGAAGGGGTTTAAACTTGTGTTTGTTGTTTTAGGAAGGGGTTTAAACTTGTGTTTGTTGTTTCAGGAAGGGGTTTAAATCTATGTTTGTTGTTTCAGGAAGGGGTTTAAATCTATGTTTGTTGTTTCAGGAAGGGTTTTAAACCTATGTTTGCTGTTTCAGGAAGGGGTTTAAACCTATGTTGCTGTTTCAGGAAGGGGTTTAAACTTGTGTTTGTTGTTTCAGGAAGGGGTTTAAACTTGTGTTTGTTGTTTCAGGAAGGGGTTTAAACTTGTGTTTGTTGTTTTAGGAAGGGGTTTAAACTTGTGTTTGTTGTTTCAGGAAGGGGTTTAAACTTGTGTTTGTTGTTTCAGGAAGGGGTTTAAATCTATGTTTGTTGTTTCAGGAAGGGGTTTGAACCTATGGTTGTTGTTTCAGGAAGGGGTTTAAACCTATGTTTGTTGTTTCAGGAAGGGGTTTAAACTTGTGTTTGTTATTTCAGGAAGGGGTTTAAACTTGTGTTTGTTGTTTCAGGAAGGGGTTTAAACTTGTGTTTGTTATTTCAGGAAGGGTTTAAACTTATATTTGTTGTTTCAGGAAGGGGTTAAGACTTGTATTTGTTGTTTGTTGTTTCAGGAAGGGGTTTAAACTTGTGTTTGTTGTTTCAGGAAGGGGTTTAAACTTGTATTTGTTGTTTCAGGAAGGGGTTTAAGCATGTATTTGTTGTTTCAGGAAGGGGTTTAAGCATGTATTTGTTGTTTCAGGAAGAGTTTAAACCTTTGTTTGTTATTTCAGAAGGGTTTAAACTTGTGTTTGTTATTTCAGGAAGGGTTTAAACTTATATTTGTTGTTTCAGGAAGGGGTTTAAACTTGTGTTTGTTGTTTCAGGAAGGGGTTTAAACTTGTGTTTGTTGTTTCAGGAAGGGGTTGAAGCATGTATTTGTTGTTTCAGGAAGGGGTTTAAGCATGTATTTGTTGTTTCAGGAAGAGTTTAAACCTTTGTTTGTTATTTCAGGAAGGGGTTTAAACTTGTGATATTAGATGAGGCTGATGCAATGACCAGAGATGCCCAGAACTCCCTTAGGAGAGGTATACTAGAGCAAATATTTGTGATTATTAAAAATAGCATAGGTTTATTATGTCCAGAAAATGGCTTACTTTTTATGCCCCCCCCCACAATGTGGGAGCATATAGTGTTGCACTTGTCCGTCCGTCTGTCCATACGTCCCGAAATCTTGTAAACGCAACTCCTCTTAAACCGGATGGCAGATTTTGCTAAAACTTACAGGGATGATCAACCTTAATGTGTAGATGGTAGTAAAGGAAGGAATTTTTTGCTGCGACCAAATTTAACAGAATTGGGGCCCTTCGTTGATTTTTTCACTGGATACTATGTAGAAATCTTGTGAACGCAACTCCTCTTAAACCGGATGGCAGATTTTGCTTAAACTTACAGGGATGAACAACCTAAATGTGTAGATGGAAGTAAAGGAAGGAATTTTTACTGCAACCAAATTTAACAGAATTATGGCCCTTTGTTGATTTTTTCACTAGATACTATGTAGAAATCTTGTGAACGCAACTCCTCTTAAACCGTATGGCAGATTTTGCTTAAACTTTCAGGGATGAACAACCTTAATGTGTAGATAGTAGTCAAGGAAGGATTTTTTGCTGCGACCAAATTTAACAGAATTATGGCCCTTTGTTGATTTTTTCACTATTTACTATGAAGAAATCTTGTGAATGCAACTCCTCGTAAACCGGATGGCAGATTTTGCTTTAACTTCCAGGGATGAACAACCTTAATGTGTAGATGGCAGTAAAGGAAGGAATTTTGCTGCAACCAAATTGAACAGAATTATGGCCCTTTGTGGATTTTTTCATTATATACTATGTAGAAATTTTGTGAATGCAACTCCTCTTAAGCCGGATGGCAGGTTTTTTAGCTCGACTTTTCTATGAAAAGGGGAGCTATCCTACTCGCCCCGGCGTCGGCGTTGGCGTCACACCTTGGTTAAGTTTTTCGTACCACCCCACTTTATTTCAGAAGTATTACAAGTATGGCTTTGAAACTTACCATACTTGTTCACCATCATAACCTCCATCTACAGACAAGAGTACATAACTCTGTCAAGGTTTTTGGCTCAGGGCCTTTCAGTTTAAAATGTGCAGATAATTTGCTCTGAAGTTTTTCTGCAAAATATGTTGTTTTAGTGATATTATAGTAATAATTTTTATATCAAATGGAAATTTAAAAAATAGTGCATTAGATGTGTGAAATATAATGAAAAATAAATAAAGATTTATGGAGATATTTGATAAAGAAATTTTTTTCTATTGTTAGAAATCATTTGCTTTTTGGATTATGTACATGGTTTTACCTGGATTTTTACCTGTGATTGTAAGGATAATGGATTAAGCTGGATTAAACTGGACTATAATTTATCACATTACAAAGGAATTTCTAAGATACAATTTGGACCAATAATAGATACTACACTTTAAATAATTGTTTAACAGTAAACTTTGACAGCAAGTATAATAATTGATAAAAATGTCTAGTAAAGGTCAAGGATCAGGACAAGGTCAAAGGACAAACTCTACTGCGTACAAAATTTAAAACATCAATGAAGGGGAACACAAGGAAAACAACCTCCAGCTAAAAGAGGCAATTTCAGAAGTAAGTAATGACAGCACATTAAGTAATGACAGCATGAATATGTCGTTGATACAAAATCAGCTAGACTTAATGTCAGAAAATCTTGAAGAGCTTAAAGGAGACTTAAAAGGTATCATAAAAAAAAAAGAAGACATAGAATCAATAATTTCAAGATCAATCACAAATGCCATGACCCAATTACAGCAAAAAAATGGAAATCATTATAAAAAAAGAGATTCAAGAAAAAAACTAAAGAGTTAAATGACAAAATAAGTTTCACTTGAGTTTGAAAATAATCATTTGAAGGAAAGTCTGACAAAAACAAAGACAGAGACCGGAAAAAGGCTAAAGCACAAATAGAAGAAAGAATATCTCAAAATGAAAAAAGCTGTCAAAGATGCCAACAAAAAAGCAAATCATAATGAACAGTACTCTAGAAAAAATAACATAAAAATAATGGACATAGCTGAAGATAGAAATGAAAATATCCAAATATTGACAGATAAAGTAATAAACCTTCTGCAACAAAAAGATGTCAAACTCGAGAAAGAAGAAATAGCAGCTATCCACAGACTACCTTCAAGAATCACAAAATAAGACCTGTCTTAATAAACACAATCAACAATGATGCCAAGTCCAAAATAATGAGGAAAAAGAAAAACCATGAAAGACGCTGGACACAAGTTGGTAGATGATGTAACAACATTAAACTCTGTTTAATAAACCGTTTACTGGTTGCACCCTACAATAAAAAGTGCATGGTTCTTTAATGGATCTGTCTATGGACTAACTGAAATGGATGAAAGAATAAAATTTGACTTGTATGACAATATTAATAAGTGATAAAAACTTTTAAAGAGAAAAGAAGACCCATGTAAAGACAACATTTACAAGATAAATGTATCATAGACAGGATGAAGAGAACAGATGAAATATATATGTAATTATAGACTAAAATATAATGATTTCTTTTTTTTTCAGTTGTTTTCAAAAAATTAATGTGTCCAGCAATTTAAAGACAATTAATTAAAAGTTAAAAAGTACATATTTCTAGATTATTTTTCAATAAATTCTTATGTTGATATAAGCAAAAATGGCTACATTTAAGTAGCTTTTTAATATATTTATTTCTTAACTAAGTGATTTTCTAAGCAGGTGATAGTTTAATTTCTTAATAACATGCTATACCTATATACATGTAAATTATTTAGTTATTTATAGAATATTGGAAAATTGTATTATCATATAAGGCCATTTCATGCTATAAATGATAAATCCTATTTGCCAAGTAATGCTTAAAATAGATTTGTGGATTGAAGACCTTGACAATTTATAAATTCTTGTATAATATACGTTATACGTAAAAAAAAAATTCTATTTTTTAAATACAATAATTGTTATTTTGATCTGGCAATAGGTATATATTTTATTAAATAAATGGTCTATATCTTAAATAAAGTACTTTTTATTTTGAACTGGTAATTATATATTCATAAAACTTGTGAGTGAAATATGGATGAAATAAACACTTACTTTTAATTTTCATCTTTTCTAAATAGAAATTTTATTTGATTTCATTATCATATGATATTTGTGTGTGTATTCATGTATCACTTTTAATGTCATCATACTGTAAAGAATTCCAATTTTCTCTAAATCTACAAAACAACCTATGATCCAGGTTAAGTAAATTATTAGTTCTTTGCTGCTGGTTAAACAATTCATACTTCCCTCGCCCCTTTATCCCGGGAAGGGAAGTTTTTACTTTCAGTGGGATGGTTAGGGGACTCACTTGGGTAAAATATGGTTATACAATATTCCTGTTTGAGGTCTTGCCAGTATAAGTAATTTCTCTATACTGCTATGATAGAGAAATATTTGACTTATTACTTATAACATATTTTTGTCTTAATATTTACTCTAAGTTTCATATTACACTTTTATGTTACCCATGATCAACAATTGATGTTATTAATTTGTTTATATTTATCTATTTGCATAACAAAGTCTTAAAATTAAAACATATTCTCTTTCTAATATAATTTACAGAAAATTCAGTTTGTTAAATTGTTTATGAATAAAACATTTGTTTCTGTTTTTCATTTGTTTACTTGTGAATACCACAACAAGTGAAAATTTGTTTGTTTTATACACCTCTAAGAGAATAAAATCACACGTTTATGAGAAAATCTTTGATATCCTCTTATCTATAATTTTTCATTCATTGAATGTGTTATTCATTTAGAAATAACAATGAAAAAGAATGTTTCAATTTTTTGATATAATTAGATGAAACATAAACATATTATGCATCTTCTACAAAAAGTTTTTTCTTTCCATAAGTAAATTTTACTTGTTTATTGGCAAAATGTATTTCTTTCTTTTATATACAAGCACATTTTTTTATATTTTTTGAGGTCATTATGTTATTTAGAAGTGTTTCTCTGGGTTCATGTACATATTGTATTTACTTTACTTAAGTGTAGCTATGTATATTGTAGATATAGTGTTGAATGTATTATTGTAAATATTAGTTATGAGTAGTCTTAATATTTCTCTTACAAATGTCGAGGTTTACACGATAGTATCAAGAGAAAAGATGTTTTTAGATTTATTTCAGTCAAAAAAAAGCTGATATTCTCTGCCTACAGGAAAACACACATTTTATAAAAAGAAATTGAGAAAAGAAATTTATTCTGAATGGAATGGTTTATGTTTTTACAGCCATGGTAGGTCTAATGCCAAAGGTGTGGCTATTTTATGCAGAAAAAGGTTTAGATTATAAAAAATTAATTCTGTTAAAACTGATGATTCAGGAAATTTCATAATTTTTACAAATAATGCTTGATTCTATAAATTTCACATTAGTTAATATTTATGCGCCAAACATAGACAGTCCTAGTTTCTTTAAAAACATTTTCTGCATACTTTTTAGATTCTTTTGATGATAATGACTCTCTAATTATTTGTGGAGATTACAACCTTGTTCAAAATCCTGACTTAGATTATTATAACTATAAATCAAAAAACACAATAATGTAAAGGCAAGAAATTTTTTAATAAGTATTATTGAAGAAAAAAAGACCTCATTGATCCCTTTAGAGAGAACTGCATGGTAATATGAAAAAATATACATGGAGACGAACCAACCCTATACAAACAAGGTAGACTAGATTTTTTTCTTTATGTCGAATAGTTTATATCAGTATGTACGAAAATGTGATATTGACATTAGTTATAAATCTGACCATTCAATAATATATTTAGATTTTTGTTTTAGTTCTGTAAGTCATGGAAAAGGTTTATGGAAATTTAATAATGCTCTGTTATATGACATTGAATTCCTTTGATATTATAAATAAAAAAATAGATGAAGTAAAAATTACAATATTGTTTACCAGTATACAATATTAGACTATGTTTTAGATCC